AGTGTGTCTACCTATTTATTTAATAGAGCTAGAGTTTAAAAAAGTGTTAAAAGCTAATTAAAGCTTTTTTTTTTTACTAATATTTTTTTAAAAAACTTTTATTATTTTTCTTTATGTAGTATGTTATAATAGACTATAGTAATTTTTCTTATAACTTTATAAGTGTTATAGTTATTATCTAGAGTTACCTTATAAAGTTCTGTTTTATAGAAGTTATAACTATAAAGTTTTTTATATTTCTAGTAGTTTTTATATTTAAATTATTTTTTAAGTTTTTTTAGTAAGATGCCTATTTTGTTTTATTAAAGAAGGTATTATTCTTTGCCTTTTTTTATGTTTTTAACATAGTTAACTACTTATGTTTAATTTTACTATTCTTTTAGAATTACAGCTTGTTTAATAGCCCTAGAGATACTATTTTTTTTAGACTTCTACTTTCTAGTAGTTTACTAAATAGTTAGAGGATTTATAGTTAGCTTTACATCTCTAGTAGAGTTATTTATCTAGCCTGTTATAAAGTTTCTCTATTATTAGACCTTTATTAGTGTATATAGCTTTTATAGCTAACTTACTATTTTTATTTTTCTACTTTATAAAGTCTAGGCAGTTTTGCTAGAAATAGCTTACTTTTTTATAGTTAAAGCATGCTTTTTTTTAAGCTATTTTTATTATTCTTTGTTTAAAGGTAGCTTTATGCTTTTAAAAGAACTGCTTTTTTTTTAAGAAAGCTATGCATATGTTTAGTGTAGCTAAGATTTATAGGTTTACTATTAAACCTTAGAGTCTTCTTTTTCTTCTAAAACTATTTAGGTTTTAAAGTTATAACACTTACTTTTTTTTCTTTCTAATGTTTAGCATGTCTTTTATTATAAGTAAGTGCTTTATTAAAGTATTCTTTAAAGCTCTTAGGCTTTTTAGTGTAAGTAAATTTATTTTTAATTATTTTTAAAAGCTTATTATAGAACATGTGTTTTATTGCTTTTTAGTTAGTCTATCTGCAGATAGCTAGTTATTTTCTAAAGTAGGCTATATAGTATTAGACAGTGCTTTTTTTTGTTATAAAAAGTCTATTTTATTAACTACTTATTTTTTTAATTAACTAGATTATAGATTACAGTTAGGGCTAATTTAAAAAAAGTAATATTTTTAAAGATCTTTTATATTTCTAATAGTAAGAGTTTTTTATTTACTTAATAGTTTATCTAATTATTTGTGTAGGGTTAAAACTATATAGTAGGTAATCTTTTTAGGTGTAGGCTTATTTATAAGATTATTTCTTTGTCTATTTTAAAAGCACCTTTATTATATTACATATAAAAGTAGCACTTAGTAAAAAATAGTTTTAGGTCTTTAGCTACTCTAGTAAATGCCTTAGAGAAAGTAAAACATAAAGTTCTTTTTAATTTAATGCTAGTTTTTTTATATGCTATGTTTTAAAGACTAGCTACTTCTAGCTAGAGGGCGTGTAGTTATTAAGCACTAGACAGTCCTTATTATACTTGTTACTAAAAGTGTTGCCTAAGTTGTTCTAGCTTATTATAAAAATATAATATTTACTAATTTTACGCTTTCTTAGTAGCTATAGAGGTCTAGCTAGTGCTAGCAGCTAAAGCGCTTATTATGCTAATATCTAAGGTTAAAGTAGCTATACTTTATAAAAGTTAGTAATTACTGTTATAATTCTTACTCTAATAAAATAGTCTTTTTAGAAGCACTACAGCCTATAGTATGTTGTAGAGTAGGGGTAAGAACTTAGCTAAATTAGGTGTACAGTCTATTTAGCAGAGTATAGGTAGAGTAAAGATAAGAAAGGCAAGTTGTAGTTTAACCTAGCAGCTATATAAAAAGCTAGTAAACTAATCTATAAAAAATAAAATAAAAGTATATATAATATAAGATATATAAGGTAGTGTTTTTTTTTATAAAGGTATTAACACCTTTTAGTTTATTAAGTATGTAAAGACTAAACAGTAATTATAGCTTTCTAACTATAGTTATAATTCAAACTATATACATAGGGTTTTGCATGTAGTGCATGCTGTGTGCACTGTGCGCGTGGCTGCGCTTACTGCGCACTGCGCGCATAGTAAGCAAGTGTACTTTCTTTATTAAATAATGCATTCCTTAATACACTTATCTAAGAGGTAGAGCTATTCTTTATCTGTCTTGTTATGTGACCTGTCTAGGACAGGGTTAAGCGCCGTCCATCCGGCGTCGTTTAAGCTATGAGGTATAGCTGATTAGTTGATTACGGTCTGTTCGTTGGCTGTAACACATAGTTGCTATAGCTATCTACTATAAGCAGGTAATAGTCTTCTGCTGTACATGTCTTTATTTAATTATTAAAGTGCTTAAGCTAGGCTAGGCTAAAGTAGTTAGTTATTTAGCTATTATTACTTACTATAAGCGTCTAGTTACTAGAGATATTATAATCCTAGCTAGCTTAGTAGAGCTTTCTATGTAAGATAATAAGTAGTAAAAGTAACTAGCTATATGTGTTAATACACTTAATTATAGTAACTTAGTTATAATTACTAGGCTATATAGTAACTACTTAACTAATAGTTTTAAAACTAGTAACGTACTTCATAGGCAAGTTACTTACACACCTAAGTTGCTTACTTTTGCTAAGACCCTACTAAACTACTTTTCTTACACTAATACATTCTCTATAACACTACTTAGATGTGCTAAAAGAATGTTAGATATAGCTTACACTTTAAGCTTTTAAATAAAACATAAAACTCTTAAAAAAAATATGCTATAGCTATATATAAAGTTTTATAAAAAATAATAAATAACTATAGCACTAGATAACATTTATAAGCTAATTCTACAGCTAAATTATAAAAGCTAAGTAATAAAAATAAGTAAGTAATTATTAAGACTATACTTAAGCTATATACATAAGGAATTTCCTTTTAAATAGCATTTATAGCTAATATAGCTAATTCTTTACACGCTAAGCATAATTTAGGCTATGTTTATATAAACTAGCCTAGTATGTTTATAAAGTGTTATTTAAAGCTTAAAGTAATATTTAAGTGTAAGTATAACTATAAAAAAGCTTTTTATAAAAGTTCTAAAGTAATTTAAAGCAGGTTTAGCCTTATAAAGAATATTAAAGCTAAGTATAGTATTTAAGATAATAACACATATAACTTTAGTAAAATAGGCTTTATAATTAGCTAAATATTTTTTAACTATACTTACACTTAAAACTTTACTTTAAGCTTTAAATAACACTTTATAAACATACTAGGCTAGTTTATGTAAACATAGCCTAGATTATGCTTAGCGTGTAAAAAATTAGCTATATTAGCTATAAATGCTATCTAAGAGGAAATTTTTTATATATATAGCTTAAGTATAGTCTTAATAATTACCTACTTTTTTTTATTACTTAGCCTTTATAATTTAGCTGTAAAATTAGCTTGTAAATGTTATCTAGCGCTATAGTTATTTATTATTTTTTATAAAACTTTGTACATAGCTGTAGCATGTTTTTTTAAGAGTTTTATATTTTGTTTAAAAGCTTAGAGTGTAAGCTATATCTAATGTTCTTTTAGCATGTTTAAGTAGTGTTATAGGGAATGCATTAGTGTAAGAAGGGTAGTTTAGTAGGGTCTTAGCAAAAGTAAGCAACTTAGGTGTGTAAGCAACTTGCCTGTGAAGTACGTTAATAACTTTAAATATAATAGTAACTTCTATTATAAATCTTATGTTGCGTTTGCTAAAAGGTTAACCTTCTAGCTAGCACAGCAGAAGGATATATATAGACGGATAGCTGTACGCGACACACCCCCCAGCTTAAACTGTGGAACAAGAGAGGTAAAACATAGTGAAACAACCTTAACACACCCTCTAGCCTAAGCAACAGAACTTAGAGACAGATCTAGTAAGGTAGCCTCTGTAATAGACGCACAGCCTAAATGCTCTTTGCTAAGCGTAGGAATTAAACACACTGTGCTTAGGGATAATGTAATTTTATTAGTAGAATAGGGGTGTGTAAATTTTTAAGCGCTAACTATCTACACTACGCTGCAAACTAGGCTTATAACTGTTGCGTTTGCTAAATAGTTAACCTCCTAGCTAGCACAGTAGAAGGATATATATAGACGGATAGCTGTACGCGACATCTTATTTTATTAAAATTATAAGTATTTTTATCTAGTATTTTATATGTCTAACATGTGTCCTTTACTAGCTTAAACTAGGCTTTAAACTTAACTAGATTCTAATAAAGAGCGCGCTAGAAGTATATTTTTCTATTCTACTTTATCTAAAGCTCTACCTAGCTATTAATAAAGCGCAATACCTAGCACTTGCCTACAGGCAGTAGTAGAGGATCTTAGCTACATGCTTAAAGCAGAACGTTTGCTATTTAACACACATTAATAATATAGAGTAGAAAGCTGCGTTAGTTAAGGTCTAGGATCTAGGAAATAAGTAACTGCTTTTTAATAGGTAATAGCTTACAGTAAACTAAGATTATCTTACGTTTTAGAAGAATACTACTAAGGCGCGTTTAGAGGGTAGATTCTAGTATGTTATAGGCTGCAGTAGCTGCACAAATTAATAGATAAGAGTTAGACTTAATTAAGACAAGAGCAAGCTAAAGCCTGCCTTCTTTTGCTAGAGATTAAGCTTATAGTTGTTAAGCTATAGTTAAAGGTGTGGACGCGGTTTCGCGTGGTTTAGTGGGGTGCGCAGCTTACTGATGTGCGCAGCTTACTGATAAAACACGTTATTAGCGAAGCTGGCGTCAGCTGTAACCTGAACAGGAAGCCACTCGTCTTCGCTAAGAGAGTTCGAACACGTATTCGCCAATTCCACCACTCATTGCGCCCGTAGTCCACCAAGCGGGAGCTGATCTCGCTTCTGAAAACTAGCTTATAAACCATTTGTCAGTGGTCGTGCTGCCATGCTGCTATTTCTACCAAGGCGCTATTAAATCATTATATATAAGGTAGAAACAAGGTGGGATTATGAATGACATCCGAGTCACATCACCTGGCAACCTTGTTATATATTTATCCAAACCGACTCCGCATAATCTTAATGAAGACCTTATTTTCTCTCTTCTTTTCAGTCCTCCTTTTCTCTTCTCTCGCTGCTCAATGCTCTATTCGGGGTGAGATAAATGACGTTTTCCTTCCCTTGCCAGAGACTTCCAAGGGCCTCGCAATCGGCCCCGAGGGATATGTAGTTGAATCTTATGGTGGGGGCGTGTATATGGTTACTGATGGCTCATACCAATGTCTCTTCGTCGCGTCTACAAAAGGTGTCATTTTAGTAGACTTACCTCCAACGATCGGCAAAAATATCTTCTTCGCCATTGGCAACATTACCGATAAGCCGATTACTCATTTCGTGTATTCCCATTCACATGCTGACCACATCGGCACGGCAGCACTGGTCGCGAAGCCCGGTGTCGAAGTCATTGCACACGAAGATACTACCGAACTTCTACGTACATATGCAGACCCAAGTCGGCCAATTCCAACAAAATCATTCGAGCACGATTACGTTGTAAATTCAGGGAACCAAACTGTCCACCTCTCTTACAAAGGCGAAAATCACTGCCGAGGAAATATTTTTATCTATGCCCCGTCCGCTCATGTCCTCATGCTTGTGGACGTTGTATTTCCAGGCTGGGCTCCATTCTCTCAGCTCGCAGTTTCTAGTAACATTCCCGGCTGGATCAACGCACACACCCAGATCCTGAAAGACTACCCCAAAATGAAACATTACATTGGGGGCCATCTTGGACGGTCGGGAAATCGACAGGACGTACTCATTCAGCAGGAATATATGGATGATTTACGCACTGCATGCACAGCCGCAATCGAATTGACAGCTACAACAGACCCGGTACTTGGCGCGATGCATATTCAGGACACGGTTTTGGCGGCGAATCCAGGAAATTATTGGGCTGTTTTCAAGGTGTATTTGGACCTGGTTGCGGAAAGGTGTGCCAATGTGACGAATGAGAAGTGGTTGGGCAAATTAGGTGGTGTGGATGTGTTTGCGTTTGAAAGCGCATATGCGATGGTTGAGCATTTGAGGCTGGACTATAACGTTCTTGGGCCGTTCCGGAATGTGTAATGCTAGCCTAGTCACACGAAGGAAACATTTGACGAAGGTGATAAGCTAGCGTTCATGACCCTGAGTTACTGATATATACTGTCTACTGGCTTTTTTAGCGGTTCACCTCTATTCTCGAGCTTGGCGTTTGTGGCTCCGTTGCTACAGATATTGCCGTCTTACCGGAGCTTCAGGAACGCCTTGCTGCTTACGGCCCCTACCAAAGCGTCTCGACCGAGCTGAATCGCGATTTGCTGGATTCACGCATCAAGGAGCCTAGTTTGCATGACCTTGTTCTTCTAGCGGCTTCGAACCAGGAGATAATCACAACTCAGGCCAGTCGCCGATCGTGTATGTCGCTTTCCCAGCTCCATTGCTGGTGCCGGCACGAAATTTCAAGTCCGCAAAGTTCGAGTGCCGCGCAAACATATCACAAGTGGTTTCGTGATAACAAAATCATCCTAGCTACAGAGCTCCAACAGCGTTCCGAAATTGGGGGTTTCTCGCTTCACAGGGATGGACTGTGGGACCCTTTCAAGCTGAGGTTTCGCTGGTTCTCTAATGACACTAGTGAATACAATAAGTTTCTAGAATGGGAATACGGGGAACTCATGGATGAGTAATTTTGACTCGAGCGAATATGAGAGAGCAATTGGGCAAACCAAATATACGGCACTTCTATCCAAAAGAGCTCAAGGCACTGAAACTCGCATTCCTCCAACGTGTCAGCAAGCTCGGTTATATTAGTGCTTTCCATCTACGAGGGTATGCAGCGTCAACAGAATCTCTCAGTGCACAATGAAAGAAGCATGGTCTCGTGGAGCTCCTAGTAAGCTTCGTTCGAGCTAAAGCAAAAAGATAATTCGAGTCTATACGGGAGAAAATAAATAAGCTGAAGGGTGTAAGCGTGGTGGGGAGAAAATCCAGGATCTAGAATTGAGCCGAGGGAGACTTTACTAACTCTTCACCCTGTAGGTCGAAAACAAGGGCAATGCCAGGGGCGAGGCCTCTAGCTGAAAGGTCCAAGTCTGGAGAATGAAGACGAAACGAGGAACCCAAACGAAGGAGGTCTTACTAACGACGCACAAAGGTGTAGGCAGAAAGCAAGGAGTTTTATAGTAATAGAATGTATTGAACAGAAAATAATATGCCAGTAGTAAATTGCTCTTAGAATAGGCTATGCCTGGTGGCCACTGACGAAGGTAACGGACCTATATTAGTTATATAACAGAATAAGAATGAAATGAAACCCTGAGGGCGTGCGAGATAAAATTCTTGCGATCAGTACAGGATCTTGTGCTTGATATCACATTGAAGGAGTGGGGGAGCTGTCAAAGCTCCCATCTCCCATCGACCGCAGGGAGGTGAAACTACACCAAACTAGATGTTGCCATTTTCTTTAATGCGGCAGGGTTGGTTAAATGACACTTTTTTTTGTAGGAGAATTTTTGCCATATCAACATTGTGTACGTCGTACGAAGCCACTGGAGGCGTATGTCAGGTTAGGTCAGTGAACAAAACAACAACCCGTTATACTACTCTAGCAGAGAGCTACTAGAATGCTCCCTAAGGTCAGTCACTCAGATTAAGAGCGCTCTTTCACCACCTCACCACCCACCCTCCCATTTTTCTTGGCGCAAATCCATTCGGGCACAACACCAGCCTTCACTTCTAATTTTCTCTCAATACACACTTGCCCTTAAAAAATCTTCTTCATTCTTCCACAATCCATACATTGTTTTGTACCGTCACAGAAAACAGCCAGCCGAATTACACAGAAGACGCACTTTACAAAGCACCATCCGCTTCTCACACCTTTTCTTAACCCAGTGGATCACTTACATCCTCTTTTTGTCTTTCACGTTCAAATCCCACCCCCAATTAGGCCATCAATAGTACAAGAACTAGCAACTTTGCAGCTGTATATCACCCTCTTGTATCCTTTCATACCTGGCTCCTTCACACAACGAGAACCGTCTTGAGTCGTTCACGTCCGCCAACTTTCGCCATCTTTGTGCCATCACATCGAGTGAAGGAAAGTACTTGCGGCCTTACCGCCCCGCAAGGCCTGGCGACGCTCTCCAGCTCTTTCATCACTTTCACCTGCGAGCAACGCCCGTCTCTAAGGCTATCGCCTATAAAGTTCTGCCCTCGTATTCTTGATATTCCTTCCTCCACGCACTCTCCTCTCAGTGTCTTTTGCAACACAACCCTCAGCTTATACATTTGTACCAAACGCACACCCACTATCTTGCGCTTTTGAAGGCACTGCCTGCGCGAAGGTCTTTCATTGTACCATTTCATTATCATTCACCGCCGCTACATTTCGAGGCCAGCACTATGGCTTCGTTTCAAGTAGAGGCTACTGCTACACGCCACCACCTAACCCCTCCAGTTAAAGAGCCCACCTTCAAGGCAGTCAACTCAACTCCAGATGAGAACACTGTTTCCGACGCTGAGCAAGAAGTTATCACTTTTGACGCTAGTCCCGTCGCTAGTGGTTCTGGCGACCATGCTTCCATCCCAGACGTAGTATCCATCCACGAGCTTGAGAAAAAAAACGATGAAAATTGTGACGAAGGTAAGCTCATCAATATCCCGTCCATGTCGGAGTACGAGTCTAATGGTAAAGTAGACACTGTCCTAAACACTATCACCAACAAGGATAATGCAAAGGACAAAAATGTCATCCCAATCGATAATGCTTCTAACGCAAGTCAAAAAGACGAGATCATGCCTGGTACCGAAGAAGAGTCCAGTCTTCCGGCAACCCCAACTCCGCCTCCAGCTCGGAAGCAGGACACTCCCGCCGGCGAGCAATACAACGGCAGCACGGCCGGTGAAGAGACTGGTGAGTCCAGCTCCAGGGACGGTTGGCGCCGTCAGCCTAGGATATGCGCCGCTGAACCTAAGTGCCCAGTGACTGCTCAGATGCTGGAGGAGCATATCGCATACCGTCTTGCACATATCATCTCCGCGAACCTTGCTCCAGGCTGTAAGAAAGTCGATCCAAAGGACATGCTGAAGGGTCTTGCTCAGTATCCAGTTGTCGGTGACCTCTTGAACCATTTCAAGCTCCTCGGCTGGTCCGTGGATGCGAACGTGGTCAAGGCACTCAAGAACGATCCTTATGTGCTACTCAATGTCACACCCGTCGCCGGACCCAACGTCACCCGCAACGAGCTTCAAGCGCCTAAGCCGCCACATATGGGAGTTATTCGTCTCTTGTACAACGAATTGTGCGCTACGATTAACGGCGAGAACAACGAGAATTTGCGCAAAGGTCAAGCTAGGGTCCTTAGCAACAACGTTGCAGACTTCTTGGTTTCTGGATTAAGTGCAAACCAGATCTTTGATAAACTTCGCATGAATGGTTACGATGGTGTGAACTTGAAGGAGATCAAAGATGTCATGGCTCGGTATGAACGCCACCTTACCGGTATGAACTTTCGAGAGGACGATCCAGCATCCGACTCCTGTGCCTTGGATAGCCCATCGCCTGCCGCAAGCGAACTCAAAAAGGTCCGCAATATTCCGCAGACTGCGAGCCTGCGAGGCACGATTCGTCGCCAGGGTAATACAGGCCAGAGTGTTGCTCGTGGTTTCTCTCGGCAGCCTCGTGCCAATAGTAAAGCCCCAAGTGAGGCCAAGGAAGCTGTTAGCAACCCAGAACAGAATGCCGCTCATGGCTCGTCTCAGCACCCTCACGTTAACGACAATGCCCCAGCTGAAGCCCAGGAAGCTGTTGCAGAGGCTGTTACAGAGGTTGTGACAGAGGACGAAAATGAGAGTGATAGCGACAGTGGCGATGACGAGATTCCGTCTAGCCTTCATGGCAGGCATGGGAACCTGGTTAAGGACGATTGGGTAGCCCAGTTTAAGGTAGCTGCTACTCCACCGGGTGTAGCTCCCGCACAGAACGCCCTAGTCAATGCTACAGTTGCCAGACCTCCAGTTGCCAGTCTTCCAGTTGCCAGTCCTGGAGTTGCTGGTCCTACAGACCTCGCCGAGCATCCTTCCTGCCATAGCCCTTCAGAATACGAGACTTTTGAGCCATCCAATGAGCTCCCGGGTCGTTATAATGTCCGGTTTAAGATGACCCTTGCCAACGGCCGCACCATTGAGCATCTCGATCTGCTCCCGGAGATGGACATGGAGGCTGGAGAAGAAGATGGTTCCTATTTCCTGCCTTGCAATGAGCACATCATCCCAACAGTCAGCAAAAATGATGAGTCGCTCTGGGTTAAGGATCCTAGTGTCCCAGAATGGCCTGGTGTCTATCATCGCCATACCAAGAAGCGTGGAGTCCTCACCGCTAAGCCTCACTTCATTATGCGAAAGTTCACCTACCCAACAAACGTATATGATCAGCAATACAAGTATGGCATGTCGTGGGAGAGCTTCGGAGATGACAAGCATGTGGGCGGTTTCGACATCAACAACCGCAAACATGTCCACCACTACAACCGGTGGATTGGCCAAATTCGCGCTCGAAATGATAGGAACTACGTCAAGCGTGACATTCGCAAGTGCTGGCATGACCAGGAGCTCATAGCACTGCGAAAGCATTGCAATGACGAGATCGAATCCCGAGGTCTCATCGATTGGTACAATAACATTAACTTGGCTAAGGTTACTCGCTTGGTCAATGAAGCTCGTCTGAAGTATAACCCAGAAGCTGACCCTCGCACCGAGAGCGGCGTTCAGTCTCAGGCAGACCGTGACACGTATGAGCCTAGGACTCGGGCGGGTCCCAAGATTGGTGTGCCTTGGCCTCTCGGTCCGGATGGCAAGCCAAAGCAAGGAATCAAAGAGATGAAAGAGGAGGCTAAGCGCCTGAGTGATTTGCAGCGTCGCGGCGAGGAGATCGAGGACAGTGTTCTGAAACCAAAGAACCCGTTGTCTTTGGCAGACTTCCCTCGAAAGCTGCCAGGCGGAAAGTCTCACTTGCGTCAGATACCGCAAACGAAAGTCGCTACGGAAGGCCCAGTCAAGCATAAGCGAGGTGCCATTCAAGATGCCGTCCAGGATGCCGCACCGGCGAAGCGCAAGCGAAGTGCGGGTGAGGATGAGGTCTCAAAGGAGGACGAGCACCCTCAAAAGCGGCGAAATTCCGACGGCAATGAGACCACCATGGGGGAGAACACCATGTTGACCGAGTACACCGAGGACGAAGTTAAGGGTGAGGATGAGGACGCCATCATGACTGGAACGGATGATGGCAGCGCCTCCCCCACTCACAGTGAGTCTATTAGTGAACCAGTCTAAACGATTTTAGGATGGTAAGCTCTTGCTAGCTCCACATGTGAGAGGATTTTGTTCACGACGGTCTTGATCATAGATGTGCGATTCCGTGTCGCCGATTACAAGTTGTTTGTTACAACAACATCCTCTCTTTCTGGACGATGGATACTTCAATGATTTTTCTGATGGAGATATTGGTAGGTGGTGGAGCAGGCATAGCTTGATGTGTTCTGGATCTGATAGCGTTAGCGATTGGCAGCTCTACCTAGATGTTTTGTCCGTCTTAGAGAGAATCATTCTTGAGGTTAGGCTTTAGTTCAATATGCACATCTCTTAAAGTGGATACAGAGAGTTTTCAACTGGTATACGTGCATGTGTAAGTGATGTCCATCATACTTTTCAGTGAACCAAACACAACAGCAGGATATTGACGAGAAAGGAATTGACGAACAACTGTTTAAAAAAAAAAAAAAGTCCGCTGATAAGAGACTACATAATCAACAAAATTTTTGAGGCAAGATAAATGCAATCGCACCGGTCCTGGGGCTGAAGAGGCAGTTGCGAGGGCACAAGAGTCATGCAGACTGCGTTTGCTGACGCTTCAGTGATTGAAGGAATAATCTCGGAACATGCAATGAAAGATACTTGTGAGACATCAGCCCAAGCGTAGAATGTAACACAAGATCTATGTCTTCTAACTTTGGAAGAGCTGAGGTGAACAAAAGCGGCGAAGCGGAAGAAGGAGAAAGGCTATTGTAGTTGGGTTAGATGTGACTAATAGTCTTGACTTTGGAATATTAAATTAGGCAATAAGCACGAGACTAGAGGAAGGCAGTCATTGTGTTTGTACTTCTAGTGTGATAGATAGCATAGTGAGAGCTACTAGGTGGCTTCCGCGCCGATAGGAACAAGATTGGTGTGGCAGCTACCAAAAGAAATAGCTAAAAAGAGAGCTAGAATTGAATCGATGCACAAGAGTCCGATTTTCCACAGGCATATGGTGCATGAGGGATCACTATTAAGGGGATGACTGAGGTGCTGGATTGTCAGTAGTAGGCGGGGTCAACCAATCACCAAACCGCGCAACCCTGTCGCGGCCCGACCTTTGACTCTCCCTTTTCCACAAGCGAATTCTCACGTTCTGTCGCTTCGCTGCTTTCAAGAAGCCTCTTGGTGGCATCAAGACCTCTTCTGGCAATTACTAATATCAGCTAGAACTCATCATGTCGGATGGTTCGTCTTCACCGCCCAGCTCGGTCGGCAGCATCGTTGAGGAAGCTTCTGAGCCGGATGTGACAAATTTCGAATGTCTTTTCTGCACGCAACAATTTGATCTGGTGCCCACGCTAGTGTATCATTGCTCCAAAGAACACGACTTCGATATCTACAAAGTCATCAAGGAGGTCACGGCAGGTCAGTCGCATGTTTGCTTCGCTAGGAAGCATACGCTGAGCGCAAATTAGGCGGTGACGATCTTGCCATTTTCAAATTGATCAATTTCTTGCGGCTGGAAACTCGAAAGGGCACCGACCCGACGTCGATTACAGTCAATAAGGAGACTCTAGCTGATGACAAGTTACTGCAACCTACCGACCCAGGCGATGCTCTGCTGTACAGCCTTGGTGATGTGCTTCCTGACCTGGAAAAGCCTGCTGCAAGCTACGAAGCCTTCGAAGCTCGTAAGGGAGACATGCCCCAGCATGAAGTTGAGCACTTGAAAATCGGAGATGGAGATTCCGGCTATTTCGATTCATATAAACGTTCTGGTATCCATCGGGAAATGATTCAAGATGCCGTAAGAACAAACGCATACCGAGACTTCATTGAACATCACGCATCCCTTTTCAAAGGCAAAACTATTCTCGATGTGGGTTGTGGCACAGGCATTTTGTCCTTGTTCTGCGCTCGAGCTGGAGCCGCGAAGGTCTTTGCAGTCGACTTTTCAGACATCGCCGCGAAAGCGCGAGACATCGTTGCAGCAAATGAATATCAAGACACGATCACAGTAATACAAGGCAAAGTAGAAGGCTTCAACGTCCGGTCTATAATAGGCGACAATAAGCCGGTCGATATCATCATCTCCGAATGGATGGGGTACGCTCTACTATACGAAGGCATGCTGGATTCCGTCCTCACCGCGAGGGACCTGTTTCTCAAAGACGGAGGCCTAATATTTCCGAGCCACTGCACCCTTCACGTAGCACCTATCTCCGACCCTGAGTTCATTGCCTCTAGTAACGGTGCCACATTCTGGAAAGACGTCTACGGTTTCGATATGTCCGTTATGATTCCCATCGAAATGCTGAACGAGCGCGACATTGGCGTCTTCGATGTCCCAGCAAAAGCCATATGTGGCTCTGCTCTGCCATTCTACACCCTCGATATTATGAACATCACTGTGAAAGAATTGGAGTTCACTGCGCCATTTTCTATCAAGCTAGATCGGGATATCCAATCTCTGGACGCCTTTGCGATCTGGTTCGACACGTTCTTCGTTCCACCAGGCTCAAGTGGGAAGCCAGATTGCGTTAATGCGTCCGCTTGGGGAGAGACTGGCCAGGACGGGGTGGCTTTCACCACTGGACCTTTCGGCGCTCCAACACACTGGCACCAGGCAGTTCTGCTTGTTGGCCAACAAGATCGAGGTAAAGGCATCGGAACAGGCACTGAGATTACTGGCTCAGTTTTGTTGAGAAAGCGGAAGAAAGATGCAAGGGCTATTGTGGTGGAGATCAGTTGGAAAGGGGATGGGAGTGAAGGACCCATTTCGGGGACACTTTCTCGGTCAATGTCGTAGAGAGCTGACATGGACGATATATATGCACTTTTCCAACGACCAAGCCGAGAGCCCGATGCGCCCTCAGAGGTGTGTAGAATTTGTGGATATGGGTCCCAAGGTCTTAGAACAAAAGAACAAATCACGTGTCTTATACTTGCATTGTAGGTGCGGGCTGATCTCAACAACCCAATGCTGACATAATGAGCCGAGACATGGGGATTGGATGCGGATGGCTTGCATTAGACGCGAACCATGCAGGATGTTCTCAAATTGCTTTTGGAGCCGTTATCGCTGATGCGTGCACCTTTACGTGATATACATATCGGTTCTATGCCCACCTTCGTTTTGTGTGGAAGCGTTCTTCTTTTCGTCGGCATCTCAGAGTGCGGATCGTCATTGAACGCTTGGACTTCCTCTCCACGTGGTCCATGCGCGTGAGCTTCAATTCACTTCACATGTCCGCAACTGACTCGATTGAATTCGCAACACGGCCTAGGAAACCCCCAGCGCATCTCATGGTAGTTGATAGCTCCCTCTATCTTTTCTAGAGGATGCCTCGCCGGTAGTCCACCCCTCACCCTCTATTCCCATGCGCGGCATTCTTCCTGGTCGTCCGCAGGCGAAGCTGCAGGCTGTCTCCCATGGACTTTGGGAAGGCCATGAGATTGTCGTATGTTCTTTTATTGCCCCCAGGCAATAGACTAGACGAATAATTGCGTGCTATCTAGGCCTATATCTCCGGCAATTCCCTCGTCGTCCTCAACCGCCCGAACCACGTCCTCCAAACAATATACATCGACGAAGAGTCCGAACTTGAAGCTGTTGCCTTCGACCCAGACACCGGCAAGCTCGCTACATGCTCGGCGCAATGCATATACATATATCAGCCTTACGGGCAAGACGAGAGCGCCGTCAAGGTGGGCTCACTGCCTCACGTTTAGGTGAATCGGCTGACGCGCGAAAAGTGGTCGTTACAGGGCAGCATGTGCCTGCCTACCCCGGACGATGCGATATCAACTCTTTCGTGGGGCATGGCAGATGAATTGCTCGTAGGAAGCGCGTCTCTCACACTTCTCAATACGCATGGCGCGACAGAGCAGATCTGGACAAAGCAGCTGGCGAATCCCGTTAAATTTGCGCAGTTCTCGCCTGATGCGGAGATGATAGCTTCAACCGGTACATGTGACAGACTGTTAAAGATATGGCGGCGACTAGCATTTGGCTCCGCTGACCAAAGCTTCGATTATTCCTACCTTCCTCATCCAATGCCAATCACGGGCATACATTGGCGTCAACCGTACCACAAAGACCTGTCAGCAGACAATGTGCTATACACAATCTGTGCGGACAACAAGGTGCGAGTTTGGGTGGCAGGAGAAGGGCATGGGTTGGCTGGGCTTAACTTGTGGGGTGAGGTGGATTTGATTGAGTCAATCAAGCCCCGGTCAATACCTTTGGACCAGCAGTCACGAAAGAGGTATGCCTTCTTCATCGATGGCAAGTATTTTACGCATGCGACGGAGAGAGCTGTGCAGCAGGCAACGAACGAAGAGAAGGATCAAGTGGCCCTCAACCATCTCATTGCTGTCGCCAATCGCAACCCAGAGATCTGCGTTGTGTTGGACGATCGAGGCAACATGTCTGCTTGGGGCTTTGAGAATATAGGCGCTAAGATCAAGAGGACGTCAGATGTGTTTAATATTGCGCATGTTGATGGATTGCATTTTCATTTCGCCAAAGGCGCCAGCTGGCTACAGGATAATGTTCAATTCTATGCCTTCTGCGGCGACACACCGGGTTCTGTCTTCACAATACTCTCGCATCATTTTGACGGGCGAGTAGAGTGGCTAGAGTCTCGAATGGACTATCTCTTCGATCCTTCTCCTCAATCCCAACGAATACAACGTAAAACGGTCTGGACGGGACATTCGCACGCTATCAAAAAGGTTAACCGTACGGCGAGTGGGAGGGCTCTAGTGTCAAGGACTGTGACAGATGAATGTATTGTGTGGGTCCAAAGAGCCACTGAACTAGGGATGACACTCCACCGCCACAGTACAGTTAATGTCACAGAACATATCCATCGAACATGGCTGCTCCATGAAGGCGACTTTGTCGTCTTTCTACACCACGAGCACATCTCACTTTGGGATACCCGAGGACCAATGGCTTTCGAAATTGCCCGATGTGCCTACCAGATCCGGGGCAAGCCTCTTTGTCTTATCCTCATACCTGAGACTGAAACTGGGGGCAGGGTTACTCATATTGCGACAATCAGCTCTGAGATGAAAGGTGTCTCTTGGGAACTTCGGCTTCCTCCCCAAGACAGAGACCCAGTAACTGGCCGCAAGCTTTCTAGCATCGCACCTTACACCAATGGTGTGTACACGAACGGGCATCCGGAGATATCAATGGAACAATTCGACATCTTCGATCTTGGATCCGGAGACGACCTCGCCTTTGTGCTTCCTGTCGATCCTGCTGGTACAGCTCCTGTCATCTCGGGCTTTCTCGACACTTTCGCTCGCGACATTGCTATTTCATACACGAAGTCTGGAGTGATAAGATCATGGACGGCACGGGTGAACCAAGAGAAAAGAAAACTGGAATGGCTTGAAACGTCGACTGTTGAAACTGGTGTTCGGAACCCCTCCCTCGCGAGCGGGACGTCGATAAGGAAGGCCGCATTGACAGATGCGGAGAAGACAACGTTGACAATTTGGAATATGAGAAGCGAACAGCTGGAGTATGAGGAGAAGTTTGAAGGAAACGGTATCATTCAGGATCTTGATTGGTCTTCCACCCCTGATAACCAGTCCATCCTCGCAGTCGGCTTCCCGCATCGCGTCGTCATATACGCTCAGCTTCGATACGACTATCTAAACGCTGGACCCTCATGGGTAAAAATTAGAGATGTGCGGATCAGGGACATAACCCCACATCCTATAGGAGACTCGGTATGGCTTGGGAGTGGCAACCTCGTTATTGGCGCCGGGAACCAACTCTTCATCCAAGATGAGCACGTTGAGGTATCTGAAGGCCTGTTTCCAAGCCTACGCATGATATCTCGCAAAACAGCGGCTCTCGACATTTTTACAGCCGTCAGCCGCCTCAATGGTCCTTTGCCGGTTTATCACCCCCAACTCCTCTCGCAATGCGTGCTAGCAGGGAAGCTGCTTCTTGTTCAACGCATTCTAATACGACTATATCAGAAGTTGAAGTTCTTCGTCGAAGGCGATCAGCTGGATAGCTTCCTCGGTTTCTTGCCGGAAGATTTCTCCGAAACTGCAGAGGTAGGTTCAACCGTACCAGACGTTGTGTAGGTAACTAACGTGATATAGTCTCACATGACGGCGTCTAGAAAGGAGATGCATTCATCTTACGCCGACTTCTCTGACGATGGCGAGCCGGATTCTTTAACAGAGGAGGTCGCTGTCAACCTTAATGAATATCTAACACGAGCGCAAATCCCCTTGCTATCGAGCCGGGAGCAGTTCCATCTTGCAGACATAGTTGAATGTGTGGGCATGGTAGAGAAGCATCGGCGTTCAATCGATGATAACGCAGGGCGATTTTTACTCTTCTTCCGACAGCACGCTTTGCGGGATGGGCAACACTCTTCCGAGCAGGTGCCTATTTCCTGGCGGGAGATAACCTGGGCTTTCCACTCTGGAAGTCAAGACATTCTAGTCGACCTTGTTTCACGACACTTCAATGGTCGAATTCTTTGGCAACATGCGAAAGAGTGCGGGATCTTCATGTGGATGACCGATATCACCGCTCTTGTGGGTTTTTGCCAGTTCTACAGTGTTTCGATATAATGCTGATAACAATAGCGAGCGCAATTCGAAGTCATCGCTCGGAACGAATACACGAAAACAGAGGAGAAGAATCCAGTTCACTGTAGCCTCTTCTACCTCGCGCTCAGGAAGAAGGCTGTGTTAGTAGGGTTGTGGAGAATGGCTGGATGGATCAAAGAGCAAGCCGCCACGCAGCGTTTGCTTTCGAACAATTTCCAAGAGGAGAGGTGGAAGACTGCAGCATTAAAGAATGCCTACGCGCTCATGGGGAGGCGTAGATTTGGTAAGTCATTTCTCTTGGAGCTGTTGCACATAACTAATGGGATTTATAGAATACGCTGCAGCTTTCTTCCTTCTGGCCGACCACCTCCAAGACGCCGTCTCTGTCCTCCACAATCAACTCGGCGATGTCCAACTTGCGATCGCTACAGCCCGGGTCTACGAAGGTGATGATGGCCCCATCCTCCGCAGTTTCTTAAAAGACAAAATCCTCCCGCAAGCCGCTCGAGAAGGCAATCGATGGCTCGCTACGTGGGCATACTGGATGCTGAATAGGCGGGATAATGCAGTTCGCTCACTGGTCACACCACTCTCTACCCTTCTGTCGCCACCAGAGACACCGAACTTCTCCAGTAAGCTGTTTCTGACAGATGATCCAGCGCTTGTAGTGCTGTATAAGCAGCTGCGCGAGAAGAGCTTGCAAACACTAAGAGGGGCTGTCATGGTGAGCCCGAGAGACGAGTGGGAGTTCGTCTTGCATACAGCGAATCTATACGAGAGGATGGGGTGTGATCTGTTAGCTCTTGACTTGGGTATGTCGTTCCTTTAGTTCTACATTTTCCGTATCACGCGGACTTTGTCATGTTTCCGTGCTAATTCTCACCCAGTCAGAACCTGGGAATTCCTTACTCCCCCAAGCATAAACCTCATACCCAACCGCCCTCCGCTCTCTCCCGCCATCCCTCGCGAATCCTTCCACGCCCACGGCCCCAACCAATCTGCCACTGACTTCGATTTCGATCCCCGCAAACTACTACGTAGGAGAAGTTCGCTCGTCGTCGCCGACCTGCCGACCCGCGAACATATCAGGAGCGCATTTCCCCAGCGACCCGGAAACACAGTGCCAGAGGAAAGCAGCTCAGAGGAGGAGAGTGAGGATGAGAGGTCGAACGATAAGAAGTTCGACGAGAAGAAGAAACCACCGCCTACGCAATTCCAGGAACCTGATGCAAATAGCTTGTTAGACTCTTTTGGGTTTTAGATAAAGCTGGTTTGGGAAGGTCGAAAGGGCTGAGATATGTATGCTCTATGTATAGGACTGTAGCTTGGAGGTATTGAATAGCGAGGGATCCCGCGTGGGATTTGAGATTTGGTGCATGGCATGGCGTTGAAGGCCCTAGTCGGTAACTATTAATGTAATCAATTTAACGAGATCACGTCTTTCTTGTGTTCGTGTTGTAAGCGTTATGAATTGACTGGTATCGATGTAGGATTAAAGAGTATCAACGCCACGACTATTATGGCACATCATCCGCCCATGGTCATCATCTTGAACAGATATGTTTTTACTGTCGAGAACCAGACATGTGACCTGAATTCACGTTTTCATTGCAGGACGTTCATGTATATATTTAGTAGAATAGTGCAGAACTTGGTGGGTTGGTGGGGAGAGGAGATCTGTAGGAAGGTGGGGAGGGGTATTTGTATTTGGAATCGAGAGGTTCAGGTCTGAGCATCCGGGGAAGACTTGAAAGTTGTGCTGGGACCTAGGTATTACGTAGCCTTTGACAGCTTCCCTCAGGACAACAAGATGCTTATCGTCGTCATATGTTGCGAAACCCTATCCCCCCAAGCACATGTGTCCCAGATAGGATAGCAATGATACCTACCCTAAAGTGAAAGCAAATCCACGTAGTCAGAGAGGAAGTGACCAGATAATTTCAACTCTCGCTAACCACTACGACGTCAATGGGCCCGCCAAACTCCATCTATGAGTTTCCGCGAGTTTCTAATGCTTCCCACCGCCCCACTTTTTCGCTGCTACCTGCTCTGTTGTCTTTCCCTTCAATCACGTGTCTCCTCGCACAGACCAACTCCTAGCATATATAAACTCGCTCCCTTCGCCGCCTTTCCTCTTTTCCTTTTCTTCTTTTCTCTTTCATCCTAGTGCTCGGGCTTTACGCGTGTCAGTGAGGATTTGTCCGAGACCGCGTTTTTGCTAGTTGAAAACTACAAGCTATGACTGCTTCAGCTGGCCTTTGGGTCGGCTGGGAATTTTTGGAAACACACATTGTATGTCTTTTGACGGCTTTTCATTGCGGTTCATTGCTTCTTCTATGAGCTTGAGGAAATTTTTTTTTTGATATTGTAGTGTTTTGGGGAGCTGGTTCAGAATAGAAGTCGGGGTGCACTTAATCGAGTTGTTGGTTCTAGTAAGATGTTGGGCCGGTAAGAGCCTTTTCTATTTATTTATCCCGGTAGGCGCAAATATGCTAAACTTTTGTTGTTCTTTAATATTATAAATGTGGGAAATTGCAATGTCGAGCTGTGGATACTACTATTAGTAAGTGTCAGCGCGTAGATGAGTCCTCCCTATCCTAGTATATCACTCAAGACTGTTCCGGACAGGAATTTGCAATCTGTTTAGTATTCTTGGTAACTATATCTAGCGACAAGTTTCATCGATCAAATTAGTTCTGTGAGTGTAGGAACTACGCTGTAACTTACAGGATAGATATTAGCAACTCACTATTTATTAAGTCCATCTGTGCCTCTACTTTTAAAAACACCTTAGTACTCTGCTAGGTACTATACCTTTTCACTCAGCTATCTATGTTCCTCTGAATAATATCCTGGTGCAGATTACATGGATGTAAACGGAGGCTTGGGAATAGTGCATATCATTCACTAAAACCAATGTTATTTTGCCACCTCAATTCTGATTCTGCCTAACTATCTACTTCTCCTTGCCCTCTTCCTACTAGTCCTCTTGCTCCCTCATCCCTTCCTCCCCCATCTCGTCCCCTCTCCCCCTTCCTTGCCATCGCCTCCTCCACCGTATTTCCTGGTCCGACATCTGTCTTCGGAGCCGTGACTCTCCTACTATTCTCTGGCCTCGTGCACTCCCACTCCCAGTTCTCATTAACTGGTGAAAGCCTACACTCCTGGCGCGGAAAATTGAGATCCGGTTCGATGGGGTTCAATGGTGGTTGATGACCAAATGGCGTTCGCGGAGTGAAGTCTGCTGGAAGGGTACTGAGGAGATTGATTTTGGCGGTGAAGAGGTGAAGGACGCCGTGAGAGTCTTCCTGAGAGAGCGGTTGGTTCGGCGGGGTGGGGAGGGGAGTGCTATTGGAGGTGGCGCTGCGGCCCGACAGGTTGTGACTGTAGCCTGACTCGGAGTTGCGGTTTCTTTGCGCTCGTGTACTGGGCTGAAGTGGAAATGCGGCTGGCGGTGGTAGTGGACGACGGTTTTCTGGGGTTTGAGGAACGCACAAGGCCCCGACTAGCGGTGCTGGGCTTGCTGCTTGCGGGGACGTTGGTGGACTGCGAGACTTGAGAAATGTTAACATTTCATTCGCGAGATAATGGGCAAGAAAGCTTACTCCGGTGGGATTGAGGAGGCTCTCCATGGTGTCTTATAAGAGAGATTGGGAGTAATCAGTGCCTGGAAGTGACTAGCTTTACTTCCCCATGATCCAAGAGCACGCTTATGGGTGGTGTAGCGTAAAAGTGATTTCCTCGCAAGCGACTTGTGGAGTGGTATCGGTACATGCGGTCCTGGGAGAATGAAACCCTTGTGTTGACTCACCACCATTTTACTCCTGGCATCGAGGTGAGAGAGGCATACCACGTGACTGAAAGTTACACAATACTCGAAGTTCGGTGACATAGTTCCTCCACTAAGGCTAGTGGAATGAAAGGCAAATTCAGAGGTGTGAAGCCATGTCTTCTTCATTCGGAGAGGAGGAATAATCCGGTAGTCTAGGTTGAGGCTTACTAATTAGCGAATCGATACTGAAGGCTGAAATTGGGCATCCGTGCTATTTTATACGTCAGTCTTTCACCTTTCGAGATAGCCTCCCATTCTCAAGACAGATTGCTAGGGTGCCTTGCCTTATACACGTTTACCAAACGGTCAAGTCCGGCATATCCACGCCTAGCTCGGAGTATTCTTAGAAATATTTTAGTCAGATAGCAGACTCCTGAGTTTAACCAAGCGTGTTCCTGGAAATGAAAAGTTTCAAAGGGGCAATGAGTCCTATTGTTCATGCCTGCGTAGTTCGTTCAAGCTTCGAAATAGGGAATCTCGAACCATGTCTGCCCTTTGTCCATCTCTCACCTACCGTTGCCTATGCCTCTGCCCTCCACGATCCTCAGCTATCATGTCCTACTTCGAGAACTGTCAATCATGCAATATTCCGACTAGTAAGGGCGGTGTTCAATTCTCGTACATCACTTCCATTTTCGGAAATCAGGCGAAAGCACCCCCTGCCATCCAACTCAGTTGATGACTGTTCAAGGCCCTGAGCACACAATCATGGCACCTTTTCAACCATTGCAATGGTAAGTTAATAAGAAATCCTCGAATTTATCGTATCCAACCCCGTTGAAATTTTGAAGGATGGATTCAATATATCGTTCACTTGGCTCGCAGGCAGCAATATCAAAGCCTAAGTATTTCTTCCACTCAATTCTACTTCGCCATGTGTATATAAAGCAAAAGTATTCTCGCTCTTTCATTCGTAAACCAAACAAGACAAATCTGTTCCTAAGACCACTTTCAGCATTAACTTCGAAAATGCGTGCCTTTTTGGGTATACTAGTTGGCCTCGCTTCCGCCACTCTTACAACAGGGCTCAACATCCCTCGCGATGACCCAAATGGAACATTTCCCAACCCGCATCAACCTCATATCATATCAACATGCACCTCCTTCTACAAAGTCCAGACCGGCGATAACTGCTGGGCCCTCACAGTTAAGTTCGGTATTGCTGACCCCCTTTTCTAACCGCGTATCCGGCACTGACTTGAGGCCGCAAAGGAAATTTCACCTTAGATGACTTCTACTTCTGGAACCCGGACGTCCCAACGCCCAAGATGGACTGCTCCAACCTCCTGCTGAACTACTACGTCTGCATCAGTAATACTACGACTCCCGTGAACCTACCGCCTACCACTACTACGACTTCGACTCCAAGCGCAACACAGACGAAGACATGTGGTGGGACCCCAGTTGCGACGCCGGCGCTTGTACAGCCGGGAATATATTATTGCTGTACGCGTGTGTCGTGATTCCGAGTCACCGTCATGCTAATCTTAATGTATCTAGGCAAGAAATTCTACGAGGTGGTCGAAGGTGACACTTGTGTGGCAGTAGAGAAGAAGTTTGACCTCAGTGATAATATTTTCCGGCGTTTAAATACGTGAGTCGGCTCTTTTTCCACCTATCTCATTCGGGGTAGAAATGTACCTGGCTGATATTTGAGTCTAGTGGAATCGATGCAAATTGTTACAACTTGATGCTAGGGTATAATGTGTGTGTTGGGATAAGTTGAGGTAGGAGACAAGGCCGGGATGAGGGACGGGGATTTGGGTGGTTCTAGCATGACATGTGGAATAATTAGGAGGAATGTTGAATAAAGGTGTGGTAAAAAAAGACCGAAAAAGAGTAGATATAGATCCCAAATATCCGACAAGATACGATATATCATCCCACTAGGGCCGGGATGACGTGAATCGGTGACTTGAATCAACCCCCGTTGTCATCAGACGCCACGACATTGATAACCTCATCCACCAGAAGCATCAAAGTAGAGAGCAATTACCAGTCTTAGTGAAAATCGTCGGCAGTCAAACGGCAAACTTTAACCAAGATTTATATCGTGGGGATCTCCAGACTGAATTAGCAGAAAGACCCAAAAGCGGGTGTAGCTCCGCCAAAACTAGGCAGATGGCTAACAAGCCAGAGACTCTATCCAGAACTGGACACTCGACTCGAATTCGGGTAGGGTTTGAACAATCCATGAAGTTATTTTCCGTAATACGTCATGTTTTCATATCAGGGCGCCGGCATTCATCATAACCTCCTCTTTGCGCCGCCGAGCTTCGAGCCTGGCCTCCCTTTTCTCCATATACTCTTCCCATGCCTTCTTCTGCTCTCCTCTCCTTGCTTCATGCTCAACTTTGAGCCTCTCATATTCTTGGTTCTTCCTCCTCTCCCTCTTGATCTCTTTCTTGATCTTTTTATGCTCCGCTGAAGTGAGGTGCCAAGGCTTCGACAGAACCTCTCGTTTGAATGCAGCGGTCTCCGCCCACGCCTGCACTTCTTCGTTGGTGGTAGGGACAATCCAAACTCTTTTGATCTCGAGCTGCTTCATCCCCCGGAACTCGGATATGGTGCATTTAGCTTTGATGACCGACCCAATGTCGACCTGTTGGTGGTCCACAGTTACTTCGAAGCACCCCGTTCGCACGATGACGTTGACATTCCCAATAGTTGTATTGGACGGACTTTCTACCGAGTTGTAGATATCTGGGGTCAGTCGAACGATCTTGACCTCGACGGTGGCGCCGCTTCCGTCATCGATAGTGAGAACGGTGTACTTCAGGTTGATATCATCGATAGCAACAACTGTGCCGACGATGCACACATATCGGATCGGGTAGTTTAGATTGAAATATATGTGTTGGCCTATATTAGAATCGTGAGCTATCACCAACGTGCCGCATTCGAGGTGTATTACTTCGGTATTGAGGCTCAGTCCGTAGCGCCTGCACATCGGCGGCGGTCAGCTTCACCCAGACATTATAAGTGGGCGACGCCGTAAAGCAGTACGCGGGATATATACGATACTTCGCTGCGGATTGATGCGTTGACATGTCATGATGCTGCGGAGGATAACGATGTGTGGAGGGGAGACGCGTCGGTGATAAACAGTGAATGACAGCCGCACGGAGACACGTGACATAGTCTCGGCTATTCGGCCATCTGGCCAGGCGTCAATGGATGCAAGATGATCGCGGCGCATGCAAGACAGCATGCATCCACACCACAGTAAAAAAGCACCACCGCTGCGCTGATCCACCTCACCTCGCATATCCGACTGTGCCGCTGTCTAGGCCTTTGGTCGAACTCCCAGGGCAAAATCAAGGCCCTTTGACAATGCCATCCCGCTTCACCTGGATTTTGTGACAACTCAGTGTCCGACGAGGGGCAGCAAAACCCCTCAACTAGGCTTCCCAGTCTTCAAAGTCTCCATTCCACCTCAACACCGCCGTTTCACTCCCAATATTCCATGAATAGCTGGCTAGCAATGTTAGGTCTGATAGCACGCAGAGCCCAAGGAACACCTGAGATTGTTTGCCTCGTTTCAACCAAGCTTTTCCGAGGCCGATAAAGCGCACCCCCTGCCCAACAATCAGGTTGTCATGACCTACGAGGCTGACCACCCAGCTGCAGCCTTCCCGGAGCTATGCCACCTCCTCCAGGAGCTTCCCATGAGCTCTAACTTTAGGTCATAAGACTATGGGAGAACCCATCTCAACTGCCGGAAGTTACTCTTTCTTGATTTTCCCTGTGTCTGCTAGTTAGAAGGAGCTTGCCTCGAAGATAGTTTTGTACAGACAAATATACTGACAGCCAACCTCTCACTCTTTTTTTTTTTTTTTGGGTGAACTTTTGTCGTTTCCTTCATTTTCCCATATTATCGTCCCACAATGCAATTCCTCGCACCGTTCCGACGTCATTTCTTCCTTCTTCCGATTCTGTGCATCGCGGAACCGGATGCGGACCCTCAGTATACCAACAATGCGCCTTTTTCTGGCGCAATCTACATCGTTAATCCCAATGGCGAAAGTGTGAACGCCGCAGGGACAAACTATTGCCCGAGCTACGCCTCAGTAAGCTGCGCAAACATGGGATCCCCGAGCTGGTAGGGACATGAGGTTTTTCCTCACAATGTTTCAAGCTGATACCGCATGCAGGTGTTGTCCAGCCTCATATACCTGTGCCTCACCTCCAAACTCAGGCGGCCTAATTGGCTGCTGCCCCTCTGGAAGTACGTGCGGGGGGAACGTAAATGTCGCTTCAATTACTACCGTTACAGTGCAAGCAGTGCAGCAAACATCCTACGTCTATGTTCAGCCTCAGCCTACCACAGTGGCAGTTTATAACGCGCCCACGACCCAAGTGGTAGCTCAAGGCGGATTTTGCAGCACTTTAACGATGAGTGGTCCTGGGTTGCCGACGACACGCCAGGGAGACTGCGGAACAATTCTTGTTGTAAACGAAGGCTACACAAATTTCAAACCAGTTGGGTATGGCATCGGCGCGATTGCCATTTTATTACACCTGGCCCTCGCGAGGATGTTTGGTGCGATTCATTGGCTGTAAATTTTAGGTCCAATTGGTGTTTGAACACGAGTTACGGGATTCAGGATTGATGAAGATATGATTTATGAGTTCAGTTTTGCGTAGTTACAGTACTACGTACCATATAGAACACTCATCAATTCCCTTTCTTCACATCCTCCTCCTCATTCTTCGGCACGTTTATCATCTTCGGCACCGTAACCGCATTCAGATGTCGAAAAGCCTACATCGGCACCGTTAGCACATTCCTTCAACTCCTATAAACTCACACCAGCCATCGTCAACGAAACCACAGCACCCACCCTCCAAGCCCTAGTTTCCCACCCCCAACTCCAAATCCAGAACCCCCATCCAATGTAGTAATTGGCCCACCACCAGGGGTTCAAAAGCAGGAACAGATCACTTACATTCGCGATGCTCGAATCCGGCAGTGACCCATCCCACCTATCTTCGACCTTCGTAATCTTCCCCGACAGGTCATCCGTATAAATTGCCACTACACTCTGCACCGTCTGCTCCTTCCCAATCCCCTTGATCACATACCGGGTTTTCAAGTCCATCAAGATTGGGTTCCCGGCGGATGTGACGGAATGGTGCAGGCGCTCGATTTCGCTGAAAGCTGATTGCAAACCATACCATTGCGCAGAGTAGCGATCGCGACCTGTCGCGATGGTCAATGGGTCGCTGAACGTGGCGTTGTCGGACCAAAGGGAGAGTTTTTGGAGGGAAGGGCGCCCGGCGAAGAGATCCAAGATGGAGCCTACGAGGGTCTTTTGGTGGGGGGTGAGGTTTATGCCCGGAGCCGTGGAGATAGAGGTGTTTTCGATAGGCATGTTTTCTACGGTAGGTTGAGAAGATGGATGGATGCCAGATAGCGTGAAGTTGAAGGCTGGGTGGGAAGTTTACCAGTAGACATGTTGAAGGCGCAAATTAAAGATTTTCTTCGAAATTGAGAAACTGTTGGTCTTGCAAGTGTTCTGAGAGAATTGGGAATGGATTGGGGATGGAATGCACGCATCAAATGAGCTTCTCGCTTATAGAGTTATTTGAGGAGAGAAAAGTGAGTGTCGGGAAGCTTCCTTTATTCTTTTACATGTTGCTCTGCGCGTCACAGCCTGTCATACGCGTTATGCTAGATTATCTATTCGCTAGCTAGCTAAAGTCATGACGCAATGGAATGTAGAGCGCGCTAAGAGCCTAGCTACAGGAGCGCCATATGATATGGGAAATCGAGATGTGCAGGTTGGATCTAGAGGAATTCGATGTTCCGAGGGACTCCTGGCGCTACGGGTTTGGGACTAAGGACTTATACTTTATAATGTTGCCAACATTATCCACAGTATCTCTCAAGAAAGCCGTAGAAATGGAGCAAGTCATCCAGGTGGTCTACCTCCCATGCCCAGCCGTCGCTACTCTCAAAATATCCTCCTCAAATCCAGCCACATGAACGACTTCAATCCCATGCTCTTCCAACTTCGCTCTTCCCTTATTCTCGCCAACAAATTTCTCCGGCTCTTGCACTCCAATATACACCTTCCTAATCCCGCCTTTCCCGCCCTCACCCCTCGTCCTGATAATCCGATCGACACATGGCAAATTTCCGCTTAATCGTAGATTACATGGCTCCATAGTGGTATATAAAACAACGTCACCCGCCAACAGTTCGCCCACACGATCTTCGGCAATGTCATGTGCCTGAGCTAGCTTGATCAGACAGCATTGCTCAGCATGGGTGTTTCCTTCGAGTTCTAACGTATACCCGCGAGCCAGAATGGAACCGGTGGTTTCATCAACAAGTAAAGCTCCGACACGAAAGTTGGAAGGCTTTGGTGGTGATTCTTGGGCTTGGTCTAGTGCAAGTCGCATGTATGTTGCGTGGTCTTTTGGGTCAATTGAGGGTTGTGGTGGGCGAGGGCCGCCGTTGTTGAACTCGGGAACGCACATTTTGAGAACAAAATCGGTGGTAGTGATAGTGGAGGTGTGGTTTGTGCTGAGGCGGCGACCTGTGGCGGTGAAAGTGGCCCAAGCATTGACCAAACTCCGTGTTAATGCCGACGTCATCCTAACGCGACGCGTCCTCCAGCATCCCAAAGTTCCATCTTCAACTCGACTGTGGTTTGTCATCCTCTGCCTTTTATCCACAAACACCATTCCACATGGCGAGACCAAGACGACAGAAGAAAGAAAAGGACCTCAAGGATGACGAGTTCATAGACGGCGAGGAGGATGTGGAAGTTGACGACGATGCGCCGCCCACCATCGATCCTTACGCTGTGCTTGGACTAGAACAAGATGCGACCGCCGACGATGTGAAGAAAGCGTATCGGAAGCAGGCACTGCTTTATCATCCCGGTATGTCTTCGCCCCTTCCATTCCATTCTCCTTTTCCCACCCCAATTCTAACACTTTGCAGACAAATCCCAAGACTCCAACAAATCCAACGCGGTCAAAAAATTCCAAGAAATCGCCTTCGCCTACGCTGTCCTCTCCGACGAACGTCGCCGCAAGCGCTATAACCTCACCGGCAGCACCGCCGAGACCCTCGACCACTCCGATGAAGATTTCGACTGGCTCAGCTTCTACCGCGAGCAGTTCGAGAACATCGTCACCGAGGAGAACATCCAGATCATTAAGGATGAGTACAAAGGCAGTGCTGAAGAACGGGAAGCCCTGTTGGATGCGTATACGCGGTATAAGGGCAACTTGGACAAGATTTACAATTCAGTGATGTGCTCGGATGTAGTAGAAGATGATGACCGGTTTCGACAGATTCTGGATGAGGAGATTGCGAAGGGGACGATTGAGTCGTTTCCTACGTACGAGCGTCAGAATAATGATCAGGCGAGGGAGAAGGTGAAAGCGGCTGAGCGGAAGAGAGTTGAGGAGTTCAAGAAGCGGAATGAAGGGAATGTTAAGGGTCTGAAGAAGGAAGGCAAGAAGGGGGATATGAATGACCTGGCGGCATTGATCAAACAGAGGCAGCAATCTCGTGCGGGGGGTTTTTTCGACCATTTAGAGGCGAAGTATACGGCTAAAGAGGACAGGAAGGGCAAGAAAAGGGCGAAGCCGATGGATGAGCCGCCGGAGGAGCTGTTTCAGGCGAACATTGACCGCATGAAGCGGAGTCGGGGGAATGCCCGTGAGGCGAGGAAGAAGATTGTTGTAGATGAGGAGGATGACGTATCGGAAGATATGGGCGTGTCTGACGAGGATGACGCTCCACCGAAAGCCTCCCGGAAGACAAAAGCTAAGGCTAAAGGCCGAGCTCGAACAAAGGCTCGCATGTAGGCCAAAGACATCAAGCAGTCTCAGAGAGGGCAGCGGGCAATTCAATGGGTATTTCGGACACTCAGCGTGGCGTTTTTTGGTATGTAAATAAACGCCGGCTTGCACGGTTTAGCAGAAGGTTAAGGAGTCCACATTCGATGGAGTTCAGGCCGGTAGTAGCACAGAAAACTTCTCCATAGTCTTGGACATTAGTTCCTCAAACAACCCTATGGGTTTCAAATAGTATTCTCATAGCCTAGGGTATCTATTTCAGCACAGCCATCTCTACGCATCCATCTTCTTATGGTTTACAGGCCGTTTCTCCGTCGGAACCCGATAAATCCGCTTCCCAGCCCCTCTCTCGAACTCCCATCCTACAGCCTGCAAAATTGCAAACCTCACCGCATCGATCCCAAATCTACGTCCGTTAACCCTAACCTCTGAACTACACGCCAACAGTTCACCTAACGCGCCGCCTCCCATCCGCGGCTGGATGTCCGCACGAATCTCATGCAACTTAAGCTGGAGTTCCGGCAGCGAGCCTATTGGCCGCGCACCCTTGCGTCCGTCCACACGAGACAGCACCCCCGAAGCTGGGAGATAAATCCTGTCGATTTTAGAAAGGATGATTTGGTACGGAACACCCGCTAATCGCAAACTAGCCATCAGCGAGCGGTCTTTGTCTTTCAGACCGGCGTAGGCGTCGACGAGGATGAACGTCCGCCGTAACTGCTTCCGTTGCGTGAGATACTTTACGATTTCGATACCCCATTCGGTCTGACTTCCCTCACCATAACCCGGTAAATCCACGATAACAAGGCCCTGTCTCCCAACAATTTTCTCATGCTCATTCCCGCCGCGTGATGGGCGGATGCGTACACCACCACCAGCAACAGTCCCAATGCCATACAGATTCATCGTCTTGGTATGACCAGGATGTTTCGACGTCCTCGCAAGCTCCCCGGCCTTCCCTCCCCCGGCCTTTTCTCTCTGCCCATGAGCCTTGAGATCCGCGCCCACAATAGCATTAAGCAGCGAACTCTTCCCTACATTACTCCGCCCTACAAATGCAACCTCGGGGACATCGCTCTGGGGCCATTCTCGGAATCTCGTGATACTACGGAGGAACGTTCGTTGGGCCTTCGTGAAAAACGAATGCGCTTGCGCTCGTTCGGCGATGGTGGGGGCGAGCGTGTCCCAGTACCAATTCACGGCTTCGGGGTCTAGGATTGGGGGTCGGTGGATTGAAGGTGCGGGGGGTTCGGGGTGGAAGCGGGGGTCTGAGGGTGAGGTTAGACGGACAACGGGGGCGGGGGTTTTGCGGATGGTGTGGTTATTGGGGGGATTGTTGGAGGCGAGACTAAGGGTTTTTTGGCCGGAGGTTAGGCGCACGAGGTCTCGGGGGTCGTTGAGGATTCTTTTGCGGAGGGGTCTGTTGCTGGTCGTGAAGAAAGGTCGGAGGTGGGTTCTGGCGGTTTTATCGCGGTTGACTGGGCGGGTGTGGAAGGCACTGGAGGCTTGTTGGAGGGTGTACGGGTGTTTGGAGAGCAGATGTATACATCTCTGGCAGATATAATGCGGCTGTGAGGGTAGTGCTGCCATTATATCTCTACTCAATGCTGCATTGGATCAAGTCTGAGGTTGTCCAGAAATTATTTCCACAGCGGTGGTCAGTGCTTCTCCGCAATCCACCTCCGCTCTTCCTCCCCAAACCCTCAAAGTCCCTCACACTTTCTCTACCACATGTCCACTCCCATAATGGCATCTACAGCCCCCCAAATCCGTTCCCTCTACCGCCGTATCCTCCGCGAACTCCCAACCCACCCCTCAGCCCACCAAAAGCTCTCTTCACCCTCCATGCTGCAACAACGCATCCGCGCATCATTTACCACACCCACTCCAAAATCAAGCCCGAATTCAAAACAGCACATCGATCAATTCCAACAAGCAGAGCAATTCATCCAATACATCCAAGCGCAGAGAATGTATGCGACGCTCATCGAGCGATATAATCCGGGCATGGGGATGAGTGAGGAGGAGCGGGTGCGTTTGACGGCTAGGAGGGTGGGTATGGATTTACCGCCAGAATTTAAGGCCGAGGAAAAGTGAATAGTCAGTTGGGTAGAAGATGTGGCGTTTGATTGAGACTGGAGATGGATATGGAAGGAGCTTGGTGAGGGATTTGGACCTTTTGTATAGGGTTGTCCCTGATTGGTGTTGCGCGGAGATACACGCGTGTGAAGGGGAATTTACCTAGGGTAGATGGATGATTGTTGCATCGGGTGGGGATGGACTAACCGGTACATATTTCGGTCCTCTCCTTGGGAAGCTAGAGGCTTCGTGTGAGAAAAGGCCAGAGAACAACGAGACACGGGAGAATGAATTGTATTGAAATACATAATGTAAAATCACCACGCATAGAATAGATATTGCACAAACCTGGAGGCAAGGGCAATGCATCATCAGCAGCGTATGATGTAAAAACTATATCTGGATATACTAATATCATATCTAAGCCTATAACCCTCTTCCAATTCCCTTCCCATCCTTTAATACAAACCATTCTAAAATCCCACTTATTCACCGCCTTGTCTAGGCCCACCTCTACGTCACCCATCCTCTCCGTTTCTCTTACCAAACCTACCCAGCAACTCTCGCCTCAAGTCAACTCATTCCTAAGTTAATGCGCGGTCGCTCCACCTCTTGGACGAACCTGGCTCGCTGGTCGAGGATCCGCTTTGTGCCTATTTAGAAAAGAAAGTCAGCCTCCGGATTCAACTTGCGTTCCGTTCGTAGAAATCTAGGGTATTCAAAACTCACTTCTTCACAATCCTCTCGATAGCATCGACGCCCTTAACCAAGACATCCATGCGGGGTCCATAGCTCAACCTCACGAAATGATGGCAAGGACTATCAAACAAATCCCTCCTCTTACTGGGGTTCAAATCGAAGAAGATTCCTGGGACTACGATAACCTTTTCCTCCAAACACGCCTGGAAGAAGTTCAACCCGTCGTTAATACTCTCTGGAAGCTCGCTCAAATCCAGCCACAAGTAAAATGTGGAATTCGGCATGAACGGAAACTTAAATCCGATTTCAGTGAGTCGGCCGATGACGTAGTCGCGCTTGATGCGGAAGTGAGTTTGCAGCGCGGCCATTTCGCAGCGCACACGGGCAGGTTCGAGCATCTGGACGGCAGCCTCTTGGAAGGGTACGTTGCATCCGCCGTCGAGGTACGAACCGCAGGATCCGATGGCGTTGATGAATTCTTTGGGGCCGAGGACCCAGGCGACGCGCCATCCCGGGAGTCGGAAGCGTTTAGTCAGGCCATCGATGATAAGAACGTCGTCTTCATCGACGTCTTCAATGTTGTCGGCGGCGGAGATTACGGTGCCGTCGCAGTTTGTGGTGTAGTTGTACCCCTGAAGGTTCCGGATGTTAGTACTTGTAAGAGAAGTACAATATTAATGATAGGTGTAGCATGAAGTGAATTTAGAGATGAGAACTAGTTGGGGCGGAGAGAGAAGGTCGTAGCGTTTCGGTGCGCTAACTTACACAGTAAAATTCATCCATAATGAGGGTAGCGCGATCACGGCAGATATTCTGGATCTGAGCGAGCTCGGGATTCGTGATCATTTGTCCTGTAGGGTTACGGGGGTTCGATGTTAGGATTACGGACGTGCCACGAGCGATTTCCTCAGCAATCTTGTCCGGAGACATGTGGTATTTGTCCTCTTCGCCTAAAGGAATGGGGATTGCAGCGATCTGAAGGGAAGGCAAGTTAGATTTAGTGCGGGATGATGGGAAAGACAAAGGGCTTACATTTTTGAAGAGAGACAGCATTTCGTTATAGGCAGTGTAGTCTAATTCGATTAGTACTGGGTGGTGTTACGTTGTATAAATGCAACGCACCGGGGATGAAGAAGCCCAAGTAGCAGTTCCCGAGGACGGCGGCAATACGGATCAGCCCTGCTCTGCCTCCTGGAACCACGCACACGTTCTCCCTAACCTATGATTAGCACATGATCTCTCATGGTCGTGTCTATCTAGGTAATATCCTTTCTCCTCTAAAACACCCACTTAACATGCCTAGGGTATAGACTCACCAAGTATACTGACTCTTCCTCCACTTCCTATGATGATCATTGTATAACTTCGCAATTGCCTCCCTCAATGGCCTAATGCCAGCCGTGGGTCCATATTCGCGGCCATGGCTCGTGATATCGACTTCCTTGGGTCTCTCAAAGCAACCCTTGATCTCATCATCGACCTCGGGAGCGCCTTGTCCCAAGTTCGCCCACTTGTCAGGCTCCTCGAGAAAGCCGTGCTCGTAGGCTCGTTCTGACGTCCAGACGACACCAGTGGAGGCACGTGTGGGATCGAGGCCCGCGTGAGGCTTGTGGCCTTCGTGGGAGGACCTGAATTGCCGATGGATTTTGGAGGAGAGTTCTGACGGAGGGTTAGTGGGGCTGGAAGCTTAGGAGTAGAAGACAGATAGATAAGAAGGTAATGTCACTGGGGAAAACTGAATGGGTTGGAGGATGATGCTCGGCTGTGGGGTTGGAGGGGATCGACCAGGGCTGTAAGACTGAACGAGACACATTTCATGGAAACTAATCCCAAAAAAGACCCCAAAACCAAAGCAGAAAGTCCAACACCCTAAAGTAAGACACCCTTTACATTTGACCACTCAAGAGCTAACAATCGCAGTCGTGGGCAGTATTTTCAGCTCCGCAAAAGTAGAAGAGCCGAGCGTGCATGCAGCACCCAAATGACGTCTTATCAGGGAAAAGCAAAACACGATAGAGATTCCAGACAGAAGAAATTGAGGGGGGGGGAGACTTGGGACTCACCACTCTCGCTCGGTTCCTTACTACTCGAAAATCTCCTCTCCCTGAACGTCCCCGTCGACTTGAAGGTCGGGATTTTGGCCGCCGAAAACGACATAGTGTTCAAGGAAGTAAGAGCTAAGCTTTTGTCTAGCGAATCAAGCGGGCCTTGGAAGGTGAAGGGAAGGATGATGTCAGAACAGCAGAGCAGACAAAAGAATCTCCACACTTGACTTCAATCCCAAGAGTGGAAGAGTGCAAAGCCAGGAAAAAAAACTTGCGAGCAGGGCACCAACCTACCTAAATATGTTCGCACCTCCCGAATGCATGAGCCAGCTCCAGCCAGAGCAGAGCCCAAAGCTCCCCTCCCCAGCTAACGCTCCCTCCCTGCAGCCCGCGCTTTGTCCAACATGCAAGCACTCCGTCACCATGATTTCCACGTCTTCCCGTCCAATCAACACCACGTATGCTTCGCACGGAATCCAGTGCCTGAGGCGCGGGCCGGCATTGGCGAAAGCTTCTCACACCGCTTGCACCTCTCAAACCCTGTGCTGCATCACTCATCCTTCATCGACATGCATCGGTATGCAGGTGCAAAGCATGTCAAAGTTGCGGTGAAAAATATAAGATCTATTGCATTTTCCCTCTCATGTACCCTCTATCATTCATTCAAACCGCATTTTGATCTTTTTATTTCCCTAGGAATCCCTGCTGTTGAAATGACGTTGAGGCTACTAGTCTTGAGCTGTTTTCCCCCCCCCCCCAAAAGTCTCCTGTTGCTGATGAGACCGGCAACATTGATGCCCGTTTCCGTGGACGCGGCGTAAATACGCAACCCAAACCCAACCAACAGAGCAAATGGTCTCCTGCTTATGGCGAGCGTCCGCAAATGCCCCTGGCGCGGTCCATGGAAGCACCTCGTAAAGTCATCAGCCTGGGACACGCTGCTCCGAAAGAGTTCGTCTCCGTCCTAGAGTGGGGGAGGCGGGGGGGATAATGCCTCATTGCCTCATGTGTGGCGTGGCAGGCAGCCCTATCGGATCCCACCCCTGGTAGTGGATCGTTGGAGGTTCTAGAAAAGATGAAGAAAATTCGAGAACATCAGACAGGAGAGTATCTCGCGGTCGCCGGGTGCACTGTTCGCTTTGTATCACGATTGCGGCGCCAGTGGGCTCGGCCGATATGGCACAGCCTCAAGTGAGCAACGGTAGCCACGCAACTGCTCCGCGCGATTAATCTCACAGGATGACAACGCAGCATCCAATAGTGTACATACTACATTCTATATACAGACCAGACGATGTTGCTCTAGCAACCTACACAAGGAGATACCAAATCGCTCTCTGGCCCTACAACAACTACAAAATGAACCAAAAAAAAAAGAGATACCACTACTCGACTGGATCTTCTTCTAGTATGACTTTGAAACTGAAAGGCTCGAACGGCAAACCGTCGCCCATGAAATGCTTGCTCATGGCTTCCACCCAGTGCAGACGCAAGGAATGCAGCATGGCGCTAGTGCCTTCCATGACACACAGAACGAAGACGGTCAGCGAGAACCAGAGATAGAAGACAACGACGAGTATAATGGCTCCCCCGATACCGGTGAAACCGAACGCAATCTTCATTGTCATGTCCCAGAGCACAATCGAGAGACGTTGATGTGCGAGTGACAGGGCCCAAAGACGGAGATAGGAAGCAGTGTGGGAAACGCAGTTGAGACAGAATTCTATCCAAGTTAGGGTCTGTCTCGTGGGTAGGTTTCAGGGCCAACTTACCTATGGTGTGAATCACCTGGTGAATCATGATCTCGCTAAATTCGAATTCTTCATGCTCTTCGCCATGGCCGATGTCCTGGGTGATCATAGCAATGCCGTCTTCATCATCGCCAAAGCTCTCTCGTCCACCATTGAGTGTCTGGCCTTCATCATCATCGTCGTCTAGAGCGCTGACCCGAGTGTTTTCTCCGATGCCACGATATCCCATTGCACGAGCCTTGTTGTGCTCGTACCTAAGATAGAAGGGTTTAAGAAAAAGAAGAATCGGTACACAAATCACTGCTAGAAGCAGCAGAATGACCTGGATTTTAGCTTGTCCTTTGTAAAGTGGCTGCTCTGGGTCCTCTAAGATCCCTGGTTTGAGGAACATATAAATCAACATATTTAGCAGACTGGGAGGGCTACGCCCAAGAGCATTCCAATCAACACACCACTTGTAGACGATTGAGAATGACAAGTACCCAAAGATCGACTGGAAGAAGATCATTCCAGGCACAAAATTTCCCCAGATATCGATCGGAGTGTGGAAGTAGCGCGCATTGATGAGTGACCAACAGAGAGAGAAAGTCATGTGACACCAACCAAGCAGGATACTCAGCTTCATCTTGTAGCTGTTGGAGAAGAGCAGGTCGTTGTCTGTGTCGTGCCATCTCCAATCAAGGCCGAATGGGTAAGTGTAGCCGTCTAGACGCGAGGCGGTTGGTCCCATTCCATTGCCATCCCACGTCCACATCGATGTGAAAATGGGCAGTTCTTTGGAGAAGGCATCGCAGTAGATCAAACCGGTGTACATGGAGAAGAGGCCCATCATGAAGACGATGTATCGACCGTAGAAGATCATGGAGAACAGTTCATCCAGCTTGCTGCGCATGAGTTTCCGCTCGTAGTAGATCATTGCCAAAGACGCAAGGAACAAGATAAGACCATGGCCAAAGTCTCCGAACATGACGGCGAAAAGGAATGGGAAGGTGACGATTGTAGGAAGAGCTGGATTGACTTCACGATACTTGATCGTTCCGTAAGCATCGATGATGGTCTGGAAAGCGAGGGTAAAACGGTTGGTCTTGAAATATGTCGGGGGTGTTTTGGTTGTCTTAACTTGATTCACAATGGTAGGGACAGACAGACCAGCTCGGTCGTTGACATCCTGAAGGGTCGATTTAATCAGTCCAAGGTAGTTAGTAGGAGCCCATGCCTCTGCAATGAGGGTCTTGCGCTGGTGGTCATAGGAGAACTTGTTGAGCGTTTGGTATGTCCCTTTTTCTTTCTTGATGATTACCATCCAAGCAGCCAGGGAACGACTAATGGCAGTCAACTCAGCATCCAAAGTAGATTTGGTGTTCCTCAGAACGCTTGCAAGGTCGCTCAATCGAGTGTTGACCTCGCGGATCTGATCACGACGAAGCTCGCTGTTCTCATCCACGCTGTAGAGATCGGCACCAAGAGACTCCGAGATCTTTCTGATCTTCGCAATGATCTCCTTGCCATGGGCGAAGATGATGAAAACGTTCTTGCTAATCTCTTCGTTGTTCTCGGGATTGATAATAGGCTTTGGAATCTCGGATTGATTCATGTACAGGTTGCCACGGAGAGTCCTCCAGAGAATGCGTTCGAAAGCTGCAATGCGCTCGCGGGGGATAACGCCGGCAACGAATCCAATGTTCATGACGGAGAAGGACTGTTCCCCGGCTGGTTCCCCTTGACCATGTTGTTCGACATCGCGGAGAAGGGGAGCATCGTCGTTGTCGAGCGAGTGTCGGATTTCCTCAGTTTGGCCACGAGCCTGTCACATGCATTAGACGAATACTTCGTAACAGAGACGGGGGATAGTCTTTACCCTGTCGAAGAAGCCGCCAGCCTCTTGGAGGACCCAACGCCACTCGGTGAGCTCGACCTCACGACGCTTCAATGTCTCATAGCTCTCATTGAGCGACGAGATCCTGTTCTCCAGGCTCTGGCTCTTGTCGGCGAGCTCGTCGATCTCCGAGGCAGACGGAGAGGTGAATGGATTGTTGAAATCGTAAATGGATCGCATCGGAATAGCCGCTTTCTCCATCTGCGAATGGAAATATCCTTGTCCATGTCAGTCATATCCAGAATCCAGTCACTGTATCGACATACGAAGCTGTCTTTCCACATTGTCCAATCGACGGATCTCCTGGGTAAAGGTACGTTGGAATGCGGTGGTCTCGGAGTTGAGCTAGGAAAAGCAAGCCTGTTAGCTATGCAGGTTCATCGCATCCCGTCAACCAAGCTTAAGGCAGTCTTGCCCGGTACTGTGGGTATAGCCTACATCTCTAAAGTCCATCACACCGAGCTCGCCTAGCGCAGAGACGACTTCGCGCCCTATCTCATTGGCAATGTAGAGCTGCGTCAAGGACATGTCCGCAGACCGGAACATGGTGTCCTTGGTAGGTGCCATGATGGCAGCTCTGGAAGCAGGCAGTCCTCAAGCGGAAGACTTGTTTCGAGGTTCGTTGTGGTGTTGATCCAGGGTGCGGTGGTTGGTGACGGCTGCCTTTGGCTTTGGCGATGATGCCGCAGGGGAGTTGCGAGTGCCAAGTCGCTATCCAGATCCTTAGTCACCACTAAGCTAGTATCACGTGACTGAGGAGACGTGCGTAGGTATATTGTTCGTTGTTAGGGCAGGGCATGACAAGATCTGCTCTATTGCGCGGAGGGGAGCGTAGTAATCCACGATTTTATTTTAAATGAAGTCGTGACCAGTGGCTGATGAATTTGCTTCTTGAAGTCACTATCTATGTATCCCCATCTCAAGGACGCCAATGTCCTACTAAAAATCCGGCTTCTCACCCGTGGGTATGAAACTTTTATACGCGTATAACTCCGATGTCACCACATCTGCCTTTCTATCATCCATATAGTCGTCTGCCCCGAGCGCACCAAACGGCTGAGCCACTTCACATCTGATGCATTACCGTGGCCTTGGCTTTACCTTCCCACTAATTTTCATCTGCCACGACAACCGGCATCACTTTCTCGCGGCTCGGGTCGTAGGCGACTGGGAGGGAAGAACTTCGCCAAAGACAGAATTAGCTTCAATCATCAAACTTTATGCCCTTCCCGCCCTCAGTATCAATCATACCACCTCTGTAAGATCCACGTTTCTTCTTATTCTTCTCCTTCGTGAAGCCCTTGCCTTTCGTCGGTTGCAGGTCGGCATGTGCCCTGTCTGCGTAGTCATACGAGACGTATTTGTTGCTAGAAAAACGCGGGTCCACCGGAGTGTTCGGTGCAACACGCTGGAAGCGATTGGCAGTAGCTGGTCCCTTCTTGGCAGGTCGGCCGCTGCTGTCGCTCAAGCCGTTTGCAGTATTGGGGTTTTCCTCTGCAGATCCCGAGCGTTTGCGTTTGTTGCTGCTGGCAAATTGGGGAGAGGCAGGGGGCAGAGTTGCGGTGGACTCGGAAGAGTTCTTGCGATTGAAAGGTGAAGTTTTCGTCTTCTTGTTTTCCACATTAGAGTCGGAGTCTGAGGAAGAAGAATCGCTGTCGGAGGAGCTCGATTCGCTACTGGACGAAGACGTCTCTGCACCTTTCTTGGCGGTGGTATCCTTAGGTGTCTTCGCCTTGCCGCTGTTCTCCGCAGGCACTGGATCCGAATCGCTGTCCGAATCGCCATCAGAAGAGCTGGAAGAGCTGGAAGAGCTGGAAGAGCCCGAAGAACCAGAGGAGCTCGACGATGAGGCAGATGAGGCAGCCCTCTTGCTCCGTTGGATCTTCTCGCTATTCTTGCTCTTATCTACGGGTTTCGTGCTCTTAGTCTCAGAGCTACTCTCAGCTTCACTCTCGCTGCCGCTGTCGCTGTCGGAGCTACTGTCAGAGCTGCTAGAATCGGAAGAGGAAGGAAGAGGTGTTTTCGCCGCCTCGGCTTCGAGATCACTGTCCGAGTCGCTGGAGGACGAAGAGGATGAATCCGATGAAGCGTTCTTCTTTGTTTTCTTTGCCGGCGGTGCCTTTTCAACCTCTGATTCTGACTCAGAACTTGAGGTCGAGGAATCAAAACTGGAGCTAGAGAGAGCGGGGCTTTTCTTCCTCTTTACTATTCTCCGTCTCTGTGTTTTCGTTTGTTGTCCAGCGTCGGAATCGCTGCTAGAATCGCTGCTTGCATCGCTTGTGTCAACATCCATCGCCTCGTCTGCATCCTCCTTCTCGCTACCGCCAGGTTTGTGAACCTGCTCCCATTCCTTGAAGAGAGTGGTCAGATCGGGATAGCTGGTAGACGCTGATGGAGGGGCCGTCGCAGCATCGCGCTGTTGAGCTTCTGTCTGGAGATCGCGGGCGGCTTTTGCATAACCATGCTCTTTGAGGAAGCCTTGGACGAGGTCGATCAGAGGAGCTGGCGCCTGGGGTTGCTTCGCACTGGATTTGGTAGTTGTTTTCCGCTTGTCACTAGTGCTTTTAGTGTGCAGCTTCTTTTCACTGCTTGCCATGGCGTCCCAATTGGACTCGGTACAAAAGGTGAAGGGCTGTTAGGGTGGCTGGAGTGAGATGGGGAGTGGAGGAAAAAAAGTTCAAATTTCACATCTGCGGCGCAGGCCGCTAAACCCTTCTTGGACACGACAGCCTCTACCCCAACTCGACCAGGATCCCGGCCAAGCATCGCTAACTAAGCACATCTCATACACTGTCCTAACGCCTCTCACTACGTCCAACAAACACTGGTCACGGGCGGACCAATTCACTCTAATCCTCACTCTTTTCCTCTTGGCGGGATCCAGTGCATTGCTTGGCCTGCAATCGCCTCCCGCCTGTCCCTTTACCCACTTACTTCCCCATTCACGCACATCTCGCTCTCCAGACCAGCGACTCGAGCTCGTCACCCTCGTATTTCATGGCCAGAGACTGTCGACTGCCCGCACCATCTTAAAGGCTCGGGCCTGGTGCACTCACTCCGTCGACGTGCATATACTGCCGAAGACGACGGTCGCCCGCCTAGCGCGCTGTACAAACATCCATGGACTCAAACCCTCGGCCGCGCAACCCCCCGAACGGGCTGCCCGGGAACAGGAGGCCAAGCAATGAAGCTCGCCGTCCGCCTGGCGCCCCGGGAGGCCCGCCTTCGTCCTCAAATTCCTCAACAGTGCAGTCGGGGATATCGCGCGCCGAACGGTTTGACGAAGAACGGCGAAGGATCAACGAAAGTGCCTTCGCCAAGGTCGACGACCAGGGACAGCGTATGTTTCCCCTTCCCTTACCCCAGAAGAACTTGTCGCCGCTTCAATTGTATCTCTACTATCTATCGATTATTCAAACTCCCGTGTCTGGGTCTGACCACCGCAAAGCTATTGAATCTTACATAACCCACATCCGCGTCCAAGAAGATGGCGCTTACCCGCAAACACCGCCCCCGCCGAATGGCAATCCCTCTAACAAGAAGAATCGAGTCATTATTGTATCCGTACGTGCCACCGGTCGCGTGCGTCTCCACAAGGCTCGCGAGAATGCAAATGGTACCTTCTCAATTGGAAAGACGTGGAATATGGAGGACCTCTCCGGCATCGAGAATTTTGTCCATCTGGTTCCTGCCAATGAGGACGAGGCACAGAGGATGAGGTGGGCTGGTGACTGTGGGTTTACCGTAACCATCCAGAAGCCCTATTACTGGGAAGCTGGTACCCCCAAAGAAAAAGAGTTCTTTATTAGCAGCATGGTCAAGATCTACCACAAATATACTCAGGGGAAATTCCCAGTACTGTCAGGTTTCAATGCTGCGGAACTAAATGCGTTGACGGCGGGAAGGCCGCAGCTGGCAACAGCGGAGGGACGCGCGCAGTTCGACAGGGAGAAACCAGGAGGCCCTCCACAAAGACTGGGTCAGTCTCCACAGATACCTCCACCTTCACCTCTGCCGCCAGGCATCCAAAGGGGGACTCCGCCCCCAGGAGAAGAGAGAAGACCACCTCCGTTGAGAGACGAACGACGACCGCCACCACTATCAGAGGATAGGCGGCCGTCGTCTTTCAGGCCTAGGCCAACAACTGCAGACGAGGAGCGAAGGCCTCCACCACGACGCCCTCCGACGGCAGAAGGCGACAGAAGGCCACCACCGTTGCGGGGACCCCCTCCCCAAGGCCGGCCTTGGACTGGTGATGAAGACCGAAGACCCCCGCCTCTTCGAGGCCCCGGCCAAGGTACTCCACCACTCCCTCCATTCGCACAGGGCCCAGATGGACAGCGACGCCCAAGGCCGAGACCTTCCATGGAACAGGGCATGCGATCGTCGCCAAGCCGAGAACAGATGGATATGCGCTCGCCGCCTAGCAGGGAACAAATGCGCGCGATGCCTGGACAAGCGCCGACACCTCCACTTTCACAAAGGCTGACACCTCAGTCTTCACGATCAGAGTTCGCTGCCCATCGACCTAAAACACCAGAAACCGGGAGCGTCTCGTCTATCCCGGTAAGCCTGAGCCCCGGACGACGACCACAGGCAGATGATGCTCGATCTCAGAGGTCAATAGAGGAGTCATCCTTGGATGGTGCGGGATTCGGTACTATGGCGGGAGAGCAGCGCAAGCAAAATGGTTTTCCTTCACCGAACCGCAGGGATCCTTCTCCAAAGGGCTTGAGGCCGGGCACGGCGCAAAGTAATGCAAGCTCGGCATTTTCGCGCAATGATGACGCTCAGCCAGAAGAGCGCCCCCTACGTACTGCTCCACCAGAACGGAGACGACCTCCGATGCTCACCGCTCAGTCACAGAGCAGCGTTGGAAGCGGCTCGAACAACGAATTCCACACTCCCGTTCAGTCTCCACCACCACCTGCAATTCTGCAGGCTGGCAGGCAGCCGCAGAAACCTGCCATGTTCGTCGAGGCACGACAGAACACGGCTCAGAACGTCCCCGAACCTTCCCAACTTCCAAAATCCTCACAACCTTTCCAGCCTCCTCCCACCTCACCTCTTCCGAAAATACCAACGGTCACGGAATCAAAACCTCGTACGACTGCCATTGAAGAAGTAAAACCAGCCGAGATCGAGCCAGAGCCTGCTGCAAAGCCTGTTGCTCCGACGGAAGATGAAGAGGAAGCTGCGCATCGACCTGGATTAGGCCCAATGATCAAGAAGAAAACGGGGGACAACCAAAATGCAGCAAACGCAATTCGCAAAGCAGCATTCGCCCTTGGTGCATTCAAGCCCCGTGCAGGTGGCGCTGCTGAGAAATTATTTGCCAAGGAGACGAAAACATCAGATGAACCGGATGGTATCAGCGGGGTATTTGTTCCACAGCGTCCGACCCCCAAGGAAGAGATGGAAAAGAAACTGGAACAAGACAATAAGCCCGGACCAGATCGGTCGTCAAAAGAGCGGCCCAAGATTGATACAGAAGTGGTCCCTTCCGTAACAGTCTCGAGCCCATTGTCTCCGACCCCCGTCATGCCGCCAGCAGACACTGAACAGAAGTCCCCAGCGCGCTCTCCCAGCTCGGACAAGAAGGCTGCTAAAGCTGAGGCCGAAGCGGAAGTGCGGCGCAAGAAGAGACGGTCCAACCAGCAGGTCAAGAACATTTCGAGACTTGGGATTGATCCAGGGATGCTTGATGGCCGTGGACTGGAGTTTGAAAATCTACTGTCTGAATTCGGCTGGGGTAGCAGCGAGCTTTCAGGCAAGAACATTGAGTCACTTGAAGCTGACATCAAGCGAGAGATTGCTCGCGTTGAAGCTGGCAGCTGGCTCAACCATCTGGAACAAAAAGATGAACGAGTCGAGGCTGTGGAGAAAATGCTGGATCGTGCGATTGCAGAGTGTGACGAGCTCGAAGGGCTTCTTACCCTCTACAATGTTGAGCTTAGCGTGGGTTCTCCTTTTTCGTCTGTTAACCCTGACCATGTTTGCTCGGCCCACGATGCAAACTGTATCAACGACTTAATTCACGACACTGACTTTCCTCTACAACAGAGCTTAAACGACGACGTTGCATTCATCGAAGCTCAGAGCCAAGGATTACAAGTGCAAACGGCGAATCAAAAGCTGTTGCAAACTGAGCTCCAGCAACTAGTTGATACCATTTCTATAACTGCTGACCAACTAGAACCTTTGAGACGTGCACGTATAGGTAAGGTGAACGATTTGATGGATATTGAGTCATCCCTAGTACTTCTTTACAAAGCCCTGATCACCATCGATCCCGCTTTTGCAGAAGCCAGTCGAGCGAGTGCCGCCGGGGATATGAGCAAGCTCACCAGCATCTCGGGCTTTGGAAATAGCGAGCTTGCAACAATGCGTGCACTCCAGGAGAAGAAAGATCGGTATATCAACGAAAGTGCAATGTTCCTCGACCGGTTAAAGCAGCATATGGCGATCACTTTCGGCGCTGCCTTCATTCAAACTAAAGACATCCTTGCCAACATCGATCAAACAGCAATGCCTTCAACGAGAGCCAATATTGATGCCCACGATGCCGGTCGCAGTCAGTTATGGATGTTTAGTCCTCTCATACTCTTTGCCAAGGAAATTGACCGAGCTTCTTGGGATGAATTGATCAAGATGTACCAAACTCAAGCCGGTCAGATCTATCAAGACGAAATACGAGATAATATCTTGTCCTGGAAACGGTTTGCACGGAAGCCGACGGGTGAAGAACAGGAGCTCCTATTTACAGCTCAAGAAAAGGAGCCTGAGAGTATAACTGGTGCAGCGAGAAAATTGACCGTGAAACGAAGTCAAACGCTTGCCCGGGGTCTACGAGCAGCATCTGGAGATAAGGAAGGTAAAGTCGACAAATCTCAAGCCGGCAAGCTATACGGCTATGACGTGTTTTCTAAAGCTCTTGACGATGTCGGTCCGGTTCTTTTGACGGAACAAAATTTTGTCACGGACTTCTTCCACGCTACTTCTTCCGATGCTGTAGATTTCCCTGATGCAGTCCAAGCCGCACCTCCCGAGGAACGCCGCGGTGCAAATCTTTACAGCCGGAAACAGTTTGAATCCGATCGAGCCATGGCTAAGCGTGTGGCGGAAGTCATGGAAGAAATCTTCTCTTTCTGGCCTACTGAGATACAAAATCTTGTTGAATGGGCCGTGAAGGCAGATCCTTTGCAAGGAGTTGGCATCCTCTGCGCTGTCGACCAAAAACTCTTCGAGATTGAGGATTCAAATCAAGACTTCCTCACTCGTACGCTTCAGAAGGTTCATGAGCGACTTACCGGCCTTTTCATCCGGTTTGTCGACGAGCAAATCCGTGCAATAGAAGACACGAAAGTCAAGATCAAGAAGCGGAAAGGGGTGATTGGGTTCATGAAAACATTCCCCCATTTTTCTGTCGCCATCGAGAATATGTTGCCTGCTGCCGATGACGAGGAGCAACTCGAGATTAGGCGCATGGTCGATGACGCCTACCAAAAGATCAATAAGGCAATGTTTGAGAGCTTAAAGGTCATCGCCAAAGAGTCTCCCGCTGTCATGGCAACACAAGGACAGGGCGATCCCGAGGATAAGGAGGCCCTGAACTACCATATCCTTCTCATTGAGAACATGAACCATTACATGGAGGAAGTAGATGCGCGTGCCGACCCCATGTTACTAGAATGGAAAGCCAAGGCAGAAGATGAGATGAGGGAACATATGAACCTCTATGTGGATGCTGTGATGCGGAGACCTTTGGGCAAGCTTCTGGTAAGCACATTACTCTATTCTATCCTTTCTCTCTTTACAGTTCTAAACATCTTCAGGAATTCATTGAATCCACCGAGACCCTTCTTGCCCAGCCGGGCACCACGCCGCAATCAATCGCGACTCGCTCATCGCACTCCCGATCTCTGTTCCGTAAACTAGTCAATTCATATGATGCCAAGGAAGTACGGAAGGGCATTGAAGCGCTCAAGAAACGAGTCGACAAGCACTTCGGCGATGCAGACGACCCAAGCATCAGCCGCGATCTCGTATTCAAGGTCCTCAAGGAATGCGAAAAGAAGTATAGCGATATCTACGACCGCACCACCCGAATTAATCAAGATGTATACACAGGCGAGGTAGAGATGGACTGGGGTCCTGGCGAAGTCGCAGCTGCGTTCCGTCGGTAGGCAGTGCCCTGTAGCGATTTGCTTGATTCGTATGTTGTTTGCATACATGTTTTGGGGACTCTTGGACATAGCACATGCGCGCATGTTCCTCTGGCGTTTTATGGGTTGGAAGTAAGCGCATCGTTAGGAGGGTTAGCTAGGCTGGAAGCGCTCAATCTTCAAGTATTTGCAGTGACAAGCAGAATCGGTTTCCTGTTGTGCACTTACCTCTGTTCTTAGCGCATGGTTCATTTAACAAGGCTTGCTACTTAAGGTTGGCACAATTCGTAAGTAGCTCGAACATCGATCCTAGTTTCCACGTCCCAAGACTTGCTGCCTTATGTCTAACCTTCATACTGCCATGCAGTATCTTCTTTTCCGTGTAGAATGTACGGGCTGTGTAGCTATGGTGGCTGTGCGCCACTTGAATCTGTGAGGCTCTCGCCGGTCTTGACGATACCTTTCCCACATCGTGCGGTCCAGTTAAATTGATACAAGTACTTTGTAAACAGGCTTCCCTTTAATTGCAAAGCTGAGCAAGCGCTTTACCGCTTAGGGCGAAACTCACAACTTCATCAATAGAGTCCAGCCGCATCGCTGTTTTGCAACCAACCTTTGGTCCTGCCCGCGACTGAAGCATTTGGGTGTGGTTTACATTCCCGGTGACTATATGTATATGCTTGAGTATGTTGGGTACCTGAATTCGCTCCTGGCGAAACAATGTCACTGTGAATCTCCCCATGTAGCGCAACTTACGGGTCAAATTAGAGAAGACGGAACTCTCGGTCGACGAGGGAGGAATTTTCAGCCTTTCTTAGCTAGTTTCACGTCACTTCACTGACGTCGGGTTGTCCATTCAGCATTTGACCGACCCTGACGACGATCGACTTCCCCCCTGTTATGCTAGTCTCATTCCGGATGATGCATTGACGACATCGATCGCGGGGTGAAATCCAGATCCTCCACCATCACAACACGACAAGCATGTGAGTTCTTGAATGCCGCCGGGCATTGTGTCATGCATCCAACTGGTTCTTAATTATGAATATTTATCTCTATGCTGATTCCCAGCACTCTTCTCATCTACGCATTACCAACACTGCATTTCTGCAATTTGCCAATTGCTGACTCAACAGAATATCTTCCTATCCTACCTATCCTACCTATCCTAGAATCTCTATACGACAATAATTTGAAGCATGACACTCCTTCAAACCATCCTCCGTACAACCGCATTCCGTAACCCGCTGCTACGAACGCTCGTCCCCACCGTCGCGCTTGCATACGGGATTCAAACCGCGGTGGCCGTGCCCTCGATTGCCGCCAAATCAGAACGGTTTTACGATCTTTCGGGCAGCTTGACGTATCTGTCCTGCACAGCCTTGAGCCTTTTCCTACCATACTTACGAGCGAGGTCCGCAGGCAATGTCGCTGGAGGACTAGCTGAGTATCTGAGTCCGCCAGCGCCGGGGCAAGGCGCGTGGTGGTGGCGACAGGCGGTGTTGAGTGTGGCGGTTGGGGTATGGGCTACGAGATGTAAGTCAGCCAGGAGGGGCCAATTTCTGTCCCGTTTCCTATATCTTATCATGGTTGAGCACGATGATAGATATCTGACATCTAACATGAGAACGTAGTGGGATCATACCTCTTCCAACGCATCACCTCAGATGGCCACGACTCCCGCTTCGACTCCATCCGCGGCTCCGCTGTGAAATTCTACGCTGCTTTCTTCGCGCAAGCAACATGGGTCTCGCTCTGCCTCCTCCCCGTCATCGCCATCAATTCCCTCCCTCGCTCTGCATTCGCCCTCTCCCGCATCCAGAACGTGACGAGTAGTATCCCTGTCCCCATCTCTGCAAAACCATACTGGACCGACATCCTTGGTCTCTCGCTCTTCCTCTTTGGCCTAACTTTCGAGATCATCGCCGACCGCCAAAAGTCACAATGGGCAAAAGAAAAGAAAGAAAAGAAACACAGCGAAGAATTTCTAACCCGGGGATTATGGTCGAAGTCCCGGCATCCGAATTATTTCGGTGAGTCCACTTTGTGGACGGGTATTGCTGTCGCTGCCGGCGGTCTACTTGTTCGGAACTCGGCCCAGGTGGGGCTGAGGTTGAATGGTCTTGGGGGCAGGATTGTGGTGTTGAGTATGTGTGCGGCGAGCCCGGGTTTTGTGACGTTCTTGTTGTTGAAGGTGAGTGGGGTGCCGTTGAGTGAGAATAAGTATGATAAGAGGTATGGGGATCGGAAAGATTATAAGGCGTGGAAGGAGAATACGCCGATGTTTTTGCCAAAGTTTTGAGGGGTGGTTGAGCGGTGTTTGGGCTCTGTAGTGTCGAGTTATACGATTAGTATGGTGTGAAGTGGAGTAGAATCTCATGTCGAGGGAATTGGGTTGCACATGCGTATGAGGCTATGTTGATATTTACTCCGAATGGTCGACATCTAAGTGGATGTTTTAAATAGTATATTAAAAAACTAATTTCAAACGTTAATGAGCATCATGATCGAAATTCCCACACATTTCTCGCGTTTCTGGCATGAAACAACCGAATATCCCGTGATATACTTTGAGTACCACATGGCACCATCAATCTCGAAGCATCCCATCACGATCACCCGCACTTCCATTCACGAACTTCCCCCCTAAACCCTTTTCAAACACAACCTTGAAATCTACCCATCAATAATCTCCACGATATCCCCAAACTCAGCATACAGCCAGGGTTCTAGATCTCGGAAAGCCTCAGGAACGTCATTGTGCTGCTGCTTGCTGCTGATATCAACATCCAGTCCCACCGAGTCGATATGCTCGTTCTTGTCTTGGCCGATCTCGACTGGTGTTTTCGTAGACTTCGTTCGCGGCACACCCTTCCCATCTTTTACCTGCTTCAACTCCACAAGTGCTGATCCTTTTAGCATCGATTTGGCAGACTTGAAACCATCAAATGAGGGCTGAGGGCTGCTGGTATCGTTCAACAACGATGATCGACTCTTCTCTAGCCGCGCTGTTGGAGATTTGACCGGGGATAAAGACGCGTACTGAGTGAGACATGTTTCAGCACTGGTACCCAGGTTCTGGTAGCCGAGATCTCTGCCGTTTTCGACATCAAATATCTCCGCCAACGCACTTAAGTCCTCCTCGTCCCCTTTGTTGCCTGCTTGAAAATCTTTACAATCCTTTAAACTGACCATCGCTTCTCCAAGTGCGGAATCATCATCATCGAAAAGATGCAAATGATGATCGGAGGGAACATCATAAACACATTTCTCGATTCGACTGTCAATATCCGCTACCTCTTGTTGTGTTCTTGGTTTTTTACCAGCACGTCTGATTTCTGGAGTGTCGAAATGAGTGGAAATGTCGTCCATCTGGATATCACCATAGTCACTCGACTGAGCGGTCCCTTGTCTGGTCGAGTCATTGTCTAGGAAGGACAAACTGTGGCCTTCACCCGCAGAATAGCAGTAAGTGGGCTTCTTGTGCATGATAGAGGAGATAGAGGCTGGAGAGTCCTTTTTCTGGACGCTTTGGTGAAGCTGATGCAGATTGCGATAGTCTATTGGCCCATTTCTGGCGTAGTCCAGCTTCCTCTTCTTTTCCTGTTGCGTCAAGTCCAAGACCTCGATGGGAGTCGAGGTTTTCCTCTTCGAGGGTGTAAGATAAAGCCTCGTTTGCGTCTTGTCGACCTTGTCTACTTTCTTCTTCGGGACAGCTTGAGATGATGTCCCATTCGTAGCTAGGACCTTTTTCACGGGCTTCTTCGGTGGCTTGTCAGTACCCTCCTTACAACAATAGTGTTTACAGCTCTTTTTGTCTTTGCACTTATGATTGCATGCCCATTTTCCATTTTCTAGTTGCTTTGGTTCGTATTCATCTTCTTCCACAGACTTCTCCAGGCTCTTGCCCTTGCCCTTAGTAGATGTGTTATTGGTCGTGTTCTTCCTGGTAAGGGCGTGATTCGGATTTGCATAATTCTCTATATGATCAAAGTCAAGGTCTCCGAAGGACGCCTTGACCAAATCGTCGTCATCAATCCCATCGAGTCCGAATTCGTCGCTTCCATCGGACGATCTCCGGCTTCCAATCATGGTCTCGATTCGACGTCGAGACATGTTGGAAGTAGGACGCTCGGGGCCACTAGATAAGCTGGCCGTGTCATGTGGCCTGGGCCGCGTAAACCTTGATGCTGGGATATTTGGCTTGACGGTTGCTCCTCGCATCGTACCCGCTGGAAGATATGCATCAGCAAGAAGAAAAGAAAGACTCAGTCATTGCTTACCAAGGCCATCACACATCACGTAGCAATTAATGTATTGGTCTGGACCCGTCAAATGCGCTAGGAACGTCAAGTCTTGTCCCTTCCCAAGTTTGAATCCACTACCGGGTGTCAGGTAAAGATCAAGGCGCAGAAGACAGCAGTTTACCTTATCCGAGCAAAATGAATCAATCGTTCATCCGAGGTCTCAGCTAACAAGCAAACGTAAATAGGCTTTTGCTGAAAATTGGATGGTGGGTTTTCGTTAAGGAATCCAATCTCTGCTTTAACCAGAATTTTGACCCCATCGGGAGTTCTCGAAATCTGCTTGAGGGTTAGCAAATGCTCTGCACAGACACCAACAGACACTGACAGAGGTAGGCTGAACATGAACTGAGACTCGAAGTTTGGGAAACGGTTTCAATCGGTCCAATAGTTTCATGCCGAATGGCGGATTCTTGCCCAATATCATCTCGATTCTGTGAGGTTCAGTATTTTCGAGTTCTTCAATGCTCCTGATTCCTGCGTTCACTAGCTTTCTCACCGCAACAACGCCGATTTGTTCAATCTGCTTCAGCTGTAGAGGACTGTCATCCCATGCCCGGCCGCTAAGGCTTCGTTCCAACATTAAAGCGTTTCTGACAGCAACGGAATCCCCCAAGCAGATCTGGCAGTCAATGATACACCGGATCAACCGATGTACATGCTTGAAAATTAAACTCATCTCCATCGTGTACTGCGACCTAATCTTGGCCCCATTTTCAAAGGACATATCTGCACCGCCAAGGACGGATTGGAGTATTAAAGACACTTTCTGCGCTGGGGCGTCAAGATTCACTGGAATAGGAAAGCGTATAGAGGGAGACTGGTTGAGGCTCTTGTAGAATGGTTTCTCGCCGGCTCTGAATCGAATCTCTTTGAATTCAGCCGCTTGTGCAATTGCAGAGAGCTATCCGGCGAGGGGTCAGCACCTACAGCCCTCTTTGGGGAGAGGGGGATGAATTTCCTTACCATTTCCGAGATTTTAGTCTTTGGCTCCAGTCCTAGGAAGGCCCTCATTGTATCAAATTGCACATAATACCGTGCCATGGCATCCCCAAACTCGGTGCACTTGAAGTGCTGATCCTTCGTCACAAGGCTCGTATCCTGGAGGAGTGTGATGTCACGACTGCAAATATCGTCCAATTGCTCGTCAACATCTTGTCCGCTTCTGGCCCCCTCCAACTTATAGTAGTTGGGGTTTTGCTTGAGTCGCACGTATAGGAAAGTGCCCGCAAGCCACTTTTTCGCAGAAGTGAGATCTCGGATGGTTCTAAGGCCGACCTCGGCGTTCAAGTGGTCAACAAGGTTCAAGTGGAGACAACTCTCCAATATATCTTGCCCAGTCACCATTAGTTCGTAACGACGAACCTTTTGCTGACGAGTCATGATGACTGCGATTGCACTGTTGTCAAATTGGGGCCGTCCGGCTCGACCGAGCATCTGCATAACTTCCAGGTCAGCATACTCTTTCAGACCTGTATTCGTGTAGGACATTGTATTCTTGATGATGACAAAGTGACAAGGCAAGTTGACGCCTACTGCGAGTGTTGAGGTACAGCAAATGACATTGATGTCACCTTTCAAGAACCCTTCCTCAACACCTTGTCTGTCATTCGGCTCTAGCCCTGCGTGATGGAAAGCCACTCCAGATGCTACACAGTTTCGGAGTTCGCTATCGCGAAAATGGAGGGCCTTGGACGGCTTCTTCCAGTGCCGGTCTTGGGAACTTCTTGATATCCACCAATTTGCGAGCATCTTCGCGGTGCTCACTGTGGAATTTCGAGTGACGCAAAATACCATCATGGGCTTCCGCTCTGAGTATTTAGTAATGACCTCTGGGAGCTTTCCATCCAGGAATTTTTCGAAAACGAACTCGTTGCCACTGCTCTGATAGCCACAGACATGTTTCTTTAACTTGACTGGTCTGAATTCTTCACCGAACCTCTCGTTGTTCGCAGGTTCGAATGGCTCCTGGGAATTTTTCCCGAGCCAAGTTGCCACATCCTCAAAGTTAGGGACGGTTGCTGACAGTGCCACAAAGCGTACATCGGTCCCAATCGTCTTCATTCTAGATACGACAGTCTCCAATGTTGCTCCCCGGTCCTCGTTGAGAATGTGAACTTCATCAATCAGGAATAGTCTAATGAGTTGCATGAGTTTCTCATGATCTTTCCATTTGCGAGTGATGCTATCCCACTTTTCTGGTGTCGTAACAATGATGTTCGCGGATTGCACAGCACGGAGATTGGCGTTGTCGCTGTCACCAGTGAGCTCGGCGCATTGTAACCCGAGAGGGTTGAATTTCTTCTGCCAATCCCGTTGTCGCTCGGAACAGAGAGCCTTGGTCGGAGCTTGGTACACGATCTTGTACTGACCTGTAGCGTTTGTGCTGATCGCTCGACAAATTGCAAGTTCTAGAATGGCCGTCTTTCCGCTTCCAGTCGGGGAAGAAAGGACAAAGTTATCATCGGATTTATACACGTTCTTAAAGCACTTGGACTGTACAGCGTTGAAGAAATCGAATGGGAAAACGGTGCGAAGACGGTCAGGCAGCTCAGATCGTGGGATTAGTGGGATACCTTGGGCCATCGGAGGAGCGTGTGGCAGAGCAAGTTGATTCGGAATAAGCTTCTGTGAGGCTTTCGGGCAGGACGGAAGCGTGCCCTTCCTACGGTGCTGAGCTTCAGTGTACAAGACACTTTCTCCGTCTAGGGTAGATCGATTCGACAGCTTTGGGACGACAGCGTGGTGGTCTTCAGCCCGTCGCTGACTGGCCCTAAATGCTGGGCTGGATGATGCTCTGAACTGCAGATCGGGGCCGGACTCCTGCAATTGCGTAGCACTGAAACCAAATTGCGCTGGGGTCTATTAGCCAAAGACTCAAGTTAGAGGCACAGAAATGGTAAACTTACGTAGATTCCTGATCCGTGGCTGGGACTGCACACGAAAGTCTATGAAGGTCAATATTCATACATCCGGGCCTTTGACCAGCCACTTACCGTCAAAATAAGCCTGGCTGCTCTCTCCTCCGCCATGATATGCAGCTTGTGACGGAGAAGGAGCACCGACAGTCGTTAAGTACCTCGGTGCCCTCGACGCCAGCGAAAGTCTCGCTTTACCTTGTGCAGCCTGCCTCTGACGGTCTTCATAAGGTCGCTGGAGCAGTGCTTCATCTGCCCCACATTAGCATGCTCTACTTCCCCGAGTGGTAAATTGATAAACTGACCAAAGGAGTCAAAGGGCATTTCTGATCCATCTTCGTCCATGCCTTCTAAGCCAACGGACTTAGGCTCTTCGGTATGTCGAGGAGCTCGGTACCGATCACGGGAAGGCAGTGGACGAGGTGGCAGTATGTACTTTGATCGAGGGAGGCTGTACTGCCGACCCGCTTCTCGGTGCTCGAGTTCATCGAGGAGGTCAAAGATGCCGTCCCCCATGGTCACTACATGTATCGTAGATGACTGATGAAATTGAAACTTAGAGATACCCACGAAATGGTGATCAAGATAGACGGAAACGCAATGACGAGATCAGGTAGAGGTGAGGTGGCGAGGTCGAAACTGAATGGATATATTGGACGGGGAAGGAGCGGTGGACAACGAACAGTTCAAGCTGGTATCTAATTTGTTGCGCCTCTGCTTGTGAGGCAGCTGCTACCTACCTGACCTGCAGTGAAGCAGCCCACCGTTCACCATATCCCTCCAAGTAGTATATACACACACCCGCCTACCCAAGGACCCGTGCGCTTATCAAAACCTGCCGACGGTCTCTTAACCATAATCGCTGAATGCTATCATTATCTTATAACGCCAAACCCATTGTGTCGTCCCTTTCAAACGTTCCCAAAGAATGCCCCCACCGAGAAAGACAATGCACCAGACCCCTGAAAGCCGTCCAATGATTTTCCGATAGCCAAATCCCTGTTGTTGACTGCGCCTACCAATATGAATGACTCGCTTTTGCGAACAATAACCCTATTTAAACTCTACTCGATAGGCCCGGTCTCCAATAACCGGCTTAAGAATCTCGCTTTGGGAATGTTTTGCGATCCGAATTCGTCCGGAAGTGATGACGGTCAACTGTAGGAGTACTGGGTCTCGAGGTGCTCAGGGTGCCAGATCTAAGCGGGGACTTAGCTAAAGTCCCCGAGCGCTCAAGGTCAAAGTACGATGGATTACCATCGATGGTGGTCTTTTCATAGTCGGCGATTCGGATTGGGGGTGGTCGGATGCGGTCTTGGCTGGTGTAGAGGTAGGTCGCAAATAGAACGACGCATGTGCCAATCAAGTACTGCCTACTGTCAATAGCCGTACCAAATATATTTTCTAGTAGCACTTACAGATGCGGTGATTGAGAAATTGAAGAAGATGACGCTGGCGAGGAAGCTAATGATAATGCTGATGCTTGTGGCGAAATTCTTTGCAATGTTGTCGGCGTAGTTGATCACCATTGCAACGATTACGCCTCCACAGGCTTGGAAGGTGATCGCCGTCCACACAATCCAGTTGTAGCCCGCGAAGAATCCTGTCTTGGAAATTTTTTCTCCATCCATGAATATTACTCCGATGAAGAGCGCAGGGAAGATAGACCAGAACGACAGCTGAACGTTCCGCACCCAGAGTGACGCATTGGTAGACGTTGACTCTTTCAAAATCTTCTCAAACGTCACGCCTGCAAGACCGGAGATGGCACATGCAACCAAAACCGCCACGAGGCCAACTGAGGTGTTCATCTGCGGATTCTGCATTGCCACATCTTCTTCGATTCCTTCGTACGTGGCCGATCGTTTCGTCAGCTGTGCCGCGGCAGTGCTACCAAGGGCTTGAAGCTCCTCAATTGTACGGGGCCAAAATATCCGCGAGGAAGTATCCTTCAACGCATTCATTCCCGAGTGATCGGAAGAGTGTGGGAACTGGACAATGGCGACGCCAATCACCAACAAGCACAATGACGCCCATTTCTGCGATGACAAAGACCGCCGCAGTAATATAACGCTAAAGATAGCGGTTGTAAGAATTTTGAGCTGGTATGTGACTTGGAACGTTGCGGCGTCCAGGTTGCTCACGGCTACGTATTGGAGAGTGTTCTGGAGGGTGTATAGTAATGCGGGGATTGCGAGTTTCCAGCTCTCGTTTGTGAACACCGCGGAGACGAGATTCTCGAATAAGATGGTCGCGGGCGTATTAGCGGGGAGGTTCGCCGACATATCGTACAAGGCCATTGTTAGGGATATTGCGAGCTTTATGACTTCGTTTAGAAAGACGGAGGTTGAGGTGAGGTAGCGCTGCCCGTTTACCAAGGGCATGATTCGCGAGTAATGCATTATCTGCCTGCAGTTAGTTCTCAAGCCGCCTTCTTTGGCTCATTGTTGCGTAGGTATGTCTGTCAGGATGTCATACCAAAATAAGGGCCGAATTCTGGAAGGTAAGCTGCAGAGGAGGGTGAGCCAGAGATTCCACGGGGGGCAAATTAGGATAGAACGCACCGTTATTAGGGAGAGGTGCTTCAGCGGTATTCCTCCCAGCGAACCGCCTCTGCGATTCCCGTCGATGGCCATGGTGCCCCTTTCCGAGCTTTTTGGTCGCGCGGCACGGGCGTGTTACGGTCAGCGGGAGAGAAACCGAAGTTGGGATGTCGAAATTTGGTCTGGATAGAAGACGTGGCCGCGACGGGTCAAAGGAGCGTCAAAAGTTGGCCGAGGAGTCGTGGAGCCGTGGGATGAGTTGTCCGCAGATGTCTGGTGTGAAAATGCCTGTCAAGCTGGAATGCCCCAGACACCAGACGCGCTCACATCCCGGTCGCCTCGCCTCGTTCCGATCTCCAAGTGACACGATCACGGGTTCCGATTGATCTGGAGATGCGCCTCCTTCGCCAATAAAAAGCAAGCCCTGGCGCCAAAGTTCTTCTTGCTGCAGCATTCAGGCCATCAGTGCCTTTTACAAAACCAAGGTCATGCGCTCACGAGTCTTTCTTTTCTCGCGACACCTTCCTTCCAGACTTTGCAGGTCGAAGTGGGCCGACTACCGCTATGGCTAGTAACAATTAGGAACTCTCTAAGCCCTCAGCAAAGTTAAGCCTTTCTTGTTACATATTATCGAAGAAATAGTAAGAAACAATCCGTCAAACCTGTATCAAATCCCCCCTCCGAGTCCCAGTCCCCAAATGCTCACTCTTTGCAACTGTTTCCCACCGTCATCGCACCGTCCGACTCGTCCGCCTTGAACCCTCCCAGTGCATTAACAGCAACCCACTTCCCCTGAGCCTTTAAATGACGCCCCGCAGCACTCGCAAACTCGGAAACAGGAATATCGCAGCCCAAGAAGCGAGGTTTCATCAAGTTTCAAGCCGGGTTGTTAGTAACCCATTGGCCCTTGAATATATGTTTCAGGTTGAACGAACTTTGAACTTTGTTCGAATCGAAAAGAGTTTCAATCTTGGAAGGTCCTGGAATTTCTGAGCAGGCACGGCACGTCCACTTTTGGTAAGGCCTTGTAATTGAGAGTTTCTTTGCTATGTTCGTCTCACTGCTTCACGATGTGATGACCAGACCTTGGGAGGCGGAAAAACTAGCACCCGTACAATCAGAATGTCGAATATACCTGCATTCAAAGTCGACGACACCTACATCGCTACATATACTACAATGCCATCCATAATCGCCATAAAAAATTTCTCTTTTTCCCATTCACTTGTCCACCCATAGTACCCCACATTACCGAAGGAGTTATACACAATACAGATAGCCGCCCATCGCGGGCAAGAACAAAGGAAACATGCGCAGAGCATAGCCATCACACACTAGGCCTTGTTCAGAATCTCTCCTCTACTCATCAGATTCATCTCATGGATTATTGACCACCACCACCACCACCACCACCACCACCTGCGCCACCACCTCTGGCCCTCTTCCCCCCTTGATGTCCCCCCTCCCCATCCCCACCATCATCTCGTCCGCGCTTCTGTCCTCGCCCCGCGCCAGGAGCACTTCCACCGCTAGCCCCGGGAGTAAATTGCTGGGCATGCGGGTTGAAGGACCTTGGACTATTCTGACCTTGACCCGACTGGCCTCCTTGCTGTTGGACATTCGTCTGGATATGTCCACCGCCACCACGGCCGCGACCACCACCGCCTCTACCGCCGCCGCGGGGGAGCTGTGATGCGCCAGCGCCTTGAATGCTCATTCCCTGGTTTTGGTTCTGTTGGTTCTGTTGGTTGCCTCCACCACGACCGCCCCCGCGGGGAATGCCGCCTCCTCGAGGAATCGCGGATTGCTGGCCTTGCTGGCCCATAAGGTTACGGAGTGCAGCAGGTCCGGTGCCGACGTTGTCCCTAGAAGGTCTCGCTCCGGGTTGGTTGGGCTGCTGTTGCTGCTGTTGATTGAAGGGAGTACTCTGAGGCATCTGGTTTTGCGACCCCATAAAGCCAGGCTGAGGAAGTCCTCCAAAGGTCCCAAAGCCTGGGACGTTCTGAGGTGGTTGACCCGGTCGATTTTGACCCATACCTTGACCTTGTTGTTGGAACGGCTGACTTCCTTGACTTTGTCCAAAATTGCTGGGACGGCCAAACGTACCCATCTGGTTGGCTTGCTGTGGCTGAGTAAATGAAGGCTGACCGAAGGGGTTTGCCTGCCCGAATGGATTTGCAGTTGCTCCGTTAGGTTGAGGTGTAGTTTGAGCTTGAGGTTGCGGACGCGACTCAACCTGTGTTTGAGTGGGCTGAGCAGAGCTAGCAAGAGCAGATGGTACTTGCAGCTCTGTCGACGGCTTAGGTGGTTGGACTACTGGGGTCGGCCTCGCTTGATCAAGCTTCTCGACCTCTACCCATACCTCCGCGACCCTTCGGTCAGGGGTATCGTTCGCGGCCTGTTTTACAACCTCGAGCTTAGCGTTGAGCTTCTTCTGTCTGACCTCAGTTATGTTCCTTTGAGCCTTTTGTTTCTTTTCCAGCTCCTCCCGCGTCTTAGCCTTGGCATCCTCAACCTTCTGGGCCGTGAGGCTTTCTTGCTCCTGTTTGAATTTAGCGGTAGCTTCCTCGACCTTCCTAGCAATGATCTTGCCCTGCTCTTCCTGGGAAGGTGCTTCGGCGTCTTCCCTAATCTTGTCCTGTTCCCCTTTGTATTTCGCTTCCACTTCTTCCCTAATCTTCGAAGCGAGACTTTCCCTTTCTCTAGATAGTCCGGTCTTTATGTTCGTCGTGATCATGGACCTCAAGATATGATTGGTTTTAACGGATTCCCGCAGTTCCTTTTCGTTCCATGGGCCATATATTCGATCGCCTGCATCTCCCGTTGGCTCCGGTTTAGGGGTGTTTGGCCCCTTCGAAGGGTCTTCTGAGAGGGGTTCTTGATGGCTCGACACAGTAGAAACCTGAGTCTTTCGCACGCGCTCAATCTCAGCTTGGTGCTCTGATGTGAGGCGCTGGATTTTGGCATCATGTTCGGATTTGAGACGTTGGATGTCTTCTAGGTGTTCAGTCTTGGCCTTCTCTCTAGCTTCCTTGACCATATCGCCGCCTTTCTTCTGTACTGATTTCGTGCGCTGCTGAAGCTTCTCGTCGCAATCTGTCTTTTTGGCAACGTATTCAGCCTCGAGCTCGGCACGTCGCTGAGCATATTCGGCTTCAAGCTCTGTGCGTCGCTCAGCAAGTCGGTCGTCTCCAGGTTTTGTGCCATTTGACACGTCGTTTCCTGAGTCTGTAAGCGTGGCAGCGGCCCTTAAACCCTCAACTTCTTTCTGCGCAGCGGCTAGCTCTTCTCTCAGCTTCTGGTCGCTTTCCGAGGTTTGGGCCATGACTGTAGTGCCTTCCAGTGGCCGCTCAGACTCCAATTCGTGAACTCGGGCCTGGGCTCGCTTAGCCTCGCTCTGGGCCTGTGCGAGTTCATTGTTGAGACCAGCGATGCGTTGCTGCAACTCTCCCTGTACCAAAATTAGCTTTGACCCATTAACTCGTACTGTAGCAAGGGACTTACCACTTGATTCTCAAAATCGCTGATCCGAGATTTCATGGCCTCGACTTGAATGTGAAGAGCAACTGCCCTATTTGATTCCTCAATGGCCTTCCTCTCTGCTACTATGATATGTGCCTCCAATGCTTGCTTCTCCTCGCTCGAAAAGTTGGAGCCGCCCTCATCAACCTGTCCCTCTTCCTGGGCATTCGCCATGACAGTATCAGCCTGTGCATTTGCAACTGCAACCGCTTCGTCACGGGCAGCCCTTGTTGATTCAAGCTCTTGCTGAAGAGTCGAAATTTGTTGCTGGAGCTGGTCCCGTTCCTGACTGAGAGTCTGATTGGTAGAGTCCTTTTCTTTAATTTGGGCGGAGAGAGTCTTCGACCGCTCCTTAAACTGTTTGATCATAGTCTCTCGGCGTTCATCAAATTCTCGCTTCGTCTCTTCCACTGATATCTTTTTCTCGGCCTGTAATCGTTCTTCGAACCCGTCAACCTGCTCCTGCAAAGGTTGCTTCTCCGCCCGAGCTTCATCGCGCTCAGTTTGCAAAGTGTCGATTTGCGTCTTGAGTGCTTCGAGTTCGGCTGGGTCGATGCGGTCATATTTCTGTAACACGTCCTGATGGCGTTTCTGCCAATGATCTCGATCCCGCTGGAGGAGTTCGAGCTCACCATCTTTGATCGATAGCTCGCCCTCAATCTCTTGCACCCGTGTTTGGAGGGGTTGAATCTGACCAAGCAATTCCTCGACCTCCTTTGCTTTCTCGGATAATTGGGTCTGGGCCTGTCGAATTTCATTGCGCAAAGTGTGATTGCTCTCCCGATAAAGGTTGAGCTGTTCGAGACTCTTTTGGACGCGATCATAGCTCATCGCACTCTCCTTGTTCAGGACATGTGCTTGTTGTTCGGTGACTAACTTCTCGCGAGTTTGGTCGAGTTGGCTCTGGGTGTACTCCAGCTGTTGCTGCAGGCGTTTGGCATCTTGAATAGCAATCTCATGTTGGACATCCACGATTTCTTTCTCTTGTCGTAAATAACGGATAACATCTCGGAGCCCATCTAGGTCGGCGTTCGAACTTGCAGCATCTGGCTCTCCACCGGCGACAGAAACACGACTCTGTTTTAGGTTTGCGATCTGGGTGCTAACATGCTCAAGCTGTTGGTGAAGGATCTTATTCTGTTCCTTGACCCCATCATTCCTGGTGCGGAGCTCCTCAATCTCGCGTTCGTATCGATCTTTGGCTTCCTCCCAGTGCGCTTCGGTCTGCTCTAACGCGAGACGAGCAGTTTGGCCTTGAGACTTGATCTGCGCGACGTCCGTCCTCAGCTTGTTGTACTCCTCACGAAGGTCTCGAAGATTTTGCATCGCTTCACTGTGTTTCATAAGCTCGTTCTCATAGTCCTGCTGTGCTCGTGTTGCAATGTCAGCCTGCGCCTTCAAGTCTTCTCGTGAGAGCGCCGCCTTTTCCTTGTATCGTTCCGCGTCGTCCTTGATGCGAGTGATCTCCGAATTCAAAAGTTCCTTTTGCTGGTTAAACTTGACACTCTCCTCCTCGTGTTTCTGCCTCAACGCTGAAAGCTCAGTGTTGGTGGTAGCAAGCTCTGACGAAATCTCATCAACTCGCTTTTCGAGGTCACTGATCTTTGCGTCCTTCTCGGCAATGAGCTCGTCCATTTCCTGTTGGTGCTGCTCGCTAGTCTCGTTAACACTCTCCAGTTGCTCTTCGGCATCGAGCGCAATCGCTTTGTACGTCTCGACCTGTGTCTTTGCGGACTTGACTTCTTCTCGAGCGGCCTCAAGCTCGCTCCTGAGGTCGGCCATTTCGAGGCTGAGTTGCTCCTCTCGGCTCATTTCGTCGTCGTTGCTCTCTAGAGAGCCGTTCATATGCCTGCTTGGGCTGGAGTGAAGAGTTTGGGTGCGTTCTTCGGCGATTCGCAGCTCAACCTTCAATTCGTCGACACGGACTTGAAGCTGGTCACGCTGCGTTTTCACCGTGGCAAGCTCAGGCCGAATATTGTTCAATGCTCTTGTCAGATCATCGATCTTCTTGCGGGTTTCAGTCGACTCATATTCGCGTCGCAAGGAAGCCTTCTTGTTCTCCTCAACCTCATCCTCTAGCTTTCGTTTAACGGTTTGGAGTTCTAATTCGAGGGAATCAGCTCGATTTTGCAAGCGGCGTCGATTCTCTGCGTCTGTTGCCTCCCGCTCATTCTGCATATTCTGAAGGTCGTTCATCATCTTGTTAAGTCGGGACCTCTCATCCAAAAGGGCTTTGTTGTCGTCGCTAAGGCGGGCTTCGATCGACTTGGCCAACACCTGCGAAGCTTTGAGATTGCTGTTCTCTCGTGCCAGGCTGTCCGCCATATTCTTCGCTTCAACAAGCTCCTCTGCGGTTTGCTGCGTGCGAATGTCCTGTTTTGTAGCAAGCTCTTGGAAGGATTCCGCGCGCTTCTGAATCTCGCTATTTTCCGTTTGCAGTTGGCTGAGCTTGGTTTGAAGTAGACCATATCGCTCTTGGGCCATGCTAACCGCATGACTAAGCCTAGAGTTCTCACTATTAAGTTCGCTCTTGTCCTTAGCAAGACTGTCGACTTGTTGCTTTAGTGACGTTAAGTCTGTGGCACTTTCGTGCTTGAGCGCATCTAAATGGGCCTGCATATCCTTCAGCAACTTGGCGTACTCTGCGAGTTCCGTGGGGCGAGGTGTTTGTTCGACGCTCTGAGCCAAGTTCCCAGGTGGAGGCGTAATAGTAGCCCTTCCATCGACTGACTGACCAAGAATTGATGCTATGTCTGATCCCGGGGGGATCTGGCCGCGGTTGGTGACCATTCGGCGGAACATATCCCGTTCTTTGGTGGTGCTCTGCACTCGGACTGTGAGAGATTTGAGTTCGTCCTGACATTGGGCGAGTTGGTTCTTGACGTGTTCCAGCTCCTTTTCGGTCTTCTCGATTTGTTTTGTGTTTTCCTGTGCTTCAGTTCCTTCGTATTGCTCGGCGACTTTCCGAATTGCAGTTAGGACTTCCTGGTTCTTGTTCTGAAGCTCCGCGACGTTCCTAAACAACACTAGATGTTGACTGATCAAGCGCCCGGTGGCTGTCGAGTCATCGAGCTGGTCTTGAAGGACCTCCCCATTGTCAATCTGCCGCAAATAAGCCTGCTGTGCAGGGTTGAGAGCCTCGAGGCCTTGATCTCGAGCTTGCTGCTGCACTAACAGAAACTTGAGCTGTGAGCTCACGTCGCGAAGTTGTTGATTCAGTATTGCGATTTCACGATGGTTGCCCTTGATTTCGCCCTGGTATTTCCGGGCCTCTTTCCGTGCCGCTTCCCGATCCTTGACTGCTTCTTCCGCGATAGCGGACTGCTCGCCGTATCCAGCCGTTAAACGCTCGTTCTCTTCACGAAGTTCGTCCAACTCGGGCGCCTTGTTCTCTAGCTCCTCAAACATTTCGTTCATAGACGCCCTCAGCTTTTCTTCTTGCGCTCGGCTCGCCCGTAAGTCGGCTTTCAACTGCGTGTTCTCTGCGAAAAGCTGTGAAACAGACATGCCACTCCTGCTTCTCGAGCCTCCAGGAGTGAAGGCGACTGGCGATCCGGCTCTTCCAGGGGTGTCGAAGGAAGTATTGATTCCACGTCGTGGGGTTCCTGGCATACGGGCCGAATGCCTCAGTTCAGAAACATTAGATTCGAGAACCTCAACCTGCGCCTCCAGTTCAGCCACCCGAACCTCACCGGCCTCCCTCTGATTGCGTTCCGATTCAAGCTCAGCCTGCATCTGACCAAGTTCTTCAGCAGCGTTGTCATTGATGTGATCGGACTGTGCCTGAACCTCCTGCAAGCGCGCCTTGGCCGTATCCGCAGCGCGTTCCTGAAGTGCAGCCAGTCGCCGAACACCATCAATCTCCGCACGGTATGACTCGTTATCCTTGGTCGCCGCATCCTGCAGTTCCTGGATCCTCACCAGAGATTCCTCCACTTTCTGGTCCAGCTCTTCTAGGCGCAGGCGCTGCGACGCCTCAGTCCGGCGAAGAGAGTCGATTGTTTGGCTGGCATCCGCATTGGCTCGTTGCAGCTCGGAAATTTGGGCGTTCTTTTCTTTGCGGAACTTGGTATTTTCGGTGGCGCGCGTCTTCATTTCAGATTCATACCAGTCATTGTGCTTCTTCAGGAGCTCGATTTCCTGTTGAAGACTCTGTTCACGGAACTTTGTACTTGTAGATGCATTCTCCAGAGATTGATTCCTCTCTTCTAGCTCAGCTACCTGCTTCCGGTAACCGACAAGCTTCTGGTGTTGGGCCGAAAGCTCCTGGGCAAGTTGGTCGTGGGCGGCGGATTTGGCGTCATGGAGGGCAACGGCGTCTCGGTTCTGAGCCTCGAGCGTCTTGACACGTGATTCGAGCGTCTGGACTTCGGATACGGAGCTCGAGGTAGAAGACTTCAATTGTTCGAGCTCTGCCTCGACCTGGGTACGGGCATTTTCTATAGGACGCTGCTTGTCAGGAGGAGCTCGGGGTCGAGACACAGAGGTGTAGGCTTACCTTCTGAGCTGAGCCTCCTCCTCAGCTCCTCGACATCCTTCAGAGCTTTGTCGACGGATGCTTTGAGAGAGCGCGCGCGGGTGTCGCTGGAGCGGACAACGGTCTCAAGCTCCACGTCGGAGCGGAGCTGTTCGGCCTTGATTTCATCGAATTCTCGCGCCTTGGCCTCGATCTGCACAAGAAGAGAATGGATCAACTCAGTAGTGGGGGAATCAATTAAAGATTGCAAGGAAGGCTCGGGAATGGAGTAGGACGCGGCGAGGTAGCCAATGTCCACTGCAGCCGCAGCCATGGTGGGAAGGAAGTGCGGAGGGCAGGGCTAGCGCATTATCGAGAAAGAAAGAAAAGGAGAGCGGGGGCGGTTGGCGACAATAATGGGGATTCAAATAACACAGGCAGACAAGACAGAGTCGCGAGGGCAGAGAAACAAACGAATGGGTGCACAAGCCAGCGGCGTCTTGGCACCGCCGCATGCATGATTTCACGCCAGCACCAGCACCAGCACCAGTACCAACCGTGACCCTTCACTCCCACACCCACTACACCCCGTCTCTCACCCCGACCAACCTTCACCACCTCTACCACCCGGTGGAACAGCCTCTCTTGGCCCTGGTGTGCGACTCTTTCGCTAGACGCTGCACACACATCAATACCTCCACCCCCCCAACCGCAGCTATGTCCTTCCTCAAGGCCAGCTCCGCTGCATCCAGACTGGGCGCCCCATCTCCCACGCCCTCCAACTCCTCAAACAGCGGCGCGAAGCGAAAGCGACCCGCCGATGATGTCGCTGCTTCCACCGTCTACTCGCAGCCCTTGGACACCGGCACTGGCAACCACATCTTCACCCAGGTCACATACACTATCGAGTTCCTTCGTGGCAAGAGCCGATGGATGACCTTCCAAGAGATTACCGAGTACCTCAACATCCCGCTTCACGAGGACCACCTTCGCACGCAGCTGGAGGTCATCTTCCGCAGCCCCACCACTAGCCGCATCGAGCACAATCCCCGGGACAACACCTATCGCTACAAACCCAAGTACGACATCCGCAATGCTGCGCAACTCAAGGGCTGGCTCCAGACGCAGAAGTCGGCGCAAGGATTGGCTGTGCGGGAGCTCAAGGATGGCTGGCCGAATGTGCACGAGGAGATTAGGGAGCCGGAGCGGAAGAGGGAAATTCTAGTCAACCGCAACAAGAAGGACCAAGTCGCTAAGACGGTGTGGATCAACGATCCGTCTCTCATGCACAACCTTGACGAAGATTTCAGGAACGAGTGGCACAAGATACTGCTGCCCCCAAATCCGGACGATCTGCGGAACAAGCTGGTAGCAGCGGGTCTGAAGCCTTCTAGCGCCCCTCGTGCGGCTATGGCTGCGAAACCGAAGGAGAAGAAGAAGAAGGCGCCAAGGCGGGGCGGCAAGCAGACCAATACCCATATGGCGTCCATCCTCAAAGACTACTCCCACAAGAGGAAGTAATTTTTATTTCTCACTGCATAGCATCGGCGATAGGGATCGTTTATCGGATAACCTTGCATGGCGTACGTGGAAAATTTCCTTTTGATTTGCATGGCATGCTTAAGGATGACTGGGCGCTCGGACTCGGAGCTCTCTCACACTGTAACTACTACACGAGTACAACATGAATGTTTTCCTGGGCCATTGTGAAATTTATATCCAGCCATAGACAAGACCTTGCCCCTGAGTATGAATATGAACATACTTGTGTTCTCGAATCTTGACACCAAGCAATGTGAGCATGACCTTATGGTCCGTGCTTGAAATTTAGTGACATCAACCTTGAAGCTCCCTCCAATGCTCTCCACCAAACTGAACATCAATCCTCCCAACACCAACTCAATGGCACCTCTAAACCCACCCAGGGCTCTGTGCTCCCTCCAAAGGCTCTCGACTCAACTTCCGCCTCGACCCACCACAACAGCCCCAATTCCCCGAATACCGCTTTGCTGCACAGCCCCTCTCCGCAACACATCCACTCACTCACCACCCCATTCACCCCCCAAATCCTCCGTCGATCCCGCAGAAGTATCCCACTTCAATGCGCTCGCATCCAGCTGGTGGGACCCACACGGTCCTTCTCGCCTCCTGCATCTCATGAACCCGCTACGGCATACCTTCATCTCGCGCTGTCTCGACACAACGCCGCCATCCACCAACCCCCTCCCGGAGGAATTGCGCTATCTCGATATTGGCTGCGGCGGAGGAATATTCGCTGAGTCTGCTGCGAGATTGCGCACAACGGCCTCCGTCACCGCGATCGATCCCACTCCCGATGTTCTCGCCATTGCTGAGGGGCATAAACGACGGGATCCGGCACTCATGACGAAGGGGAAGCTGACGTATTTAAATACATCGATTGAAGAGTTGCCAGTACCCGGCTCCGAGGCGGAGAAATTCGATGTGGTTACGCTGTTCGAGGTCCTCGAGCATGTTAACGCCCCGGGGCCATTTCTAGAATCAGTAATTTCGAATGTGAAACCGGGGGGCTGGTTGGTGTTGAGTACAATTGCACGGACGTGGACGAGCTGGATGGTGACGAATGTTGTTGCAGAGGATGTGTTGGGGATTGTACCGAAGGGTACGCATGAGTGGCAGAAGTATGTTAATGAAGGGGAGTTGAGGGAGTGGTTTGCGGAGAAGGGGGGTTGGGGAGGGAATGGAGGCGTGAAGGCTATGGGCGTGGTATATGTGCCAGGTTTGGGGTGGAAGGAGATTCCGGGAGGGGAGGCGTGGGGGAATTATTTCTTCGGGGTTAGGAGGGATGGGTGAGTGCGCAGAGCAAATAGATGTTGTAAGATAAGTGGGTCGCAGTACGACAATTATACAAGATACCCGAAATGTACAGTATAGCACCAAGAACTCTTCAATTGATTGACCACGCTCAAAAGGTCCTCCCAGTTGTTCCTTCATCGACTGGAGCCAAAACCATCGTGTCCTATGTCCACCATCCCGAGCCCCTCAAACCTCTCGTACCTCAAAGTCAACGCCCTCCTAGAACGCCTACCAATGCTAATATGTTATGCATCTTTCCCAATCGCATCAGACACCACCCCACTCCCTTGGACCAAGATTCTAGACCTACTATATCGTACACCCCTCGTCCTTTCCACCCATCCTTCAATCCTGCCCATTCCTCTCTTTCCACAACATCAAATACCTCTGCCCGTCCCACTTACCCCCGTTAGGACCCTCTCCTTCCTCCCCATCCTCCCCCACCTTCACCTTCTCTACAACCTTGCTCACAAACGGCGTCAACTAATCCATCAAAAAGTCAGCGCCCATCCAAATCCCAACCAATCCCCTGAACAAAATCTCACGTTTGGGCACTTACATTCGTCTCCTTCAAATATATCGGTTCAGGGTATGTCCGTATCTTGCTGTAATCCGGCTTAAAGCGTCCGTATTGGTTTATCGCGCCCATACTGCCAACGCGATTGCCTTTGTAGAAGCCCTTATTGACCATTTTTGTCGTGAGCGGGAGGCGGCGTATGCGGCGGTAGAGGGGTGCCGTAGGTTTGAACATGGTGAATATTTAGTTCATGGACGTAAAGGTAGGATTTATGATGGCTGGAGGGGAGAACGGTGAATTGAACAATGAATTGAAAGGTGAATCGACTAGAGCTCGGAGCTCGTCGGCTGAATTCCGGGATCATCATCATCAAGGGAAAAAAAAGCCTATGCCAAGATTTCGCGCACGGCTTTCCACCAATTTCGAAGATTCTCCAGGGCTCCCGTTTCTAGCTACAACGAACAGCTCGACCGAGCACTAGATTGTACCACGATGCCGCCGAGAATATCCAGAGGCTCGCCGCCATCCACCAAACCCCGTCCCTCCATCCGCAACCCCAGAAAATCCCAAAAGCGTGCCCTCGACGCCTTTTCCATCGCCTCGCACTCCACCACCTCCCACCAAAAAATTCGACAACACCGTCTCGGTGAATCGGATCTCTCGTCTCGCCGTAAACGGCCCCGTGGTGAAGATGAAGGTCCGGAGGATAGCGAGGACGAAGATGCAACCGACGCTCGGAAAAGGAAGATGAAGAAAGTGGACAGTGGGGAATTGAGTCTGGACGAGGGGAGTGACTCGGAAGGGAATAAATGGACGATGGGACGTGTGAATGAGGATGATGATAGTGACATTGATAGCGACGAGGCATTTGGGGAGAGTGATGAGGAGCGGTTTGAGGGGTGGGTTTTTCGGGGGAGTGTGAGTAATCAGAAAAGGAAAGGGAAGCCGAGGAAGAGCGCAAAGGTTGTGGATGATGAAGATGAGGCAAGGATTGAGCAGATTGATCTCGATGAGGGAGAGAGTGCAGATGGGGAGGAGGAAGATGAGGATGACTTGGGGGAGGATGCGATTGATCTTGCGACGGCGTTGGATCAGTATGAGGATAGCGAGGAGGAGAGACCAAAGAATAAGAAAAATAAAAAAGCGAGGTTTGAGGAAAGCGATGGTGAGCATAGCCAGGAAGAAGACTTTGCTCTAGACGGAGCCTCCGACCTCTCCATGTCAGATGAGGACGACGATGCTGATCCCTCCAAGATGGAAAAGCTAAAGAACTTAATATCATCATTGCCAACAGAAGAAGAAGCTCCAGCCAAAGGCACGCGAAAAGTTGAGGTTCATGAATCCGGCACTCCCTCCGAATTCGGCGTCCTCAGGAAAGTCGACATTGCGAGCTTCAAACCCAAGGTCACAGACCCGGACCGGAAAAGGTCACTCAAACTGTTACGGGATGATCTGAAACCGCCTAAACGGAATGACATTGCTAGGAAGCTCAATGCACCCCTCCCAAAACGTCAACAGGACAAGCTAGATCGGACTGCCGCCACAGAGAAAACCAACGAAACCCTGGGACGATGGGTAGATACTGTCAAGCACAACCGGCGAGCCGAGCACCTATCCTTCCCTCTCGTGCATCCTCGTGCTGGGGAAACGTTCGGCGAGAGCCGCCTCCAGCCTACTACAACGGAAGCTCCTACGAACGACCTTGAGAGCACCATCCAAAAGATCCTCCAGCAAAGCGGCCTCTCTAATGGGAAGGACGACGAACAGCAGATACAGAAATGGGAAGAGCTGCAGATTAATAAGCTGCCGCTTGAAGAAGTCCAGGCACGCCGGGCGGAACTTCGCAAGCAGCGAGAACTACTCTTCCGCGAAGAAGTTCGTGCAAAGAGGGTGAAGAAGATCAAGAGCAAGGCTTACCGGAGAGTTCATAGGAAGGAACGCGAAAGGATAGAACAGCGAGAAAGAGATGCTCTGAAGGCGGACGGTGTAGATGTCTCCGAAGATGAGCGCGAGTACAATGATCGCCGACGCGCAGAGGAGCGAATGGGTGCAAAACATCGAGAGAGCAAGTGGGCAAAAGGCATCAAAGACAGTGGTAGGGCGGCCTGGGACGAGGACGCTCGCGCAGGTGTGACCGAAATGGCTCGTCGGAATGAGGAGCTTCGGCGAAGAATTGAGGGCAAGGAGGTTCGTGACGAGGATGAGGTTGGCTCCGATATATCTAGTGAAGAGGATGAAAACGAAGGTGGAGATGATGCAGACGGTGCCCAAGGACTACAACGCCAGCTGGGTCGCTTGAAGCAAAACCCTTTCGCTACTGACCAATCCAAGCTGGGCTCTATGATGTTCATGCAAAAGGCTGAGGCGGCGAGGAAGCAGAGAAATGACCAAGAGATAGAGCATCTACGACGAGAACTCGCAGGAGAGGAGGGCCCGAGCGAAGACGAAGACGAAAATGCTGCGCGCGCTGGCCGTCGAAAATTCGGCCCTACAACTAATGCAGGTATCCCCACCATACAAAGTAAACGCAGTGAGTTCGAGGAGAGACCGGATTTCGATGAAGAGGCAGCCTATGAAGGCGCAAATGATAACGCCGCTCAAGACTCTCTGGATGATATCACCAAGGCTACACCCACCAAGTCAAAGCAACCCCAAGGAGCGGCCTCACCAAGGAATGTTGTGGTAAACAACCCTTTCTTAATGAAAGCATCGAAGGAGAAGAGGCCCAAGAAGATGGAAGCCGGTCAAGAACCTGACCTCTCGTGGAAAGCGCATGATACAATCCAAGCCAGCCAGCAGAAGGCAAAGCCGAAGACCAAAATCAAGATCAAAACGAAGTCATCAGACGACAGTCTCCCTGAACCTGAGATCAGTGCGCCAGACGCGGACGGCTGGCAAACTGTCACGTACGGTAATAACACCAACCAAGATCAGGATGACACCGAGAGCGAGGGTGTTGACCTCGGCATCGTACTACGCAATCAGGAGCTCACAGCCAAAGGCTTCGCAGGTGATGACGTCGAAGCCGATTTCGCCGCTGAAAAGAGGGCCATTATGGAAGACGAAGATGACAAGGTTATCGACAACACACTTCCAGGCTGGGGCAGTTGGGTCGGCGAAGGACTCAGCAAGTGGGAGCAATCTAAGAACAAAGGCCGCAGCCTCGTCAAGCAAAATGGTATACAGGCAAATAAGCGGAAAGATGCGAAGCTCGAAAGAGTCATTATCAATGAGAAGAAAGTTCGGAAGAACAAAAAGTATCTTGCGAGCTCATTGCCGTTCCCATATGAGACTAAGGAGCAGTATGAGAGGAGTTTGCGGTTACCAAAGGGGCCAGAGTGGACGACAAAGAAAACGTTTCAGGGTGCGACTAAGCCGAGGGTTATTGTTAAGCAAGGGATCATCAGGCCAATGGCGAAACCGCTGGTTTAGAGTCTCGCATATGATCTTGCCCACAGGCTCTGGGTGGGATAGATGCATTGTTACCATATGTAGCTTTCCGTGGCAAGACTGTGACGTTCTTAATGAGCCTCATTTTGTGAAACGTATCTCCTTATGGATCCTGTGACATGGAATCGAGACTTCCAATGACCTTTTGGTGTTACAATTGCTTCATATAGAATGGCGTGCATCAAGTGCCGCCCAGAAGGTTCGTCACCTAACCACCCCATTTTGACACAGGCCCGCCTGTCCCGTTCGTTCGGCAGCGACTCTCTCCCGGATAATTTCTTGGCTTGGACATCTCCTCTTCACGTCAGCTTCCAACGCCACCCTTCTTCGTGAACAGCTCATTAATCGTTGTTCTTTATCACCCGTCTCTTGGTGTGGATATCAACGGCTCTTACATGCTTCCCATCAGGCAGATAAGTCACATAGACTCCCGTAGCAGTAGCATCCACTCCGCCCTTTCAACCTAGTCGCGCACTACAACAAGAATCCTATCTACTACCTACTTAGAATCAGCACCGAGCGCTTGCACCCCGTATTACCCGACTGCGGGCCAGCGTTTCCCCGACTGCAGGAACCAACTCGTGCATTAGCCATGTATCGCAGTGGCGTTTCTTTTTGGCCCCCAACCCGGATGAGCATCAATCCTTGCTTCCACCCTGTCCAATTCTCCCATTACCCGTCGTTAATTATTGCTTGGTTTCCAGTGAGCCTAAACCTTAAATCGTCTACACTCGTCCAAGTTCTACAAAGACTTGTCATTTGCCCTATTCCTTGTCTGATGGATGAGACTGCTTACTTCTTTCGAGGACGACATGTTTCTCCACATATCACAAGGTAGCATCGACTCTCTTCTCTGGACTCTCTTAGCCACGCCACTGGGTACCTATTTTACTCCGCTTCCCATGTGTCCGTTCTCACAAGACCAAAAAGTGCTAACACTATGTCCTCGATGTTTCTCTCCAAGGTAGATGATCATGCTGTGCTTTGCTCTCACCATGGCCATACGAATGTTTATTTATTTCTGAATTAGTTGTATAAAGCTAGATTTCTCAAGTTTCTTCTGATAATGGAGTGCGAGCTGTCGATTCACGAACCAAACCCTCAGCGCTTTTTAATCTTGGACACACTTTCCTACTCTCGCCTATATGAAACCTTACCTCATTGGCTTCTTTCACTACGTCGTTCTGTTATTTCCCCCCTTTGGAATCCTCGACCGTCATGGGTCCCTTATCGTCCCTAATAAGCTTTTCATTATTAGCACTGCTACATGTAAGGTGTATCGGTGCAGTCCCGGTAGAGGATGCCATATGGCATACGTCCGGCAATGTAGTTTGGGAAACGATAGTCATCACGGAGACTACAATCATATGTCCACCAACATTAGGTTCTATAACTGCTTCGATGAAGCACTACACAGCTACCGTTTTACGACCGTCGACACTGATGAGCTATAGCGCGCCGATTTCAAGTCTTCGGAGCCCATCCCCAATGATGTCGAGTTCTGGTGCTTTTCCTGAGTCTAGGACGATCTATTGGAGTTCTTCGCATGGAACACAGTGTTCCACATCATCTTTGGTGAGTTGGATGGAAGTTCTCAACTTGGACCAATTAGTAAGGGCGTTGATAAAACATAAAATAGCATGGTTTATCCACCAGAGGGTTTTGGTATCTTAACGGGATTTTCTGACCATAAGACACTTCCATGAAAATGTCACCCATTTGCCGTACGGCCGAAACTTCACAACGAACATCTCACCTTCCCCATCATTCCAAGAGACACCTTGAAACTTCCTAACGCGGTACACCCTTTACTTCTAAGCCAGGCGGACTTTACCTACCATCACGTGTGTTTACTGACCGGTGGAAGGCTCTTTCTCATGTCTCTCCTTCAGGGCACCCAAGACCCATTTCAACATCGCATCTGCGCAGCTCAACCCACGCTCCAACGACTCCCTCCGATCCTGATTCTTCTATTTCCGCTCGTCGTACAAGCCATTCCTCTTCGTCAATATTTTTAACGCATACAAGAACCGCATTTAGAAGCGCAGACGTATCTACAAGAACCCTTAGATTCACTACTTCCGCCCTTGTTCCTAGTACCACCGTGCAGTTCAGTCCGTCGACGTTACATCCTTCTCAAAGTCCTACTATTACCTCTATGGGCCACGGACCTTCGGTGGAATCATCCTCGTCTTCATCTTCGACTAAAGAGTCATGGTGGAAGGAAACTTGGAAAAGCACCATAAAGTCGGCCGGTTGGACGACGAAGTCTACGAGTACCTCTGCCCCGGAAGATGATATCTTCGTACCGATCGCGAAGGACAATATTCTCTCTCAGATACCGATTGGCAGACATCACCCTGTTAAAAAACTAGGGATCGAAGACAGTGACACGAGAACTATACAAACCAATAAATTCTATGCCAATTTCTTCCTCGGGGGCCAGAACCAGCCAGTGTGGACGCATCCGTATGTAATTTGGTGGACAAAAGGTGTGGCTAAAGTAAGCGCTAAAGAACCTGATATGACGAGCTGGGGGATAGGTATCGACCAGACCGATGGTGATGCGGTTGAATTCCCACCAGGAGAGCAAACTCCTGTCAAGGTATATCCATGGCGCGCAGATTGTGCAAACGGGGCTTATGAGAAAGTAGTACTATTCGAACCCCCTTTACCACGATTCCCTTATCCTGTCCGCCCAGGAATTAGGTCCCGAGACGATCCTGACAACAGACACTCTTCTCCCTTTCTCTGTCAATGTCAATCTCCTTGCTAAGAAGGACGATTTGGAGCCGACTCTGACTATCCCTTGCGTGCAGGGTATGGCTTTCGTTACTGGCGGATACAGGAACGCGACCCCACTTATACAGAGTGGCATTAAATTCAGGTCTATGAGCAAACCGATCAAGGTCGACAAGTCAGTAAAGTACCGCGTGGTAACATTGGATGGAAAGACTTGGTTAATCTACGTCAACCCCGTCCCAACTGCCCAGTACGATGCCACAGCCTTCAGAGTCATCGACAGTCAGAACTTCGTCGGCCCCCCCAACTTCAAGGGTACCATCCAGATTGCAAAGAACCCGATCAGCGACGACGGTGAAGCCATTTACAGCAAGGCTGTTGGTAGCTTCGTCACAGAAGCGACTCTAACCGGTTCTGCCAACAACGGCGTCGGTACCTACACCATCAGCTACACCAAGATTGGCAAAGCCCCCTTGCTCATATTCGCCCTACCTCACCACATTCAATCCCTATCCCCAGACCTCCAATCCTCAATCACCAAGCTCCAACTCCGAACAACAACAAAGGGCATGGCCACCGCGCTCTTCACCGAAAATCTCACAATGCTCGAGCCAAACCTCCCAACAAACATGACCTTCGCACCATGGGCACCTGGCATCACTTCCGCTAAAATCCTGTACTCCCCCAAAGCCATCGAAGCCATCACCTACACCGCAGACCGCGATATCCGGATCGCCATATCCGAAACGCCAGACTCCGAGAGTTTCTACTACGCGGGAAAATCGCTAGCGAAGCTCGCGACACTAGGCTGGGTTGTTAAAGATGTGCTCAACAACCCTACTCTTGTCTCCCTAGCCCTCACAAAGCTCAAAGAAGAGTTTCAAGTCTACGTTCAAAACAAGCAGAAATACATGTTGTTCTATGACGATGACTGGAAAGGCATTGTCTCCAGCGCCGGCTTCACCAACAGCCCAGGTGCCGATTTCGGAAATACATATTACAACGACCACCATTTCCATTGGGGATATTTCGTGTACACAGCTGCTGTTATTGGGTATCTCGACCCGGACTGGCTCAACCAAGGCGACAGTAGAGCCTGGGTTAATATGCTGGTGAAGGATTTCGCCGAGAGTGATAAGCAAGGCAGAGACTACCCGTTTTCAAGAAGCTTTGACTGGTGGGCGGGCCATTCATGGGCGAAGGGGTTACTTGAGAGTGCAGATGGGAAGGATGAGGAGAGTAGTAGTGAGGATGGGTTTGCGAGTTTTGCGGTGAAGATGTGGGGGAGGACGAGTGGAAATGTGATGATGGAGAAAAGAGGTATGTTGGTTGACTGAGCCCCACCGCCTCAAATCCCGACCCCCTCTTAATTAGTCAGCATAAAATGCGAGGAGGGCAGCTTTGGCTGGGAATAGATAGATGAAAGTGTAGTGCTTTGCTAACGATACTAAACCAGGCAATCTCATGCTCGCTATCCAAGCCCGCTCTTTTTCAAATTACTTCTACATGCTGGACAACAACACAAACGCCCCGCCACAATTCATCGGCAACAAAATCAGCGGAGTTTTCTTCGATAATAAAGTAGACCATACGAGTAAGTGGCTCTTCCTCCCCCGTCCCAATATCATCCCTTCTTGTCCTTTCTTCCGCACCCCAAACTAACACTCCCCTAGCCTACTTCGGCCCAGACTCCTACCTAATCTCCTCCATTCACATCCTCCCAATCTCACCCGCAACCTCCTATCTTCGTTCTAAAGCCTTCGTGCGCGAAGAATGGGACCGTTTCTTCTCCGACAACCGGGCGCTCCAAGTACCTGGTGGGTGGCGCGGGATCTTGATGGCAAACCTTGCGATCATAGATGCGAAGACGGCGTGGGGATTTTTCAAGGATGGGGTCATGGGGAGTTGGGACGATAGATGGATTGATGGTGGCGCCAGTAGGACATGGTATCTTGTTTGGTGTGCGGGGTTAGGGGGAGCGCCGCGGTGAGGTGAAGGGAAGGGTCGATGAGAATACCGGATGAAGCTGGAGGGAGAGAGGTAGATGTGGGTAGAAGATGGTTGGATGTCCAGCACTTGATTGTCAAGGCTTAGATACCTATGATCACTGAATGAATTGCTCTCCACGAACCCTTCTCATACCACGAGCACTAGATTTACAATTTCCTTGCTACCGATGCTTAGGCCACTATTTTAAACCCCTGACAACCAACTCAAACCATCTCTTCGAAGACTCTCTTCAACGCCGATTAAACACCTCCCACACCCATTTGTTCAGATTCGACACCTAATATCTTACAAAATCACCCACTACAACAATCGACATTCGTCCTTCGACATTATAAAGGGAAAAAAAAACCATTGTCCTCACTCCACAAGGTGAGAACCATTGGATATTAGAAAGGGAGGAAGGGTATCTAGTCCATCCAATGAGCCTTTTTCAAAGGGCCTAGCCGAGATAGAAGGTTTGGTAGATATCCGATGAGAAGAGGAAAATATACACAAGAAATAAGAAAAGAAAAGTCTCTCCTTCGCCAACATAATTGTGCGGAAAGGTGGGTGGATGAGGAAGATGCCGCACTGCAGCATAAAGTTCGGCAACTAGATAAAACCCCGGTTTAATTCCTTCCCCAGAGGTTTCGGAAGAAGCTGTCACTCAAATCGCCCTTAGCATCATCCGGATAGACGTAAAAAGCGAGGGCAATAATAGTGTATCTGTCTTCCAATCAGCATTCCGCACTTTAAATAAATCTTGCATTCTAATCCCTGCATGCAGCTGCAGGGATGAGTGGAAGTTGGTAAGACTTACGTTCCCAGACACATAGCGCCCTCAAGATAATTACTCTTTCCGTCCTGGATGAGATAATTCACGACTAAGACTGATAGGAAGAACACGACGGTTTCGAAGCTCTGGAAGTGGAGTGTCATGGGCTTGTCCATGATCCAGCCGAGAATGACGAGGAAAGGAGTTACGAAGAGTGCGATTTGCATGCTGCTGCCGATAGCTACGTTGATGGCTAGGTCCATTTTTCCTTTGTAGGCGACGATTACGGCCGTAACATGCTCGGCAGCATTGCCGACAATGGGGAGGAGGACGAGACCAATGAAGGTCTTGCTGATGTGTGCGGTTTGGACGATGGAGTCGATGCTGTCGACGAGGTATTCGGCGCAGACGGCTACGAGGATGGTGACGAGGACGAGGGCGATGCCGGCGGCGATTGGGGAGAGGATTTGACCTGCTTCCTCTTCTTCCACTTCTTCCTCGGGTTCTGCCGGCTCTGTGGGTGAAGTGGAAGCCGATGCTGAAGATTCGCCTTGTTGCTCAGCTTGAGCTTGAGCTCGAGCCTCGATGTCTCTCTTGTTTTTCTTACTTTGATCCTGTTTGAAGAGATTTTTGTGGGTGTGCAATTGGAAGACGAGATATAGAATGTAGAGAAGGAGTAGAATGATAGAAGTTCCATGGGAAAGAAGCAAGATATTCTTATCGGTCTCCTCGTCCGTGGACGTGCGCAATGCCGCGTACAGCGTTGCAGGAATGATCAAGGACGCAGAAGAGACAGCCATGAGGGAAGACATGGTCGATGCAACGGTCGAGTTGAATTCTGACTCTTGTTGTCTAATTCCTCCAGCCAAGAAACAGCATCCGAGCACCTGCACGTGTCAGTGTCTGCATATGACTGAGAAGCAATTCAACTCACTAGAAGGATGTTGGAGAGGATGCTGCCGAGCATGCTGGATTGGACGATGCGGATTTCGCCCTCTCTCAGCGCAACGATGGAAACCTGGAGGAATCGGTCAGTTACTTGTTGTCACGTGGGGGATCGCTGGGACAGATCAACTCACAATTAATTCCACCGCATTTCCAAAGGTCGCATTCAACAGTCCACCCAAGCTGTCGCCCAATTTGGCAGACAGCTCCTCAGTCGCAAAGCTCAGAAGGGCAGCAAGAGGAATGATGGCGATGAAGTTGAGGATGAAGACGGAGGTGGGGCTCCAGTGCAGAGCCCCAGCGATGATGCCGAGCGGAACAAAGACAAGGAAGACATTTGCATAGTTACTGCTGAGCGTCGCCCAAGTCACGGCAGCGATATGCTTAGGGAGCGCTTTCCAGCGCGATTGCTGCTGAGGTTGCTGTTGGCCGAGGAGTGGTTCAGTCTCACCATACGCAGAGCCGTTAGTAGGGGCGGGCATGTTGGGTCCTGAGTAGCTGGTGTGACGACCGAGACGATTGAATTCGCGCCTTATGTCTTTGTGTACTGCTATAGATGCGGACGCCAAGCGCGTAATTAGCCAAGATATCGCCGCTGAGAAGTGCCCAGAGATGAAGATGGATGTTGGGGGTGCTGCGCCTGGCAGAGTCACGGACGGTGCTGGCCAGAGCACGCGAAAGTGTGCCGGTGTTGAACGCCGGGCCAAGCCAGCGACAAAGGACGGACGAGGGTCGAACAGGAATGGAGAGAATAGGAATGGAGAGGATAGGAGAGAGCGGGAGGCAGAAAGGCTCTTACTCACTCATTCTATCGTCTGGAAGAGAACTTGGAGTTTTCGGACCGACGACGCCTGGAGTGGGGAGAGTGGCTGTAAAGTAGGCCACTGTGGCTCGCCGGCGAACGTCGGCGTGTGGGAGGGATGTTGTTTGGCTGTTTGTGGGCTGTAGGGCGCGCGGCAGTGATGTTCAGAGTCGCAAAGAGCGGGGGGGAAGAGGGCGCAGCAGTCTTCAGGCTGTGGAAGCAATATCAAGCAAGCGTCGGGCGATGATGGAAGCCCTGGGAGGTTGGGGAGCTATTAGACTACTAGCCAATGAGGGAACATTCCGTAGCAGAGCTCGTCTGCACAGCCCGGATGCCCAGGAATCAAGACACCTGCCGGACTGCTTCTGCACAGGGGCGCACATTTGTCGCTTGGCCGGCATCCTTCACTCCCCGGAATCGACAACCTGACGATCGTGTCGGTAAGCTATTTAGTTGACACAAAAGCCACAACCCAAAACGAACTTTTAACAATTTCGCCTCGAGTAGGCCGACAAGACCTTCAAGACATTGGCAGCGGCGCAGCTCCACCCTCCATCCCTCAGAAATCTCATCAGGCTTAACTGAACGACGTCAGAAAGCCCCGCTGTCTCCCGGTCAATCTGGTTCAGAGGCGGCAGAAGGAGAGCTGACGTCAATCGCTGGCTGACTGGCCGACTGTCTAGTTGCGCCAAAATGCCTGGCCCGTGTATTCATGCCAGTGCCATCCTGTTGCACATCATCAGTCGGACGCGACCCGAGCGCCTCACATATTATCTGATGCCTCCCCCTCGCCTCGTTCGCGAGTTTATACGAACATTAACATGAGGCAAAGCCGCCAAGACATGGTATTGGTATACTTTATAAACCAGACAAGAAACGACAAGAAACGACAAGCCCAACACCGCCCGGAATGCGCAATCCAAAATGCTGTGGAAAGAAAGTTATACCTTACTCAGAGGCAAATAGTGAGCTTGAAGCCTGACAACTCCGGCCTGATCCGGGATCCTGCAACTCCAACTGTCATCTTTGTCTATCCAGAACCCAATGCTTCATAATAATCAACCACAGCCCTGTGCTTTCGCGACAATGAGCCTCAGTACTCCGCCCCTTCTTCGTCGTCGTCCTGCCCGTTGCTGATCGTAACCCGTTTCTTCGGCTCCGACCACAGCTGCTGCAGGACTTTATGCTTTTGCGTGTCGCGAAGCGTCTTGAGGAATCCGTATGTCCCGGAGAGGTCGGACAGTTGTTGCTCCAGGCCAAAGGAGTTGGACTGCGCACGCCGGATCAGAGGGCTGATGAGGTTCTTGCGCGCCTTCTCGAGCTGGTCTTTGACTGAGCTGATAACTTGAATGTGGCTCTTCAGCTCGGATTTATTGTTTAGTGTGCTTGCACGCACGCTCTTGAGGAGCCTGAGGTTCTTCTCGTACTTCTTGATCTTCATCTTGTTGCTAATCGTCATCCGCCACATGGATGCCAGGAACTCGTCCTTCTTGTTGGACAGGCTGTCTTCCTCCTTGGCAACGGATCGGTGGAGGTTGTGGAACTGTCGGTCGACGCCTTCGAAGAGTTGGAAGAGCGCGTCAGCCTTTACGAGTTCGCTAGCGATGTTCTCCTCTAGCGTAGATAAGAGGTAATCGAATGTCCTTTGTAGCGTGGCTTTGGAGCGCTGCTGTGTTGTCTGACCCATCACATCGTTGACTACCTTTCCAACCGCCGTTGGCTCACCATTCTGCTCGAGAACCCCGACTTTGCTCAGGGCGCCGTGGACGTTGCCGATGACTGTGTCAACCATCCCAATCTTTGGGCCTTGAATACTCTCAAGCTCCCGCTTCGCCCATTCCATGGTGATCAGGATGCTAGAGAGTGTTAGTACACCCACGTTGAAGAAGATCAATTTTATTTCTTACGAGTCCATATCGCCATCAACGTTCGTGAAGAAGCTAGTCATACTGTTGGATAGAATCTTCAGGCTCTCGCCGAGGTTGTCCAGCTGTTCGATGATAATATTTGAAGCTGACATGTTCGTTGCGCGCACGCTCTCCCCAAGATCCTGCACAGCAATACTTGCCTCCGCTAGCTCGCGCGACCGCGGGATCACATTCTCCGATGCATACATTAACGGTTCGAACTGCTTCGCCAAGTTTGCGACATTCGCGACGTCCGGTATCAAGCCAACAGTCCATGATTGGGTCAAGGCCCATGAGAGCACAAGTACAAAAAGTGAGAGAGCAATATTGGTCTTCGAGCTAGTGAACATGTGGAAACCGTTTGCGACCGAAGAAATCGTGTCTTCTATGGGGGCAGTGCGAAACAACGTCTCTCCACGTATAGCGAAACGGACGACTAGGTACATTAGTACAAGCAAACAAGGCCGCGGTGGGGATGCAACAGGCAGGTGGGAACTTACATCCATCCAAATTACCAGGCCGTTCGTCGTGATGCGACAACGCCATATGGTCGTCCGCGCCCGGCTCTGGCCCCGCGCTGGCTTGCGGCTCTTCTGAAGGGCTCTGCATCCTTGATGCGATGCCGTCTGGCGAAAACTGTCTCTTTTCTTGCTCCGACATGGGTTCTGGGCTGGTTCGTGGGGTTTGCTTCAGCGGCGATTCGGGGAGGGGTATTCGTGAGGGTGTGATGTCGCGGTCGCTGCGGTAATCGAACGGGCTGGTACCTGGAGACTTTGACGGGCTCGGTCGCATCGCGCCTTCGCTGAGCAGTGACTTCCGGTACCAGGCGTTGTTCGACTTCTGCCATGCTGGAGGCGCCCACGGCCCGTCCGACTCTGGTTCGGACTCCTCCGCTTCCTGCGCGCTCCACCGCGACGAGGACTGCATGCCAGAGCGCGAACTGTAGGCAGAGTGCATGCTGCGCTCCGGGTCGAAGGCTTCGAGTGACGCGCTCAGTGAGGGTATATCGTGGTCGTAGATGCTTCCGCGATCCATTGTTTCCATCATAACTTGGGGGGGGAGGGGTCGCAGGAGCGGTGATGATGTTATCGGGCTGGTGCAGCGAGGAGGTTGGATTTCACGTCCGAATTAGAGAAGTACCACAAGGGATGTGTGGAGGCACTGCCGGCACATGGGGATACCTTGTGATGTAGCAGCCCTATGAGACATCGGTGCCTGACGAGATTGGGGGAATCTATGTCTCTGGTGAAGAGCCGAACATGTCGAAGATACGGCGGTTCTCTCCTCTGTCGGACGACTGGCCGCCGCAGCCTTGATGCGGGACCGGCCAGCAAACACGTTGGCCAGGGGTGAGGGGTGAAACGCGAAGGCTGGGGATATCGATAATGGGGTGGTTGGTTCTCGTGCGCCCGTGTGGCTGGGTATCCCTGCCCTGGCGCTGTGCTGCCTGAGGCCGTTGCGCGAGGGGAAAGCTCGCCGCGTCCAACAGCTCCACCACGAGCTGGAGTCCACTTCGTGTTGACGATGTTGACATGTTCGGCGGTAAGGCAGATGCAAATAGGACTTTCCATGTCCCATGGCCGCTCTAATGTCAAGACACACCTTTTTCCGTATCTGTTCACTAGAACAGAATTTTTGCTTGATCTCAGTGGTCAGACGAGTTGGTCCAGACTGTTGTGTAAGTGCACCGCGAAACAACAAGGTAGCGTGTGGGGATACACTCTTATTTCGCTATCTAGTGATGAACGTGTGCCCGAAATAGCATTCTGCTCTACACTCTTGTGAATGGATCCAGAAGGTGTGAGTGAAGTAAAGAAGTTGGTTGCTCCAGGCGCTTATCACACCTATCAACGCTGCCAGTCGTCATCTCCTCATGGGGAATAATCAGATAGCAAAGGAAAGACACCCTGCGGAGTGTGATGTTGCAGATAAGCGAGTGTGGTAAACATTTAGAGGAAAAGACAAACGAGTGACGCTGTAATCCAACTGGGTAGACTCGTGGCGCGCTGTATCAGGAACGCGCAGGTGGGACGAAGGGATAAGGCTCGCAAGCCAATCTGTCCGTCCGCGTAAATGAAGCCCGTGGTGTCCATTTAGTGTTGCCACCCTCCTTAAGAGGATGTATTGGCAGAGGTAGCCGAAGCTATTGAATGGCTCACTGAGATTTCGAACAAGTGATTCCGATTGAAGTTCTTCGAAGCTCTACTCGTTCGCTGGCTCAAAGAGGAGCTTCTTTTAATGTAGATTAGGCAATGGACTTGTGTTGGGCCTGAGAGGCGAAGTCAATCTAGTCGGTCCAGTTAAGATGGCAATGGAGGCTACTTCAAAGGTAGAACATGGTTTCCGGTAGGGCAGGGTGGACATCGCGCTGCCATTCCGCACTCGTAAAGGCAACTGAACCATCACCTTTTAAGACGCCGTGGAGGTACGCACGGCCTCTTTTGCAGAGCAGGTCGGCGTAGTAAGCCGGGGGGCAAATACTAACTACTCGTGTTGCTCGAGCAAACGTGTAGCATAGATTGTGCGTCTGTGGTCATTAGTATGAGTAGATTAAGTAGCATTGTTCTGAGCTTACTAGAATTTGAAGCTGGTCAGCACCGAACCTGTTCTCGTCCTTGAGGACGACGTAGTGTGCAGGCTTTGAAGTTCCCTGGAGTACTTTGTGTGCAAGGAGGAAGAAATCGAACAACTTCTCCCCGGTAACCCCGCGGCCGACTACAGTACCTGGAAGTGGGTTACTAGTGTGGGGGTCTGCATCTTGTTTCTTGGTCGGGTAGAATCGCGTATGATGTCTCTTTCCGACTATGATGATAGAGATCTTAGGGTGGTTCACCGCTGCTCCATATAGTTTCTTAAAGGCCTCCTCAAATGCAGGGTATTCCTTCTCCATGACATCTTTGTATTGCCCCTCCGAGACGCCATCCCGATAAACAATTACCTTGCTCGGAAGTCCCTTGTTGCACTTCTTCCAGAGATGTAACCGTTCGAGAATCATCTCCTCAAGCTCTGTTACCATCTCCTTGCGTCCCTGCTGAGTGCGTATACTGGCCGGATACTGTGAGAATTGGGTGTCAACAGACGCAACGACGCCCGCAATACTAGGCGACGTTTCTGCACTGCCGGGTGAAGGATGGGAGACATCGATTCCGAAGATGATTGTACGTGCATCCAGGGGCTCCAACTGGCCTATGTCGATGAAGTGATTGATACCCCCACACTTCTGGTTGAATTTGAGAGCGACGTTGGCAAAATATTGGGCTTGTCGTTGGACTCGGGACCATTTCTTTCCGATGTTGCAGACACAAGGTATACCGAATTTAATGTCGCAAACATACTTTACACAGTCGTAAAGCAGAGCCATCTCGCTTGGGAGCAGCACGAAAAGGAATTTCGGCGAGGCACGGAAATCTTGAATAGCCTGGGCAAGTTGCTGTCGTACTTTGTCCACGTTGCGGTTTTGAAGATCAAAGAAATTTATAGAGGTAAACTTTAGCTCTTCGACAGGGCCTGCGGCCATTCCGCATGTTTTAAGGAATTGCGTGAATAATCCCAAGAGATCCTTAACTCTTGGCTCGCCACCAACGACGGTCTCACGATTACCTTCTTTGATCACAAGACAATTCCACAAAGGGAGAGCCTTTGGCAAGCTAAATGGCTTCGTGCCGATAATCTCGGTGTCAAGATTCCAGGCACCGTCACTAGTTATGAGCTTTCGCGACTTGTAGGCCAGTTCTGGTGCATTTAGGACGCGGCCATGCACCGTCAGCATCGTCGGGTTGACTTCGATGCCAAATTTGGTCAAGTTGGTATTCAATTCTCCAGCCACAGGATTGATTTTTATCACGTTCAAGCCATCATGGCAGATGGACTTAGCATTTTGGTACGGTTGACGAGCTGCAAAGCGAATCATTCCCCGGGTTTGATCGCCTTGGAGAATTCTTCTGGCTAGTTGCCCTGGTGCAACGCTACATAGCTCTCCGGGGATCCATTTTGGGTTGCCTCGAGTGCCATAGTTGACCAGTGGCGCATTTGGTAAAGCGAGAGTCATGCTATACATCTGCTGGAAGTATTGCTGAACGGAAATGGTCTTGGTTTGACCATTTGGATCTGTCCAAGCGAAAGTGGCGTTGATGCTGTCCTTTTTATAAGGTGACAAGTCTCCAATAACATGCACCTTTCGCTTAGTTACTGGCTTGTCACCGGCCTTTCTTAGCTTTCCGCTGCGATCGGTCTCTGGGATGTAGTTTGTTTCAATTCGAAGCTTCCTACCGAACGCGGCCATGCGTGGGTGTTCTTCTGGGCCATTTGGGGCTCGACCATAGTTGACCTCTTTCAACAAGTCAAGAAGAGGTCCAGACTTGTAGAAAGCCCCTGTAGCCACATTTACGTTAACCAAAATCCTGTTAATGCTCGTTCTGACGCTCGGAAAGTAGCCGCGAAGAGCCTCCAGGCCTCCACCAAGGTCCGTGTTCTCAAAATTTGGGTGTTTTCCCAAAGGATAGAACTTGTTTTGGGGGGCAGTCGCTATGTTAGAACCAGTGCTTGAGCCATAGGATAGTATAATGTTCAAAGCCTGAATGATCTCAAGCTTCAGGGGATACGTCGTTCTTGCTGCGGACAAGTCTTTCATCAGCTCTGACAACGAAGCAGTTCCAATTTCTTCAACGAGTAACTTCACCGTATTCCGTTTGCGGGCCGCTGAACGCCTGCCAAAGTAGTCGGAAGTGGTTGCAGGGAGTGACTTCCCATCGGTAGGGTACCATTCAATGTCGTATGTTTGGCGGGACCCACCAAGGTCGATCTCCTTAGAAGCAACTAGCACCTGAGCCCCATCGCTCGCTACGCTGATGCTGGCGAAAGGCGCTCGTTCAAGAAGAATTTGGATGAGGCGCTTTTTCTTAGGCTTCGAAAGCTGATTGTCAGGTTGAAATGCTACGCTATACAGGTAGAAACAGTTATCTTTTGAAACTCCTTTCAGGTCGAAGTAGTTGGTCCAAAGCACAATGCTCCGTCCAGCGGTACCGTACCCAGGACGACGAGGAAATTGATCGACTAGCGACGTGCGCGCAAGAATCGTCGAATAGTCTTTCACGGAAGCGTCTTCGAGCTTCGTGGTTTCGGCATCAGGCGCAGGAAAGATCTCATCCCTATTATAAAGCCCACGAGCACCAATTAGACCTGAATCCACAGTGGTGTCTTTTGGGTCCACATGCTCTGGTAGAACTTACCCCCAGAATTTTACAGCCTCGAATCCACCGCACCCGCCGCGACCGCTGCCGCCGCCCCCGCGACTTCTGTCTCCTCCTTAAAAGCCTCCACCTCTACCTCTACGACCTCCTCGATCTCCTCGATCACCGCCTCTCCCACGGCCTGTAAAGTCTCCCCGGCCGCGACCGCCTCCTCCACGGCGGCGTCCGCGGTCCGCCATGTGTTAATATACTATCGGTTCGTGGTAAGGAGGTATGGAAGGACCTAAGTGCTACATAGTATTGAGATTTGATGGATCTATGAAATATCAATATATGCGTATATCGTAGCATAGATTGTATAAAAATGGCACAATTGCATGAAGATATGTATCCTTCTTGAAGGATATTACAAGAACGGCACGCGAACGACATTTTCAAATTTTTCTCCCAGAAATGATAAGGGCGGTGAAAAGATCAGATCGAAGGCAGCGGGGCGAGCTCAGAGATAGCTACGAGAGGCTCTTACCAAGTCCCAATGTTCTATGTAGGCCTGGTACATACTTTGGTCCTCGCAACGTCAGCCCAAGGAGTGTTAGATTAAATTTGTCGTAGTCCCACCAAAAGTCGATCTAGCCTGATGCAGAAGCGATCGGAATTCCTGAATAGTGATAGTGAAGACTGAATCTCCTCGAATTTGCACGATATATGTTGGGTTACGAATGAAAAGAGAGGGGGGGGAGAACGAGAGGAGAAAGTAACAACGGTGACGCGGGAACCGACAGGTTTTACTTGGCACAGCTGCCTAAGGTGCTGCAGCCACGCGCTGTTCGCTTAGGCGCGGAATCAGGTGATCAAGAATGTCACATCAAGCGATTTGCGGGGTGGGAGAGAGAAAAGACGTCAGCCTTTGCAGTTGCTCTCCAAAGTGGCTATCTAAGGTTCTATTGTGCTCGAAGAAAGAGTCTCCGTACGGAGAACAGGATAGAAGGGCGGAGTCAGGGTTCGTACCGTCGATAGAAAGGCGCTTGCAATTCCCTCCTTTAAGTGAATATGTCAGCCTCAAAATTCGGTGCGTGTCAAGCACATGCTGTATCACAGAGTTGCCCATTTTTGGAAAGCAAATAATAAACGTAGACCAAGACCGTGAGCTATCATTTTGAGGGATAGACACTGCAATCGTCCTGCATCTGAGGGAATCCATGCACAAAAGACCCGCTGCCTGGCGTGTAACCTTTCTCTATCTGAATTGGCCGAGGCTGAAGGAAGTTTTCCTGCGGCACAGTACGGCCCCGATTGCCACCAATCGTATGATCGATTGTTTTTGTTGCTAGAAACAACATTGAGAATTATATGCTTAGTTGCAAAGAGTGTGGCTTGCATGGTATCAAAATGGTCATGATGTATTTCAATGTGTGCCAACGATTTCAACTTAATTCCAAATTGCTCAGCCCAGGGCTGTCTTTAACTGATGTGGTTCTGGGAACTTCTAGCTTCGTGTTGTATAATAAATAACGGAGGTAAAAGAAATCCGGATAGTCTGCAAAGGGCTTAGGACTATGGGCAAATAGAAAGAAGTCCTCTTGAAATGTGCAAAGTCTAGAATTAGAAAATAAAGGGCTCAATTAGGGATAGCCGTTCCCTGGCACAGCTTTCAAGCCTCGGATGTCTGTTCTACATGACACGTGGAATACATGGAACTTATAGGTCTGGAAGAAAAGAGAGTGGGAGCCTGGGCAAAACGACATTGCCAGTGCGTTTTGGTGGGATCTGATTGCTATCATTTTGATGCCGGTCATCGTTGCACAATCATGAGCATACGAATGTTGCGCAACGCGCAAGGTTAATGATCTTGAAGCTGCTTGTTTGCTTCACAGAGTGTATCACAGCAAGTTCACGATGATCAATCAAGAAAAGGAAAGAACTCACGCTGTTGCATTATTGATGTCTGAGGCAGAAACAGCAGCCAGCATACTCGATGTAAAACAACTATCTTCCTCTGTAAGTTCTCCGTTGATCCATGCTCTGTCCGCACCCTGGTTGAGACAGGTCTGACAACGGAGTCGTTCCTACTAGAATGCTGGTTCCTCAAATGGCGGAGGAGATTATCTCGACGAGGAAACCCCTTCTCCTTGTATGAACACCCCATTTTATTACAATAGTAGAAGTTCCCTGTGCGAAACTGGATTCCAGGAGCATAGGTGGTATTGTGCGTTTGTTGGTGGCGGTGTAGGTCTCTGGTATGCCTGAAACATCGATGACAGGTGTCACACTCGTGAGGCTTGTCATGGAATTTTACGTGATGGCTGTTGTAATTTTTAGCGATTTGCACGTAATGAGGATCTCATAATTGCTCACTTGTAGTATTTTGCCTCTGGGAAGGTGGAGTGACACTCGTCGCACTCTAGCTGATTTTTCGAAGAAAACATCGGCACGGGAAAAGATTCAGGGTACATTTCGGTAGCATTATTCCCATAATCACAACTCGGTGATAATTGTGCGGGCAGAATTATAACAGGTGCGGCGGTCAATGTCTCAAGAGGTTCTAAGGGGTGTGGAAGTTTAGAGTGAGTTGGAGTCGCTACTTGGGAAGTCGATTCATCCGATTTTGAAACCTGGACGCCAGCTGTATGAAGGCTTCTTCGCTACTTTCATATTAGGCCGAGGTTATTATGCATTCTATGGTTTCAGAACTTACATGTAGGGAGAGCAAAGTTGAAGATGGAGGAGTTGTCCCCATCGCCATTTCAGTAAACGTATTTGCCTCTGTAATTGCAGAGGTCTCACAAAAAGACCTATGGACATCCTTCTGGCACACCTCATGCACACTCGACTCCCTAGGTTCGAACGTGGACCCAAGGTGGAGTGGACTACATTGTATTTCAATAGCACTTTCCGCAATCGGTCCTTGCGGCGGATATAGTTTTTTCGTCTGCCTCCCTGGGTCATATCATATCGGGGGGGGTGTCCATGTCTGTTCATCTAAATTTAAGATTGTAGACTCTAAATTAGATGGAGTGGGCAAATGTAGATTCGTTAGGATGCGGCCATCTTGCGAGCTATGATCACTTCTTGTAGAACCATAGCTGAGATCCGAGTTTGGTACGGGGTATGATAAGGCTGAATTTAGATAGTCCGACATTCTACTAGTATCAACGGGGAGCCACTACAAGTAGCAGGAATATCTTGAGAGTGTAGGGGATGAGAAGGAATATGACTAAGGTCCAGTGTTTTGAAGTCGATGTGTCGGTCCAGCTCCTGGAGCCAACTTTACGATAAAATAAAGCTATTAAGAAGGCTGCTCATAGACTTTAGGGCCCCAGCCAGCTCTGAGAAGAGACTCTGGAAATGGAAGTTAACCTTGTGTTTGGGCGTGCAGAAGAGGACTTGGACCTCTGGGAGGCTATGCAGTCAACGTGCATACCCAAAAGGCTGACTGCGGGACTCCGGAAATGGAAGCTAGCCTTATGTTTGGGCGTGCAGAAGAGGACTTGGACCTCTGGGAGGCTATGCAGTCAACGTGCATACCCAAAAGGCTGACTGCAGGTCTTAACACACAGGTTCAAGAATCTCCAGCTGTGCCTTGCGCCAATTGGGGGAGCGAGGTTCTTGTGGCGCCGTACATTTAGCAGATGGCCAATATACTTTGGCGAAGAAGTGTATGCTGGAGTGATGGGCGTACAGCTGGCCAATCACCTTAGTAAAATAGAAGCGTGGGCAGCCACCTTCGCATTCTGTGATCTAGCAAGGTCCTGCTACGAAGAGGGATTACTAACGGAAGGGTTCGGAAGGCCAGATTACTCCCGAGAGCGAGCAAGGCAAGGAGTGAGAAAAATAGATTCGATATAGACTAGCATCTAGCCTCTGTAGGGGAATATGGAACAACTAGCCATGGCATGAAAGGGCGGGAGCTCAATGAAATGAATCGGTGGGGCATTCCTTGAGAGTTTGGACGTAAAATCCCCATGGGGGTGGTTGGTAGCCTGTGAAACCGATAAATAGTGTCGTGTGAAGCTAATTTTAAGAATTTTAAATTTTAGATTTTTGTTAAAAAAGAGAGCTCAAAGGCGGATAGAACTGAATTCCATGAACAAATTTAGGGGTCAGGCCTCAAGAGCCGGGAGCGTGTCTTCATACTGGTGGTTGGGAAGACTTTGGAACGAGAATGCAGCGTTGTGTGAAGCCAATATCCAGAGTTTAAGTCATTGATGAAGAGTTCATAGAGCTAATATAACTGGATTGTTTCGTCTTCTTATATCTTCCAGACCAAACCTTTGACTTTCAAGGCTGAGGCGAGCATAGTTTCGGGACTTGAGTCCTACAATGGTAGCCAAGAGTTTGTCGGGCATTGGCACCACATTGAGTAATATTTTAGGGCACGAAGCCGCAAGATTCGTCTGTCCTCAGGAAGCAGCTTGGGGAATTCAGTGTTATCTAGTGGAGATAGCAGGCAGTCCCAGAGTTGTCACGCGGGCGGGGCGCAAGCTGGGATCATTGACGAAAGCATAGATCATGTGGGCTTGCCTGTCTAACGGCCTCTCGGAGGTCATTTTAACCATTCAGAGGCCTCTGCATCAGCTAACGCGTTGACCGGATCAGGCGTTCTGATACTTCGAACGCATTGATGAGACCAGCTCTGACTGGGCCATTCGTCGAGGAGGCGTTGATGGAGCCTATGAAGATTTCGAGGGACGAAGTATTTTAGCCAAGCTAGGGCTTATTAACCGAATGGCCTAAGCTAGAACTGTCGGCATTATTCGGTGGACTTTTTGAGCATTTTAGAGCCGTTCGGTACCCTCTCCGGGACAGCATAGCTAAACTAAATGTCGTAAAGAAGCTTGGTTCGCTCCATCCCCTTTACTGGCCTGATATCCTTCACCTCCAGGCTTGGGCACTTAATTACTATTTTCTATCCGGACACAAGTGTCCGCCTCTCAATTCATGGAGTGGGAGATTCGTTTTGCTAGCACTTGGCAATAAATTCTCTATTTACTTGTAACTATATGTATCCAGACTTAGTCTTGAAAAGAATAATGGCACCTGGGCTGATTAAGACTTTTGTTATAGTTTGCTGTACCATCCTTGTTAACACCCTCTTTTATTTTAGTGTCAGTGACGCTAGATGAGGTACTTCGCGTTGGCGAATGACATGTTAGAGTTCTTGAGGTCGCCTTTCTTGATTTCATGAAGCGCAGAAACCCTAAGCGCCTCAAAGTGTTCGAGAGCTTCGTTTTTGTCCGATTCAGATCTATTATATTTCATGTTCATGTCCAACGTCGCCTAGGCAGAATTATCTCTGAATATAATATGAAATTTTAGCTCAAACTTTGATAAAAATTCATGCTATTACCTTTTGTTTCGCCTCACTTCAATTATTGCGACCGTAATGGTTTGTTGACACGAACGAAATCCTCGTGCACCAGTGCGGGCCTGTCACTGTTCTGTCGTCTTTGACCTTTCGCCTTTCGCAATCCGGGATCCCTCTCCTGTCAAGCGCTGCAGGCAACCACACTAGAGCTAGAAAGCGTGGCGTTTTCCTGATGCAAAGGATGTCGCATGCTCTTCTCTCCTACGTTGGATTCTCCTTCCTCTGGTTGATTCCCGGCAAGGGGAGAATAAGTAGTTCACTAGGTTTACAATCCAATATGTCGCGCTATCACGCAACGTACCTAGTATATCCTGGCGCTCGCAAGTCTGCTCCATCGCAGCAGCCATATATATCACTATGTTGCGACCCCGACGATCACTTGCCTAACTTTGAGGAAGGTGCCAGTGAGAGTGTTTCAGTGCAATTTTCCGACGACGAGTTTCCCAAGATTGTGCCTCTAGTCTCAGACACGGATGATGATGAATATATGCCGAGCGAATCTGAGGATGGAAGGCCCAACAGAAAGCTAGACCGAATTGCGTCCGTATGCCCAGGCATGCCTGCCAAACTTTTGCCAATGAAAGGCGTTACTCAAGCCCCCTCCCTAATCTGGGGTCGGGCCTCACGAACAACGACCCTAAAATAAGAACACGGTCACGGTCAGTGAGGGTGAGCCAGAGACCACGGATTCAGATGTACCTCTACTTCCACATCGATCCAAGGCTAGGAGATTGGTACGCAAGATATCAGAATCTTCGGAAGAGGACATGGACCTCAAAGTAGAGGTGAGTGAAGAGGAGGGTGAAGTATACCAGCTGAAAGGAAAGAACTGATTGCAACAATGTATCGTGAGTTGGCCTTAGCCAGAAATTATCTCATCAATGCTGGCCTCTGGGATGGTGAGATCTTCTACTTTGGTACAGGTGAGAGAATAGCATTTACTAACATACAGAGTAGGGGCACCGACATACGTGCGGGACATTCTCAACCAAGCCCAGGATAGACTACGAGCTGTCAAACAAAGCAATCTGGGATGGTTCGATCAGACAGTTGGATCTCCGATGCGGCAGTGAAGCTGATATTCTATTGATGGACTAATGCTGAGCCGTAAGTCAAATATTCCTACGCTCTGCTCATCTTGCACCTGGCTCACCTTACCCTTAAAGTTTAAAAATGAAGGATTGTCTGCGCCTGTAAGCGTTTTGTTATAAATCTATTAGATGGCCGCGCGGCTGTGACTTGGTCGACAGTTTATGGTAATTGGCAGGGATGGCAAAGCCATCAGTGAGAAGCTTGTTGTACCTTTTCAAACTGTTTGCATTTCCTTTAAACTGACCGATTTGCACCACTACTTGGATTTGTAGACTAGGTACAGTACCAGAAGAGAGGTTTGTCTAAGGCATTTGAATCTGATTGCACGGGTATACCTCTTAACACTCCTTCCCCTAGTCTTAGTAACCCTCCGCAGCCTTGTAGCAGCAATTACAGTGATTAATTATAACAATAATAATATTCCTTCCTGTAGGTTGAAGGGCTCTGCGATGTGGTACCTGATTAACCTTAGGCTTAGCGTCTATTATTAGAGTTGGCAACAATTAAGTTAACTTAATTAATAGACTTAAATCTCTAAGATCTTAGGTTTACTAAAGGATATAAAATCCTTTAGTGTGTAGAAGTAGTAAATATAGTATAAAGCAGCTTAGCTTTAAGAGACTTTAGAGTTGTAATAGTTGCCTAACTAGGCTTAGTGCTATATATTTAAAATTCCTTAACTTCTACTGCCTACTAACTTACCTGCCTCTACTACGTATATAAAGGCTAGCTAGACAACTGCCACCTTAGCTTTTAACACTTATAGGTAGAGTTTAAAGACACTGCCTCTCCTGTTAGTACTCTAAAGCCTCTGCTAAAGAAGGCACATATAGGGCTAGCTAGAAGCTAGTTAGATTTTATAAAAGCTACCTTATAAAGTAACAACACCTGCTTAACCTATTACTATAATAAGTTTAAGCGCTAGATAATTAAGTTACTTATACTAAAAAAGTCTTTATTTGCGCGCAACCTAATTTTATACTAAATAAAAAAGGCTAATAAGTACCTTATTTTATTACGCTTTACTCTTATAATTTTTAGCATTTTTATAGCAGCTACTAATTATAAGAGGACCTTCTTTAAGCTAGGTAATTTGCTAGAGATAAGGCGTCTCTGCATAAAGGCAGACCTCCTCTCTGCTCTATAAAGCCTATGTAGTTAGAAGCGCCTTAGCTTAAAGCCTACAAAGTTAGTAAAAAGTCTATGTAGTAACGCTATCTCTTCTAAAGACCTAAAAACTATTTATAAAATATATAGTAGTTAATTTACTACGTAATCTATTAATTAAGTTAATTAAGTTAATTAAGTTAAGCCTTATTTATGCTATTAAGTTAATTAAGTTAATTAAAATGTGCTAGATCTGTTAATTAATTAAGCAATTCACCCTAACTTAATTAACTTAATTATTGCTAACTCTGTCTATTATACTATATAAGTTATATAACTAGCTTCTTAGAACCTTAGTTTATAATAATAACTGTAATGGCTTGGCTTAGCTGTCAAATAACTGATAACAGTGCTGAATTCGATGAAGAAGAGGGACTGTATCGTCACTACGGAATTAGGTTTTATACCGCAACACCTAGCTAGCTTAGGTCTAGCTTGGGTAGCGTTGTCAACAAGCCAGCTTAGCGCCTCTTGCAATACAACCGATGTGTGTCGCAGTTTGCTGCAAGTTGCTGCAAGTTGCTGTAGTTTGCTTCGTGCCCTTTCTAACGCTGCCAGCTAATCTCTAGTTGATACCACTGGACACCAGCCCATGGCATAGGCAAATAGAGCACTGCTAAGGCTAACCCTACAGAAGAATAGGCCTGCCTAGGTTACATACTAGGGTTAGATTAGGTAATGTACTTGTAAGGCCTAGTATTATGCTTCCTATGCTTACTACAAGCACTGCTTAGAGAATAGCAAGTATAACAAGCATCTTAGAATATATATAGATGCAGCCTCTCTACTATAGTGTTTAATATAACGTAGTACTGTTGCTACTGTTACTAATAGTATCAATCTCTTAGTTAGCAGTTAGAAATAAAGTAAATTGTCTTCTGTTACTGTATAGACAATCAGGCTCTAGCTACTGTAGTAACTACCTATACTATTTAGTTTCTTAGCGCTTTAGCAAAGCTAGAAGGATAATTTTAATTATAACTAGCTAGTACACTCTATAATTAAGGCTCTGTAGACTTATTTGCTTAGAGTTAAACGAATATCTACAACTATATTAGCAAAGTTATGTTAAAATTAGGCTCTCTAGAGTCTTTAAAAACACTAGCTACTAACGTAACCTACAAGCAAGTTGCTTACACACCTAAGTTACTTACTTTTACTAAGACTACACTAAACTACTCTTTCTACACTAATGCATTCCTAAAAACACTACTTAGACGTGTTAAAGAAACATTAGATACAGCTTATACTTTAGACTTTTAAATAAAACGCAACACTCTCTAAGTAACATGCTGCAGCTATGTACAAGGTCTTTTAAAAGATAGCAAATAACTAACACACTAGATAACCTTTTTAAGCTAATTCTATAGCTAACTTATAAAGGCTAGATAATTGTAATAAGGTAGGCGCTCTGCTTGTAAAATTAATACTATACAACTTTCTCTACTATACTAAAAGGTACGCGTAAGAATACTTAAGCTAAGTATTTCTTACATAGTATAATATATATATATATATAGATAGATAATGCTAGAGCTTGCACTAGCACTAGCAGTTGCCTCTAGTCTAGCCTAAACCTCTATAAGCAAGAGAAGGCTACGTAGTTAACTATGCCTATCTTATTACACTATTCTCTCTCTTAATAGTCTTAGCCTCTAAGACATAAGACTAAGGATATATATTTACTTCACTTTAATTATAGCCTTTACTATAATTTAAACTAGAGTAAATACTAAGACTTAAGCTCTTAACTTTTAAGTAGCTTAAGTATTATATAATAAAGTAAACGCCTTACTTATAAAATTAATACTATACAACTTTCTTTACTACACTAAAAGGTATATATAATAATACTTAAGCTAAGTATTTCTTGCATAGTATAATATATATATAGATAACGCTAGGGCTAGCACTAGCACTAGCAGTTGCCTCTAGTCTAGCCTAAACCTATAGAAGTGAGAGAAGGCTACATAGTTAACCGTGCCTACCTTGTTATAATAATAATAAGAAGTAAGTAATTATAAAGCATATACTTAAAGCTAAATAGGTAAAGATTTTCTTATTAGCTAGTAGCTGAAGCTAATATAGCTAATTCTTTATACACTAAGTGTAATCTAGGCTATATTAGTATAAACTAGCCTAGTATGTTTATTAAGTGTTATCTAAAGCTTAAAGTAAAGTTTAAGAACAAGTATAACTATAAAAAAGCTTTTTATAAGAATCTTATAGTAATTTAAAGCTAGTTTAGCCTTGTAAAGAATATTAAAGCTAAGTATAACATTTAAAATAATAACATGTCTGTAACGATCCTCATGAATCGTTCCATCTCGAGTCGCCCGGAACCTCCGGAAGGCCCTCGTATCGGCCCCGACCTCGACCTGGCCCCGACCCCTGCTGTTACCCCTATTCCCTCATGTATTTAGTCGCACCTCGCCCCCGTAGCTAGCTCGGTAGTTTTCTGATATCCTTTCGTACTAGGCCTATAGGTGTCAATGGCATTCCCAGGTTCAGAGTCCCCACGCACTCCCATATGCCTCTGAGTGGATTCCCACCGCATTCGGACCCATTGTCTTGCCTGCGCCGTTACAATGTCTAACTTTAATAAAACAAAGTTTATAATAGGCTAGATACCTACTAGAGCAGTTATTTATAGCTTTAAAGAAATAAAGACAGCTAAAAGCAGTCTAACTAGGTAACTAGAAGTAGATAATAGCTATCTAAAGCATTATGTAACAGCACAGGCAAGACAATGGGTCTGAATGCGGAATGAATCCACTTAGAGGCATATAGGAGTGCGTGGGGACTTAGAAACCTGGGAATGCTATTAACACATATAGGCCTTGTACAAAAGGATATTAGAAAACTACTAAGCTAGCTAAGAGGAGAGGTGCAGCTAAATACTTAGGGAATAGGGGCACAGCAGGGGGCAGGGCAGGGGACAGGGCAGGGTTAGAGCAGATACAAGGACCCTTCGGATATCAACTTGTTAGGCAAACTAAGATGGAACAATTCAGGCAAATTGCTACATTAGTAGTTATAAACTCTAAGTAATACTTTAAAACTTAGGTTATAATTAATGTTTATAAGAATTAAAATTTAGAAGTATATAAATAGCTTACTAACTTTTATAGTTAAGGCATTTAAAATAAGTTTTAAAAGAGGTAACGTACCTAACAGGTTAGCCGGCCAACCTGTAAGGTGTATAAGCGCTAAGCTAAAAATCTTATGTGTAACTAAATTACCTATATTATAAAACTTAAGTTTCTACTATACTTTATACACACTTATAATGTAGTAATTACTTTTAGTAATATCTAAAAAGAGTTTTAAAGCGCTAGTTTAGTCTTATTTAACTTAAAATAACTTAAAATAGCTTTTAACATCTAGTTATATACTTTATTACTACTACTACTTATTAATAACAAGCTTTAGTAGTTATAAGCCTTAAGTAATACCTTTAAATTTAAGTTGCAATTAATGCTTATAAAAGTAAAAATTTAAAAGTATATAGATAGCTTACTAATGTCTATAGTAAAGGCCTTTAAGAAAGTTTTAAAGAGAGTAGTAATTATTACACATAAGCTAGTATTAGCATAAAAAAAAATTATAAAGCTTTAAGCAGTAAATAAGGCTGCCACGCAACATAAATTGCATAAAAAAAAGTAAATTTAAGTAAAAAAAACTTTAATAGTTAAAAATAGAGCTTATTTAACTGCTCTAAAGGAGTTTAAAGCGCGTAGTAATAGGAAGAAGCTAAAGACATAAGTGCGCGCTAAAGAAGGTAAGCTAAGTTAAAAGTAATATAAGCAGTGTAATTAGACTAGGCATAACTTGCGTATGTGTAAGAAAGTAGTAAAAGTAGACTTTAAATAATATCTTATGTTGTATTACTCTATACAGGGCTAAAGTAGGCTGTTTTGCGCTAGAATAGAGTGGTTTTAGTAGGGGCTTAGCAAAAGTGGCCGGCCAACCTGTGTGGCCGGCCAACCTGTTAGGTACGTTAGCAATAATTATATATAAGCTAGTGTTAGTGTAATAGAAAATTACTAAGCTTTAAGCAGCTAATAAGGCTACTACATAATATAAATTATATAAAAAAAAGTAA